GGGAGTTGGGGCGAAGGTGGGGCGCAACCCCCCCCCCTTTGCAAACGCAATGCTTGCATCATGGGTTGAATCCTTCACATACTTTGAAGGAGAAAAAAAAAGGCATGATTGGTTTCAATCTGTCATATGCATTGAAGAAAGCCTGCGCAGCTTAAAGAAGCGGGGGGGGCTGGGGGGGGGGGGGGGGGGGGGGGGGGGGGGGGGGGGCAACCCCCCCCCCCATTTGCAAACACACTGCTCGGTGCACCCAAGCAAACACAAGCAGACAGACACGAGAAGACACACACACACACACACATACACACGCCAAGGCCCTCACGTCGAGCCCATCATAGATGGGCGACGGCGGCTCCTCAAGCAGACTCCAGCAGAACAAAACAAGAACTGCAACCCCCCCGCCCCCACCGAGAAGAAGAACAAATACATCCAACAACAGCAAGTTCCCCAACTCCTCGGGGTCGGAATACTGCGCGCCATCCTAAAGGAAAAAAAACCAAGAACACAGACACGCGCACACACAGGTGCACCCAAGCAAACACAAGCAGACAGACACGAGAAGATACACACTCACACACACATACACACACCAAGGCCCTCACGACGAGCCCATCATAAATGGGCGATGGCGGTTCCTCAAGCAGATTCCAGCAGAACAAAGCAAGAACTGCACCCCCCCCCCCCACCGAGAAGAAGAACAAATACATCCAACAACAGCAAGTTCCCCAACTCCTCGTCCTCGGGGTCGGAGTACTGCGCGCCATCCTAAAGGAGAAAAAAAAACAAGAACACAGACACGTGCACACACAGATGCACCCAAGCAAACACAAGCAGACAGACACGAGAAGACACGCACTCACACACACACACACAGACACACACACGCACACACACACACACACACACGTACACGTAGACCAAGGCCCTCACGTCGAGCCCGTCACAAAAGGGGGATTCCTCAAGCAGATTTGAGCAGAGCAAGACAAGAATCGCAATTCCCAACCCCCCCCCCTCCCCCCCGCCCCCAACCAATTTCAGCCAGGTTTACACCTCAGCTTAGAAAAAAAAACAAGGGCCCAGGCAGGCATGCACACCGGTGCCGGATTGTCCTTAAACAGGTCGGAACAGCAGCAACAAGCATGGAACGCTACGCCACCAACTAAAACAAAAATGAGAATTCCAACATAAAACTATTCAACTAAACTAATCGAGACGGGCCACCGGTCCATAGGACACCGGGAAGGCACCCGGCGCCAGGGGCGCAGGCTCCTCATTTATAACGGAAGTAGCAACGCCAACCAGCAAACATATACACCGCAAACTAACAAAACCCCCACGTTAAACCAAGCAAAGTTGCCAAGGACGGGCCGTCAAGGACGACCTCAGATGGATTCCAAACTCGCACTCACCCCAAAACCATGCATTTCATGCAGTTCAGACACCTTTTCCTCCTCCGACCGCATCGCCGCTGCCTCAGTTGCGAGAAAAACATATGGTCCCCCGAATCCGAAGTACCACAACACACCAAATACAGACCCGAAGAAAGACATACCCTTTATGAAACATCCAAGAGACGTTCGGAAGCAGCAGCAGGACCTGGGAGCAGACTAACCAACTCAGAACCCATTTCGCCGCAGGGCTTTAGTGTTTCTAACTCATCCTCCACTTTTGGTTTCAAACGCCACCTCGACTTCTTGGGGATTAATTTACATCACCACATCCCAGCAACGATCTCGCGAAGTCGCCCCAAAATATTGATGTTCTTTGCCCCGAAGGCACGAAGAGACTGTGCAACATCGATGAGCTGGAAATCCCAAAAGGAATATGCAACGCAATGGAGCTTCATAAGCCTAGGCGCTACTTGGTTTAGTTCTCAGGTGTGGGTTGATAAGCGGTCATCTGAGGCATGCGGATTGGCACAAGCGCTACGAGGTGGCCAAAGCTTTAGTCACCGAGGACCTGACTTGGAAGTTTCATGGCTTTTGTTTTTTTGATTTCGGTCTTTTTCCGCACGAGCACTAACGAAGCAAGTCCGAAGGACAGAGCAGACAAGATCCACGAGTTGGTGGTCGAGCTTGAGACGCCTCTCAGACGCAGATTCGGTTTAGGTTTTTTTGGGTTTACGGTTTAGGGTTCAGAAAGGTTGGCCCCGGAGATCTGAAGACCTCAGCGCCAGGAGGACGGGAGAAGGTTTGTCAAGGGAGGTTTGAGACTTAAGATGGTGGTTGTGGGGGACCGCGCGTGTAGTTTTGGGTGCTTTCATTCGTGCACGCGCACATGTTGCCACAGGCAGGAGGAACGAACCCAACAGCAAGATTTTTTGTTGACCAGGGGGTTTCACATTCCCGAAAAGATCACAGCTCTAGCTCATAGACCCCACTTATTCCCTTTGGTACATGGCCCAAGGAAACAGCCTTTGAAACTGCTGGGCGCGACTGCGATCGAGGATCCGTGGGCCTTCTGTAAGGCTTTAAGGGCCCCAGTGGAGAAGTGTGGGTTTGAGGCTCGGGAGTTTCAAGGTTTCGGTGGACGCCTAAAACCTGAACTCCCAAACCAAACCACACAACCTGTCTGCCCGTACCTTCTCCAAGCATCCGTACGTAAGCATTCAGGCAAAATCGCGAAACCCCTCACAAACCGAGACCAATACGATGAAGGCCATGAGCTTCGCCATACCTGTCACCCGGTAACAAAGAACTCACAAAAACCCAACACAAAAAAAGGCAACAACAAGCCGAGGGCGCCTCAAAGAATGGCAGGGGGAGGCAGCGAGGGCAAGACAGGATCGCAAAGTTGCTCGAGCTAAAAAAGGTCGCGAAGGACCAGGAAATGAGAAAGAGAATGGGAGACTACGCCAGAAAAAGAAAAAAATCCTAAAACCCTCATGAAGCCCTAGAACCCAAAACCTTAAGTCATAAAACCTTCAAACCCGAAACCCATCATGGGCTTCAATCGTTCACATGCTTTGAAAAATTAGCATGATGGGTTTCAATCTGCAATATGCTTTGAAAAAAGCTTGCATGGCTTAAAGAAGCGGGGGGGTTGGGGGGGGCGCAGCCCCCCCCCATTTGCAAACACAATGCTCGCATCATGGGTTTCAATCGTTGATATGCCTTGAAAAAAATGGCCTGACAGGCTTTTGTCGTTCATCTGATTTGAAGAAGGCTTGCACGGCTTAAAGAAGCGGGGGGGGTTGGGGGGGCGCAGCCCCCCCCCATTTGCAAACACAATGCTCGCATCATGGGTTTCAATCGTTGATATGCCTTGAAAAAAATGGCCTGACAGGCTTTTGTTGTTCATCTGATTTGAAGAAGGCTTGCACGGCTTAAAGAAGCGGGGGGGTTGGGGGGGGGCGCAGCCCCCCCCCCCATTTGCAAACACAAGCTTCAGTCGTTCACATACTTTGAAAAAAGGCATGATGGGTTTCAATCTGTCATATGCTTTGAAAGAAGCTTGCACGGCTTAAAGAAGCTGTGGGGCTGGGGGGGGGTGAACACAATGCTCGCATGATGGCTTTCAATCGTTCATATGCTTTGAAAAACGTGGCCTGATGGGTTTTCATCGTTTCATCGTTCATCTGCTTTGAAAAACTTGCACGGCTTCAAAAAACGGGGGAACCAGGCGACCAGCAGACCGGGAGACCAGCAGACCAGGGGACCAGGGGACCAGGAGACCAGGGGCCCAGAGGACCACGAAAAAAAATAAAATAAAAACAAAAAACCAAAAAAAAAGTAGCAAAAAAATAGGCCCTCCGCACAGAATCGTTCAACAATCCATGCGCTGTTTGCACTTGGCTCAGCCTCGGGATGCTACGGCATACTCCCATCATGGAAAGAACACAACAGGTGCTCTCGGCAGTCCTGCGATCAAAGCTGGGAAAGATGGCCACCACGATGAGGGCAGCCACGAATAAAGCACTGGTAAGAATCTGGTGGTGATTTGCAATCCTGGCGCGCAAGCAGACTGCCAGGAAATGACGAAGGACACTCATGACATCTGCTCAAGCCTCGCGCCCATAGGCGTCTGGGTAGCATAAAGCAGGTTCCCCACCTCTGAGCGCCTCCCCACCGCCCCGTGCATTTGTTTGGCACTTTCTTGCTTGGAATGGGCAACCACCCCCTAGCCGACAGATGTCCGGAGCGGACGGTGCATCAGGACCACGGAGGGCATGTGGGCCCGACCATTGGCCAGCCAAAGGGGAGGCTTAGGCGGCAAACTCAAACACACGACTACCATGGCTGCCACTTTTGCTAAAGCTGCTACAAGTACAGAATCTGGTAGGCAACATGACGAAAGGAAAGTGCACAGTGTGCGGCCTTTGGCCAATCACAACCGCCAGCGACATGCTTGCTTCTCCAATGGCACGTCATTCAAAGGATGCCAGCACTAGTGTCAATGGTAGTGCAACCGAGAAAAGCGTCATTCTATAAATGTCCAGAACTTGTTGAAACAGAGGTCCGGCGGAATACTGTTCAGGTCACTGTCGAGACGATGATCAGCCATGCGCATTGTCCACTTCACTTGTCACTTGCAGGTCGAGCTGCTGCATAGCGAGCCATAACCGCGCTGCACGTACTGGGATGGCCGGAGCGACTGCCCCGCGCGCAAAAAGGAGTGTAGATAGGATCGGGTCGAGTCAAGGTACTGCAGCCTAACTTGCCCCAAAATGCCTGGCGGACTGCGGTATCGCTGCATGCATCCACCTTTTCTCCAGGCTTGCGCCCCTCTGTCCGGAAACCGGCCTTGGCATGCTCGCGTGCAGTATTTGCACTTCGCCGAGGCCCAAAGCCATGGCCACTTAACAAAGGGTTTAGGGAATAGGGTTTGGGGTTCAGGGTTCAGGGTTCAGGGTTTCGGGTTTAGGGTACTTGTGCACTTGTGCATGGCACATTCACCAGAATTCCAAGCAAGTGACCAGGCTAATGGGAAAACGGGCTTGAAACGAGCTTGCAGAACTAGCGAGCACCAAACGGTGCAGTTTGTGACACCAAAGCCGAAGCCAATCAGGAATCGGCAGGCGGCGGCGGCGGGGGCGGGGGTGGTGGGACATCGGCCATCTGCCTCGAAGAAGCTGCAAGCGAAACAGAGAAGCATGGCAAAAAACGCAATGCAAATGAATCGCCCTGTCGCAATTGAACGATGAAGAAGCTGACACTGATGACACTGATGGCAACAGCCTGATGATACCAAGGACGATGAAAATTATGCCGGGCTGAAGAGGACCGGATGAAAGAGCGAAGCCAATCCTACATCAAAGACTTGCTTCTGTTCTTTCGACGTGCGACACGCAGATGCGAGATGGCATTCTGAAAAGCTCTCGCTTCGGTTCTGATAGGAGCCGATGTCATCTGTAGTCTCGACGTTGCTCGACGTAAAAGCTGTTGACTCCTATCGGTTCGTGGAGATGTGGCCTGCGTGTGCTCCAAGCGGTTATGGTAGCAAGCAACTTCATAAAGACCTGTAGAGGCCTCTATTGAAGTAGGGACCTTCAACGTGCAATTTGGAACTGTTCAATGGACTTGCAAGTGTGCTGAAGCCTACGACACAAGGAACTGGTGTTCACATAATCCGGCAAGAAGATTCCGACAGCCAAAACTAGATAGACAACTCTGAGGAAACTCGGCGCCCCGCTGCGAGGAATCCTGCACCAGATACGGCAGCTTCGAATGAGAATGATTACAGGAATAGTAGTAGTGGTAGTGTGGTAGTGTGGCATAGTGTGGCATAGTGTGGCATAGTGTGGCATAGTGTGGCAGTATTGTGGCAGTATAGTGTGGTTTCGTGTGGTTTCGTGTGGTTTCGTGTGGCTTCGTGTGGTTTCGTGTGGCTGCGTGTGGTTTCGTGTGGTTTCGTGTGGTTTCGTGTGGTTTCGTGTGGTTTCGTGTGGAATAGCGTGGTATAGTGTGGTATAGCGTGGTATAGTGTGGTATAGTGTGGGAAAGTGTGGAAAAGTGTGGAAAAGTGTGGTATAGTGTGGTTTAGCGTGGCATAGTGTGGTATAATGTGGTATAGTGTGGTATAGTGTGGTATAGTGTGGTAGTGTGGTGGCAGCAGTAGCAGCAGTAGCAGCAGTAGCAGTAGTAGCAATAGCAGTAGTAGCAGTAGCAGTAGCAGTACATGCAGCAGCAGCAGCAGCAGCAGCAGCAGCAGCAGCAGCAGCAGCACCAGCAGCAGCAGCAGCAGCAGGAGGAGGAGCAGGAGCATGAGCATGAGCATGAGCAGGAGCAGGAGCCAGCAGGAGCAGGAGCAGGAGCAGGAGCAGGAGCAGGAGCAGGAGCAGGAGCAGGAGCAGGAGCAGGAGCAGGAGGAGGAGTAGTAGTAGTAGTAGTAGTAGGAGCAGCAGCAGCAGCAGCAGAAGCAGAAGCAGCAGCAGCAGCAGCAGCTGTGGCGCTGCTGCCACTACTGCTACTACTGCTGGGACGATGTATGGGCTGTTTTGAAGGGGCTCACACTGTTAGCTCCACCATCATCCCTGTCGTCTTCAATGATCACATTCTCACCACCGCAAAAACCTTGGGTTTTCCCTAAAGCAAACACTGCTGTGCAGGGCCTGGCGGCCCGTCCGGTGGGCCTGGTCCAGAGCAAAGGGCTGGGAATCTAGAAGGCATATCATGGTGTGTGTTGGTGTGTGTGCGTGTGTTTTGTTTTTGGTCCCATTATTACTTTTTTGTGGCGGGGGCGGCTTTGCAGGGTTCGTTACCCAGTAGGTTGTTTGAGGCGTCCAGGGAGGCATGTTCGAGAATTCGGTCATTCGGCAGATCATCACCATCATCACCATCACCTTTGCGCTCGCCATGACACATTCATTGCCGCTGAATTGGTGCAGGTCTAATCCCTTCATACGATGATTAAACCGCCCCCTGATATAAGAAATTGTTGCCCCCCCGCCCTTCCCTCCGGTTTCCGGGCCCCTTCAAGAATTGAAGTGCATCAGGGGGCGGAGCAGTTCCAGACCTCAATTCGGGTTCGGGGTTTCGGGTTTCAAGGCAAGGGTTTCGGCTACAGGGCTTAAGGCTCGGGTGTAGGTTTTAGGGCTCTCGGCTTTAAGGTATATGGCTTAGGGTTCTTTAGGGTTTCGGGCTCAGCCCTCGAACTGAAACCCTCAACTCGTCCCTCCCTCCCTCCAGAAGATTGCACGGCCTGGAAGGCCTCTTTGTCAACTAGAGCCTGCAAGGGGGCAAGGGCTGAGAGTGCATGTTTGCGGGCTTCGATGTTGCCATCTTGCAGCGCACGAGTCCGTCCTCCACGACGCACCCATCCGAGTTCGAAACGCAGACAGAAGCCCCTAAACCCTAAACCCTAAACCCTAAACCCCAAACCCTAAACCCTAAACCCTAAACCTAAACCTAAACCTAAACCCTAAACCCTACAGTTTGAGACCTGCCTTCAGGCCCTCGGAGTCCAGAACCTCCGGAGTTTTGGACCTCGAGGCTCAGGGCTTCCCGAAGACCTACCCAGTTTAGGGTTTAGGGTTTAGGGTTTAGGGTTTAGGGTTTAGGGTTTAGGGTTTAGGGTTTAGGGTTTAGGGTTCAGGGTTTAGGGTTTAGGGTTTAGGGTTCAGGGTTAGGGTTTTGGAACCAGTCACAACCAGCCCAATTGCCGATATCGATGCCTGGCTGCGTCTCCTGCAGTCACCCGATCCAACTTCCTACCTCGCTGCTTAGAGTGCCTGCAACCCCACAGACTGCGACATTAAACATGCAGCTGCTACTTGCATGACGCGTCATATGCATATAAAGTATGACGATACACACTTGTGCACACAAAGGCATGGCACAATGCTGGCCACTCTGGCGAGTGAAGTTCACAAACCTTGTTCCGGCCTTCCAGAACTAACCCTGCAACCCCTGCCTATTCTTCAGGTGGTCTAAAGACCGAGGATGAAACACAACTTCCCCCCACCTTTCAGAAAAACGCAGGCGAAATATCCCTGAACCCTAAACCCTAAACCCCAAACCCCAAACCCCAAACCCTAAACCCCAAACCCTAAACCCTAAACCCTAAACCAGCCAAGCTGCGGGGGCCCGTGGTTCTGGCGCCACCTTCTGCACACCTCGGAGGCCCTGGCATCCCAGTGGTCCTGGCTCGAGTTGACATGTTGAAATGCTGATTTCCGGGGGGCGGTTTAGGGTTTAGGGTTTAGGGCTTAGGCCTTAGGGTTTAGGGTTTAGGGTTTAGGGTTTAGGGTTTAGGGTTTAGGGTTTAGGGTTTAGGGTAAGCGTCCGCGGCGTGTTGGATGGGTTTGAGGAGGTGAAAACCTCCCTCTTTGGTAGGGGGTCGGTGCACAATTTTTTCGTGGAGGACCACCCGCACAGCGTAAACAGGCGGTTCAGCACAGGGGGGCAGGGGCGCCCTCAGCAAAATCAGCGTTTCGCCCCCCCCCCCCACCCCCCCCCCCCCCCACCCACCCCGCCCCCCACCCACCCGCCCCCCCGCCCCCCCCCCCCCCCCCCCCACCCCCTCCCCACCCCCCCCCCACCCCCCCCCACCCCCCACCCCCCCCACCCCTCTGCCCCCCCCACCCCCCCACCCACCTGTCTTTTTGGCTTGCCTACCCCCCCCCCCAAACGTTTCACAGAACTCTGCCGAGCAGGCTGGGATGATCTTCGAACCATGCGAGCGGGTTTAGACTGCTCCAGCGGGGTCGGCGGCTTGAGCCGGAGGCTCTTAAATTTAGGCTGGGATTTCCAGAAAGGCGGGGGGGTTTAAAATATTCTGAAACCCTTCCAAAAGCCCAATATAGAGAAGCATTTGGGAACAGGTTCCGGAACTTTTGCAGGTTTTGTGTTCGAGTTCATCCGATTCAGGATGTGTGCTGTTGCCGGAATATGAGTCCGTGGCTCTCGCCTACGGTGGGCGTGGCGCCCATATGGTGAAAGAAATCACGCGGGCCTATGCCGTTGCTGCTTTGCTGTTGTTCGGTACGTATTCGCTCTGATTTTTCCTTTATTTTCGGCTACTCCTTCCTGTATGTATTCCATTCTTGTGCTTCGTTTCCTGTCTAACACCCACGAGCAACCTGAAACAAGAAGCCAGAGCAAAAAGCATCCTCTCACCTTGAAACCTCGCCTTCAAGGCTTAACTTTGGCAATCCCGGAAGCCCTGAGATGCCAGGTGAAGTCCTGGTCAACCAGGTCCCCGTCGTCATTCAGCACTGGGTAGCCCCAGGCACGGAGAAGCTGCAGAACCAGCACAACATGCTCGCCCTGCGCTGCTCATGCACACAGTGTCGATTTCTGGCAAGGATGAGAGAGACGGTGCGCCAGAAACAAGACACCTGATGCATCTTCGGCCCTTCTAGCTTCCGAGCCCGGCCGTCCCTCTGTGGGTTTAGGATCTGCCATGGTGCTTATTTGGGGCGGAGAGAGGGAGATGCTTTCGTCCGGAACCTGGGGGCCGGAAAAATCCCCAAAAACCGGACACGCAAAGGCCTTGAGGTCCATTGGAGCTGCCAGGGCTGAGCCCTGGCAGAGGATCTCACCATCTCTTGAGGGTTGCTTGCGTTCAGATGAGATGCGTCAGCCTGCCTGGACTACCCCTACAGTGTAAGGTCCTACAGTGTTGTGTGCGAGCCATGCAAGCCCTGCTGTAGACGCGGAACCTGCTTTCACAAGGACGATGGGATCGAAGCACTCCCCATCAATCTCATAACGTCTTGAAGAGATGTGAAAAGCAAGCAACTCCCAAGCCTTGCTCATGATTGTGAGAAGCGCACTGTTGATGTAGACATCTGCACAGATCGTCTCGAACCGATCCTACGAGGAATTTGCTGCAGGAAGCAGCTCGCACGCCGCAGCCAGATCCAACCATGAATAAACCATGAACCCTAAACCCCAAACCCCAAACCCTAAACCCTAAACCCTAAACCCTAAACCCAGAATAGAAGGAACCCTGTCAATGCACCAAGATCCTGCAGCAGCTGCCGTTGGCGCAGCTCCTCCTCCACTGACCTGGTGGTCTCTCATGACATTGAAACACCCGTTGCGAACCCTAAACCCTAAACCCTAAACCCTAAACCCTAAACCCTAAACCCTAAACCCTAAACCCTATACTGGGCCAGGGACGCTTGGCGCTGTTGCTGCTCGTACTTGGCCAGCTGTGCCTAGTACGGCTCAGACACGAATCGATCCCACAACTTCATGCACACATTGACTGTGGTCATGCTTGCCACAAGACCTTTACGTCTTCTGAGCCATGGAAGTTTCACTCAAAGCCAGCTTTGTTCAATGCATTTTTGTGGGCTCCTTCCTAGGCTTGCGTGGATGACTTGTTTCTTCCTTGTTTCCGTCCTTCTTCATGGCCACGCACACTTGCGCTTGCATGCTTCCATGCATACACGAATCGACACACGCTTGCGAACTTGCTGAAACACTCGCTACTGGTGTGCATTAACCTCTGTTTTGACTTTTTGATTCGGCTGAGTGCAAGTTTAGGGTTTAGAGTTTAGGGCGGTCCAGGCCTCGTTTTCAGCTCGAAGCTGGCGTCGATCTGCATCCTGGAAAACCTCATGCGAGAAAAACTAGACTCCCCTTAGAACCTTAATACAAATAATGTGTTTAATATCCTCTTGGGTTTTATATAAACAAAAATATAAAACAATTCCCAAGGGGGATACAGAAAAGCCCTTCGAATTTGACATCCCAAAGCGACTACCAAATTCACCAGGCCTCCGACATTGCTGAATGGTGGGGCAAAACATTGAGTGACATGTCCCTTCACGCGCTGGATCATGCTGGCTGGGACCCGTGCCGACATCCGGAGCAAGTCGCTCTCTTTGACTAGAGCCTGACAGGATCTGCACATCAAGGGCGCCAGTCCCGCCAAAACCTTGGAAGCTTAGAAACTTAGTGTATGCCATGCTTCCTGCTGACGCACTGTCATTCAACGGACTCATCCGAACTCGTGTGAAGTGATGCTGTGTGTGAGTGCCACCAATCAAAACGCTATCAGTGGCTCTTCCTACGTGGAAAAAAGCCTAGGTGAAAGCCAAATCACGTTCACTTGCTTTCCGAAATGGTCATCAGTGCTGACATGTGTCGCTTGATCTCAGCTGTGTGCAAGGAGCAACTGTGTCAATGCTGAGTTGTGTCCTTGCCGTAGTTGGTTCGAAACCTCACTCGTGGGTGATCTCTATCGCGTGCCCTTCGTAAAAAGCATCTGATGTCCCCTCCACCTCCGCCAACGCCAAGAAGGTGCAGAGTTTCCAAGGCGGGCCTCGAAGCTCTGCCAAAACTCCGAGAATTTGACCTGCCCGCACAAGTGACAAAACCTGTCTATGAAGGAGTTAGCCACGGCTCGTCTGGACAACTTGGGGGTTTCCGAAAGAAGGGGTACCTTATTGGGGTCCTGATTCTAAGGAAACCTACTATATTAGGTAGGGTCCCTTATTTTCCTGAAGCCCCACTTCATGACAAGCAGGGGGAGCCCTGACATGAAACTTTGTTGGATCACCGAGAGTGGTTGCGCGGCGGATGGATACCCTGGTCCTCTGCCAGCGAAAGAGCTTCACACAGGTAGCTCACAATAGTTTTGAGCAATGGCATTGCGAAGATCGCATCATGAAATTTCGACATCAACCCCCGGCAGCAGTGAAACAGACTCTGCCCCCTTTCCGGAAGCCAGGGTCCCATGTCATAGTGCTTCTGCCCGAAGCGAGCCTTCTCCGGGTCTGCAGCCTGGATGTCGGGTAGCTTGGCGCACCTTCACGCCATGACGTACGTCGTGCGTCATGGTGGAGTGGGCTCGGGGAAGTTGCACCACCCCAACTCAGCAGACTGACTCCTGACATGCCCCCCCTCGCCTTGCAAACTCGCCCTCCAGCTTCCAGGTGGCATCGAGTTTCTGCACCAAGAAGTTGCATCGATTCGAAAGCCTAACTACAGTAAGCATCAAACCTGGGGCTTGGTGGCCAAACAAGTCTGGCAACAGAAAATGCGTCAAGCACAGCCCGGATGCCGTGAGATGTACCTTGCACCAACCTAAGCAGACTATACAGCCTGGACACTTGCTAACCTGGCCTTCATACATACTTCAGGAGCGGGCTACGGCGATGCCTCGATCACCCGCGGGGTCTGCGCCAGGGGCATGTGCTCGTGGTCCTTGGCGGGTCTCAGCCGGTTCGATTCAGGCTCGCAAGGGTTCCATGGAACACAACCATGGCCTCTTGCCAATACTTGCATTCTGAGCGAAAGCTCTTAAAATGTTTTGCTCCGCTTTTGCTGTTGGCCCCTTGCTTCAGTGTGCAGGTTCCGCTGCTGCTTTCAAGGGCCCATAACAAACAGCATAAGATTCTGCGGTTCGAATGTGACCGAAATCAGGAAACCTCAAGGCCAACCAGGCCATGTCTGCAGAAGATCTGGTTGCAGCGGTTGCGGTTTCTGAGCCACCGCCTGGCTCAAGGTTTTCGACGGCCATTACCACAAGCCACCTTGCAGCGGTTGAGCTTCGTCGCCTGTGAACATTTGCCTGGCTCCTTCCGCAGCCTCCCTCATAGGGACTCATAGGGACGCCACGCCCCTTCAAAGGGGCGTGGAGGTTCCACCACCCCCCCCCCCCGACCGACCCTGCCCCCCCCCCCCCCCCCCGCCGCCGTGGCTACTGGGGGGGCACTTCAGCCATTTCAGCTGAGCGGCCTCCGCGAGGAGAAACCAGGCGTTTTCAAACTCCTCCTGTTTTCGGAGGAGGTTCCGGCGCCCGCGCTCCACCTTCGACAGACGTTGACGCGTTCCTTTTTTGTGGGGGGGGGGCCCTCTCTAACCCAACAGTGCCTCGTCAATCCTGATGGAATCCTTCCTACACCCTTCCTTCCAAAAGCCCATACCATGTACAAGTAATGGACTCGGTCTTGTTATAAGTGAAAAGAGGTTGCTTAAGGTGTCGCTCATGCACACCCCGCCGTCCAACGCCAAGAGACCTCGGGCCCTCGCAGCGCGTAAGATTCCGTAAGCCGCGCCCAGACTTGTTGTGTCAAGCGCTACCACTCCTGACCAAGGTCCAACCCTCCATGAACCTCCAAAGACATCTGGGGGTGTAGGAAATAGGGGACCCCAAGATAGCCCCCCAAAATGGTAGAATCCCCTGATAATCACGACCCCAAATGAGGTACCCCCCCGAATACGTAAACCCCCCAACTGCCTCAGCGAGCTCCCGGATCTTCTCGTACCTGGCGAGCAAGCACTAACTGGAGTACAGCAGCACAGCATTGGCCGCCGTCCGGAACGAGAAGGGCAGAGTTCTTATGGCTAGGGACTCCAACTCCAACGCGTGCCGGCCCCGTGGGACTCGAGACCCCTGGGTACTCCAAAAAGAAAAGGTGTAGGGAGCCCCCTAGTTACGCCAGCTCGGACCTTCTTGGGACCCTTCACAGCCCCCTGACACTCGGCCCAATGAAAGCCCCTAAACGTTCGAATGCAACCTCGAACTCCCTGCAGGGCCAAGCCGACCCACCACTTCGGCAACTGTAGACTTGCGGGGGGCACGTCCCTGTGCGATGGTCGTGGATGTGGCCGGGATGGTTCCGCAAGAGGTACTGAGCCAGCCTCAAGCCGAATTTGTTGGATGATTTTGGGGGGACTTGAATCATCTCTGGCATCTCGAGAAGTTTGGAGATCGAGTCCTGGACCATATCAAGGGATTGAACTTCTGCTTGCTGCTGCCCATGGTCGTGCCGGTGGCGACTTTGTCCACGTGCCTTAGTCTCACGCTGCACCTCGCAGGCTCCGGGGACCTTCGGACCTTCGCTCCGAGAGGGCGACTTGCTGAGAGCGTCCAGCCCTTGCAGCAGCAAAGGCATCACCTGCGCTTAGGGTTTAGGGTTTAGGGTTTGGGGTTTGGGGTTGAGGGTTTAGGGTTTGGGGTTTAGGTAGGGTTGTGCAGACCCCCCCCCCCAGCGCGCGCTGAGCTCCGGACGCCCTTCTCCATCAAGTAGACATCGAAGTCGCCCTCTGCCTGCGCCGGCCATCGACCGCATGATTTTGAGGAAGCATTGTACATGTGGTCACCTCTCTCAAATACGGTCCTTATTAGAAGGCGGCCCCTCTAATTTAGGGTACCCGGAAGGCACCATGTAACAGCGTACCTCTGCCATGGGCAGCAGCATCTGCAAGAGGAAGCCCTCGTCTATCTTCAAGTCCCGAAACACCTGCTGCACGTGGACAGTGAGGGGTGAGACGTGTTTGACTCGGCAACTCTGATAGCACTTGCCAGACAATCTTCTCAGGTATATCGGTGTATCTTCGCGAGGTTGCGCCAAGCTGTCTACCGATCAAGCCCCGCATGCGCACGGCCAGAGCCAGTCACAATCAATCCTAACCTTCAAAGCAACCTCACAGCTGGGTTGGGATATGTCAGAGCCTGCTGTTGGGTGCGAGACACAGTGTGCGACATCAGGGCGGCACCTTTTCCGTTTCAGAAACAAGGGCGGAGACTTAGGCAAGATAAAAGAGAAGCTGATAAACTTGAGGATTCCTCCGATCCGGCACAGAGTTGCGACTGACTGCGCTCATGGTACTCCCCTAGCTGTAATTAGAAGAGCAGAAAGCAGTTGTGCTCAGATTCCTTAAGAGCCCACGAAACCCTAAACCCTAAACCCTAAACCCTCAACCCTAAACCCTAAACCCTAAACCCTGAACCCTAAACCCTAAACCCTAAACCCCCTCCACCACCTCGAAGTCACTGAGCCCAAGGCTTCGGCTGAGCGCTGTGAAGGCCCGCGGGAAGCTGAAAGGTGAAAATGCCCAAAGAGGGCCCTGAAATAGCCCAACTAAGTACCCTGAGACCTCAGACCCGTTTTTGAGACCTGGAACCCCTTCTGCCCAGCTTCAACACACATTGAGGCCGGCCCTTGCTCACTTTTGAAACCCTGGCTGGGGAGCATCTCTTCATTCTCGCAGGCACGTGGGCTGAACGCAATGCAGTGCTGTGAGCTGTGACCACTACGGGGGTCAAAATACAATGATGTTCCCTGAATGCCTGATTTCTGCGAGAAACTGTTGAATCTCACCATAGCGAACATGTCTGAGCCTTCATGGCACAAGGCGGCGCGGCATGTGCAGACTTGGACGAAGCACGCCGACCTGCCTCGAAACCGCGCAGTCCACGTCCTACGCGTGCCAAGCATGAACTGCGATCAGCACGTACATTTTTCTCTCATCCTGCACGTCCGAACTACGTCACTTTGTGGAATAAGCCGCGCTCAGCTTTACGGACTCCACACGTGCGCCCTGCCCCCACAAAAATGACGATTTCCACAAAGGCAATATGAGATAATATGAGTATGTGTACGTGGGACAGGTCTCGCGGGTACGCACCAGCCACATGGTGGCACGCACGGTGAATTCTCTCCGGGGTGAGACTCCTGACAGGTCTATGCGACCTGCTGCAGCTTGAGCTTTGCCGAGCGCTTTGCGCTCTTCGACTCAAACAGCAGAGATAGGTGAAACGCACGGACAAGTCTACGTACTGCATCTGGCGGCATGTGAATGGGTTTTAATCTGCCTTCTAGCAACCTGAATGATTTTTTGTAACAGCTCCGGACGAAGTCAATCACAGGAATACAGCTTGCTTTTGTTTTCGGAGGTAAGGGCCATGAAGTCAGGGGCTCATATGGTTTACCTGATGGCTTTGAGTGCGGCCTGAGTGTTTCAGGCTCGATTGGCTGTGACCTTGCGCAGGCGAAGCACGATTCCAATCTACAAGTTGTCTGCAGCGCATGCGATGTTGAATGATGTCATCGATGGATCCTTCGCCAATATAACCCCTATTACTCTATGCTATCGTGAGCATGTGGGTGTGTGGGTGTGGGGTTGCGGGGGTGCGGGGGTGCGGGGGTGTGGGGGTGCGGGGGTGGGGGTGTAGGGGGGGGGTGTGGGGGTGGGGGGGTGGGGGGTGTAGGGGTGTGGGGTGTGGGGGTGTGGGGGGGTGGGGGTGTGGGGGTGTGGGGGTGTGGGGGTGTGGGGGTGTGGGGGTTGTGGGGGTGTGGGGGTGTGGGGTGTGGGGTGGGGGTGTGGGGGTTGTGGGGGGTGTGGGGGTGTGGGGGTGTGGGGTGTGTGGGGGGTGTGGTGTGGGGGTGTGGGGGGTGTGGGGGTGTGGGGGTGTGGGGGTGTGGGGGTGTGGGGGTGTGGGGGGGTGGGGGTGTGGGGTGTGGGGGTGTGGGGGGGTGTGGGGGTGTGGGGGTGTGGGGGGTTGTGGGGGTGTGGGGGTGTGGGGGTGTGGGGGTGTGGGGGTGTGGGGGGTGTGGGGGTGTGGGGGTGTGGGGGTGTGGGGGTGTGGGGGGTGGGGGTGTGGGGGTGTGGGGTGTGGGGTGTGTGTGGGGTGTGGGGGTGTGGGGTGTGGGGGTGTGGGGGGTGTGGGGGGTGGGGGGTGTGGGGGGTGTGGGGGGTGGGGGTGTGGGGGGTGTGGGGGGTGGGGTGTGGGGGTGTGTGGGGGTGTGGGGGTGTGGGGGGTGGGGGTGGGGGTGTGGGGGGTGGGGGGTGGGGGTGTGGGGGTGTGGGGTGGGGGGTGTGGGGGGTGTGGGGGTGTGGGGGTGTGGGGGTGTGGGGGTGTGGGGGTGTGGGGGTGTGGGGGGTGGGGGTGGTGTGGGTGGGTGTTGGGGGTGTGGGGGTGTGGGGTGTGGGGGTGTGGGGGTGGGGGGGGTGTGGGGGTGTGGGGGTGTGGGGGTGTGGGGGTGTGGGGGTGTTGTGGGGGTGTGGGGGTGTGGGGTGTGGGGGTGTGGGGGTGTGGGGGTGTGGGGGTGTGGGGGGTGGGGGGGTTGTGGGGGTGGGTTTGCGGGTACAGGGTGTGGGGTGTCTCGTGTCGTGTGTCGCGCTGTGCGGGTGTGTGCGCGGCGTGTGCGATGGGCTGGGTGTGGGCGGTGGGTGTGCGTGGGCGTGGGCGTGGGCGTGGGCGTGGGCGTGGGCGTGGGCGTGGGCGTGGGCGTGGGCGTGGGCGTGGGCGTGGGCGTGGGCGTGGGCGTGGGCGTGGGCGTGGGCGTGGGCGTGGGCGTGGGCGTGGGCGTGGGCGTGGGCGTGGGCGTGTCCGTGTCCGTGTCCGTGTCCGTGTCCGTGTCCGTGTCCGTGTCCGTGTCTGTGTCTGTGTCTGTGTGTTCTCCTACACGGAAGACAAGAGAAGACAAGAGCCCTGACTCCAAAGCTGCACATGTGTTGAACACCATCACCCTCTGTGCACCGCATGGCGGATCTTGCACTTCCAGGGCCACGGCGGTGGTGTAAATGTGCCCTCCCTTTTTGCGGAAGAGGTTGATCTCTGCCTTCAGCCAAGCATCGTGTGGCAGAGAACACACTTCCGCTGTCTGTGGCATGCGCTCGAGACATTCAGGTCTTGAATTGCAAACCACCCTGAACACCAAACCCAAAACCCTAAACCCTAAACCCCTAAACCCCTAAAACCCTAAACCCTAAACCCCTAAAACCCTAAAACCCTAAAACCCTAAACCCTAAAACCCTAAACCCTAAACCCCTAAACCCTAAACCCTAAACCCCTGCCAAAGACACATGCACTGTTGCTTTGATCACAGTCAATGAGTCAATGCTCGTTCGCATGGCTGTGAACTTATCGGGTACGTGAGCAATGTAGGCATAAGTCCACCTTCCTGCAACAGACCCTAAACCCTAAACCCTAAACCCTAAACCCTAAACCCTAAACCCTAAACCCTAAACCCTAAACCCTAAACCCTAAACCCTAAACCCTAAACCCTAAACCCTAACCCTAAACCCTCATGAATTTCCGGCCTGCAAGGTGGCAATCTCTTTGGTTTGAAGCGCGAGAAGATCTTTGCATCTCTCGCGCTCCTGGGCACTGCACTTTCCCATGGAAACCAGCAGAAGTCTGAGTGCTGAGGGAGGTCGTCGAAATGACACAAATCTCAGTAGAACCACCTCCAGTGACTCCTGCGACCCCCTTCAACATATGCCGGGAAAAGAGACGGATCAGCTGACTCCAACCATGGATGGCAGAGTGACAACGAATGCAAATACATACACCGTCTAACTAGTATTTCACGAATATAAGCCGGTGGACTGCATGAAAGTGTGCAGGCAGACACAAATTCGGTGACGGGTTCGGTGACAACCCTTTCCTTGATGGAAGATCTTCTTCGTCGACGTATCATTCGACGACACTGAACTAGCTGATCTACGACTTGCTTCTTAAGAACCCCAAAAAAAGGACAATAATCCCTGATAACGAAGAACATGTTTTGAGAGGGTAAGCAAAAAAGTTGGGAGTTTAGGTGGTAGTGTGAAGGCGTTTAATTTGTGCTGCCGAGTGGCGTATTTTGGTCGCAACAATGTCTTGTCGAAGTGGTGTGTGTTTGTGCTATCAGTTGCTAGCGAAGGCATCTGCATGGTTTTTCTTGTTGCCAGGATGGTCTAAATTCTCCGAGTCTTCCACAGTCCTGTCTCGTGAGACTAGTAGGTGGTTCGCTTACCGGGTGAAGTCCTGCACCTTGGTCCTTCACATGTGGCCTGAAAGCTTACTTGTTTCTGCCAAAAAACACTGTTCAGCATCTCATATACCAGCTGATTTGTGGATGGTGGGGCAAAGTGGGCAATTGAAATTTTGGCAATTCGTCGACGCCCTTGCATTTGGAATGCGTGAATCCTGGATAGAGCTGGCGCAGTCAACAGCGCGATCTAATCCGAGGATCTGCTTAATAAAACCTTTGTTTTTAAAGAATTTTGTTTGGCCCGAACCCTCCGGGAAGACTACTTTCCATTGCGGGAGCCAAAAAGCCAAAATGCACAAAGAAACCCCCGGGACTCAAAGAAAAAGATTTTGGGGCCCAAAAATTTGGAATTGCTGAAGGCTACAGGAATAATGGAAAGACCGCCGGCCTGCGAGGACGAGAAGCACAGAGATTTTGAATTGCTTAAGTAATGATACGACGTGCTCTCGGATTTTTTGGAATTGGAGACTGCAGCAGAAAACTGCGATTCCTTACTACATTTCACCTAGGATCATTGCCCAAATCATTCGCTCCTGACCTACCCCTTATGGTGTCGGAATTCAGGCGAGAATTTGCGATTAATAAAACCCCCTAAAATAATGGAAAGCCCGGCGGGCCCACCATGATGATAAGCACAGAGAGTTTGACTTGCTTAAGGCTTAAGTAAGCAATTGCCCACGTCCTCTCCTTTTTTTTGGAGTTGGAGGCTGCAGCAGCCAACTGCGATTCTTTACTACTTTTCACCTAGGATCAGTGCCCAAATCATTCGCTCCTGACCTACCCCTTACGGGGCCGGAATTCAGGCGAGAATTTGCGATTCATAAACTCCCTCAAATAATGGAAAGCCCGGCGGGCACACCATGACGAGGCAAGAACATAAGCCTTCCAAGAAGAGGAGCGGAAAAGGACACAAGAGGACAGCCCCTTTCCGCGCACCTCCCCCACCCCCCCCCCCCCTCCCAGCCCAGGAAATAATAGACCCCTTTCCATTATTCCTGGGGGGGGAGGGGCCCTATTAATCAGAAGCACGGATTCGCACACAATCGGGCCCACATGCGGGGCGTAGGAGGCGATAGGGTCACGGGAGGGGCACGCAAGTGCACGCGTCTTGGCTCAGCAGAAACCCTATTGCGCAGCACTTCGACACACTTCAGCGCAGCTTCATCGGCTCTGGAACTACTTCTCCAGCACAATACCAGTTGGGCGGAACCAGGTGGGAAAGGGGAGGAGCGTTAGAGGTCGGGGGGGGGGGGTGGGAAGATGCACCGATCTTCCCCCCCAACAAGAAACCCTTCGGCTCGGGGATGACACTGGATTTCGATTACAATTTCAATCAACGTCAATTTCAATACCCTCCTCCGGGCGGGGGCCCCTGTCGGCCAAGGGTCTCAATTTAAATCGATTTTCATACCTAACAGGGTGTCCTAGCCAGGCACGACGGGGTATTAACATCGATTCTAGTTGATTTTGACCGCGTCTCCGACCTTGGGGCATTAAAATCGATTTAAATACCTTTCGCTTGAGGGGCCGGTTCCGGAGGGGGCTTAGGGAGCTTAGGGGGCTTAGGGGGCTTGGGGGACTTGGGGGTATGGGGGGCTTAGGGGCTTAGGGGGCCTGGGGGGCTTAGAGGGCTCAAAGGGGCTTTGGGAGGCTTGGGGGAAATTCTCCGCCCCTCCCGCATCTTCCATCCCGCACCCTCCTTCCCCTCCCCCCCACTACCCCCCCACCTATGGCCTACCCCCCCCCCCCCCAATACCAGAAAAAATAGTACTTTTGGAGGGGTCCGGAGAGCAAAAGGAATTAAAATCGCTTTTGAGTGCTTTCATGATCGGAGGCAATTAAAATCGAGTTTAATACTCTCTGGAGGGGTCCAGAGAGCCAAATGAATTAGATTCGATTTTGAATGCTTTCACAATCGGAAGCACTTAAAATCGATTTTACTACTTCTGGAGGGGTCCAGAGAGCAAAATGAATGAAAATCGATGTCAAGTGTCTCTGAAGCGTTAAAGTCTGGGCCAGGGTATTAAAATCAATTTCCAAGGCAAAACTCAAGATGGCATTAAATTCGATTTCAACTGATTTGCAAACCGAATCAAGAAAACCTGGAAGCAGGTATTAAAATCGATTCTAATGCGGAATTGAAGTCGAAATCCAGACTCAACCTTGGCTCGGTGGCCCTGCAGGTTCTTCTGATAAAGCAGGAGTTGAGGGGGCCCTCCGGTAAGACCGTCAATCCTGAAATGTCAGGATCTGAGGTCCCTAAATCTTGTTTTGTAACCAAGAAGAAAGAGGTAGTAAACAAGAGCTCACGCAAGCTCCCGGGGGCTAGCTGTTGCGACGCTTTCTTTAATCTTGAAGCTACACTCTTCGATTGCATCGTGTCGTGCTTCATACTGCTCCAGAAACGTATGTAACATCAGCTGATCTCTTTTGAACCCCTCCATGATTATCCGCTTCCGTCTGTCAATAAGACCAGCGTGCCAAGATAGGTTGCAAAGTGTTTGCGTGGAACGAGTAGGAGGGCCGTCTTTGCTTTTAATTCTGGACTGCTGCTGGCTTACAGCCAATTTAGTGCCTAGGCACAAACATTGCAGACATCTTCAAGAGGCGACGCCACCGAAAAGCAAAACTTAAGACCGTAGCCTCACTGCAAGTGTTTAAGGTTCATCGCCACTTACGACCCCTGGCGCAAGTCTTATGGAGTCTTGCATGTTAATCGAAGATGCTACAGTTCGTAAGGCATATGTATCATTTCCAGTTCACAATGTCAAGGTTGGCCAGTATCGCCATACTTGTTCGCCCTCATGTTGCCATGTTCCAGGACATCCAAGTAGGTCCAAAACATCGGGAGTCCATACCAGGTTTGAGATTTGCAGAAGTCATCCAGGCTGACGACTTGCTGTACTCACACCCATCCTGCTAACAAACCCTTCCAGGAAATGAAAGCAGAGCCAGCAAGGACTATCTGATTGAAACCTCGAGTAGACAGAGACTGTTGGCTTTATTGAGCCACGTATCTGGTTAAGCCCTGCATCATTCTTGTTCTTTTGCGTACTACTGGCTTTTCTAGAAACTGAGAGGCTTGAGGATTCAAGATTCATCTTCAACAAGAAAGTTAGCCATTTTGTTGTGATCCAGAAACCTTCAATGTGCTCTCATGGTTAAGTTTTCAAGCTCTTGCAAAAGTGCGTGTTCATTTCCTTTGCTGGTTCCGCTTTAAGGAATTAGCTGTTCACTGAAGCTTGCTGCTCTCCTCAAGTAACTGCCAAAAGGCTTCTTCATTTTAGGTGGGATCTACGTTGGGCATTTCATCGTCAGCATCCAAATCGTCCCATATGCTTGTGGATGTCGTTGTTGGTTGTAGTTTCTTTGTTGTTGAACTTGTAGAAACAGACATTCTTGGGCCACCATGTGCATGCTGCACGCACCGCGTAACCGCCTGCCCCTATCGAACGCTGCAACAAGAGGACACTTGCGTTTGCGAGGGCATGCGAGGACGCAGTGGGAGCGGCATAGGACAGGTGCTAACCTGAGCCGTGCACCATCCGTCGAAGCTCATTCAAGGGCTCATTGTCATTCACTGTGACCTCGCACGTGATCGTGTGGCCAAAGATCGCTAAACACCAAGCAGAGCGCACTCGATTTGGGGGCAACGTTCAACACTACCCAGAGGCGCCCACAGTTTGGAGGCCTACCCCATCTCTCAGCAGACATTGCCACCGCAAGGCCGTGCGAACATCAAGACGACCACTCGAGGCAGCACAAGGGCACAGACCGGGCGATGTTTTCAACGCTGGGGCTCCTGCATTAGCTATTCTCGCATTCAGGGCTGCGTCCAGCTGCATCTGCGAGTAGCCTTTGGACGGAAAGGTGTTAAACACGAAGCACCTTTCCCGGCTAACAGGGAAACGACTTTGATCGACTTCTTGTCGCGCTCAGGGCATCCTGTAAGGCACTGGCCCATGCTGACAATCTGTTCCATGAGCGACGTGTTGTCGCACGTGATTTTGGTCAGCTCCTTCTTCTGCTTTTCCATCCTGACGAAGTAAGCGGCTCCTAAAAAAAAAAGAGTCACTAAGCTGCTGTAAGGGCAGCTGATGATGCCCTGACTGTTCCTCTCACAGCAAGCTACTTGTAGTCCTGGCTCTTCTTTTTGGGGCCCCGTGGACTTTGAGGGCCACCCGCAACAACCTCCCCCTAAACCCTCAACCCTCAACCCTAAACCCTAAACCCTAAACCCTGAACCCTAAACCCTAAACCCTAAACCCTTCGGATCCGCAAGTTGGCGCCTCTTCTCCCAGTCGGCGATGCGGCGCCGGTGCTCCGCCTCGGCCTGGAGCACCTTCTCCTGCAGCTCCTCCAGTCCATTGGTTTAGGGTTTAAGGTTTAGGGTTTAGGGTTTAGGGTTTAGGGCATTGCGCTTGTGTTCTTTGTTTCGTTTTGTTTCGTTTTGGTTTGCTTTGTTTTGTTTCGTTTTGTTTGTTTTGTTTCGCTTTGTTGTTTTGGTTTGATTGGATTCGTTTTGTTTTGCTTCGTTGTGTTTTGCTTTGTTTCGTTGTGTGCGTTGCTAAGTTTTGTTCTGCTTTGTTTCGTTTTGTGTTGCTTCGTTTTGGTTTGCTTCGTTTTGTTTTGCCGATATGTTTGAGTGCGTGCTTTTTGCTGCTGTTCTTAGATGTCTGAAAGAATGGCTTCGAGATTACATGTGATTGAGACTGCTGTTGGCTGTTGCCGTTGCACGCAGCTTCTGGCACGTCTGAGGGTCTTGCATGCCTACCTTGCCCTGGTATGCCTCCACCTGATTCCCGATGCTTCTACAGATCAACAAACACTCAACAGACTGATTGGGGAAAAATCGTGGCAGGGACCTTGATAAGATTGCTGGATGCCAGGCTTTGAGGAACGTACATGGAAGTGATATCCAGAATGCATTCTACGAAGGAGATGACGATCACAGCACTAGTTGTAAGTTCGGCTAGCACCGCTGCATTCCCGGCCTGAACGTATTTGTTCGGAGCACTTCGCTCGATGAGATCCAAGTCGACAATCTGCCCGAACTTGAGCATCTGGATGTCCTCACTGTTCTACAGCGCCTTCCTGCATGACCTCGCACTCCCCGAAGAATAACTGGGAAATTACTTGCTCCGGTGAGGTCCTGGAACTTCGCATGGAGATCCTGAAAACTTGGGCGACGACGCAGGCAAAACACACACACACACACAAGCACAAGCACAAGCACAAATGCGAGAAGGGCGTGGCACTTCTCTGTCTCTCCACTGGCACTGCAAACTTTGACATCCTGCACCTGTATGAACAACATGGACGGTCCTCGATGTGCTGCAAAGCAACGCTCTTGTCCTTCTTGCGCACACGGAAGTCACGCTGAAGCCTGAAGGCGATCAGCAGCTGTTGCAAAGTGCCCTGTGGGAGTGATAGAGAGAGGGAGAGAGCGAGTTGGACAGCACATATATATATATATATATATGTATATATATATATATATATAGATATGTATATATATATAGATATGTATATATATATATATGTATTGTCGAGGCTCTCTACTCGTATCCTGTGACGCATCTATCAGGTCCCTGCTGCATCTTCTGGCTGCGGGCAGGTTCAAGGCTCCAGCTGTTTGTGCCTTGCCTTGACCTGGCCGAGTCTGCTCAAATGCATGCACATGCATGTTCCGCCATGTAGAATCGAGGATGAAGGCAAGGCATATCCAGCTTAGATAAACAGATAAACATCCTGTTAGCCGCCGCTGCCGATCGCAGGCTCCATGCTAGCAATGCCAGCACACTGAAAAAAATGATGCAACTTGGAAGTGTCCAAAAGCTTGTGGGAACGCCCAAGGTTTCGTTTAGACATTCGCAATACCATCTCGGAGATCACATGCTGCCTCCTTGATCTCCTGGTGTAGCTCCGTAATGCGAGTCATGAGACGGTCCAGGCCCTGGGCGCGGCAGGAATGTGGAGAACGCGTATGCCGCTGCATCGGTGCAGTTTCGGGGTTTAGGGTTAAGGGTTAAGGGTTTAGGCTTCAGGGTTTAGGGTTCCGGGCCTCGTTGGTGAAGACCACCTGCTGACCCAGCTCAGGCGGAAGGCGCTCCTGCCTGCTCGATGGCTCTGCTGTGTTTCTGGCAGCTTGGAAAAAGACCACTGAACAGCCCAAGAACATGCCATCTAACCACAAGAACAGCAGCAGCAACCAACGAAACAAAACAAGACAAGACAAGACCAGACAAAACAACAAAAACGACAACGACCCAGACCATGACCACGGCAACAACAACAAAAATGTACGTGTGATTGTGGGCATGAGCAGTCCAACTCCGAGCTCCGATTTCTCTTTGGAACACGTTGGCATGTCGCAGCTGCAGCTGGGGTGTAGACGCATCGCTTTGGTCCGCAGATGACAAGCACTGAACCTGACATTCAGACTGCGCTGCCAGAGCTGTGCACATACAGTCTGGCTGTGCAAGCAACATACAAGTGACGGCAAAGGCTGCTGAAATAGATGTCCAACGGCTTTCTGAAGGCACCATCGTGTGACAAACAAGCCCTCAGACTGCTATGGTCGGGTCATTAGCATTGCTTCGCTCGTGGCTGTGTTTCATTGTTTCATGCTCCCGCAGCATGCACAGTTTCGAAGTGACGGGTCTAGGGGAGAGCCAGCATGCAATTCAAACATCAGCACTGCCTGCGACAATCGCAACGAAAAGACGATGGGCACCTGACACCACACATGCGAGGCATGGGCGCACTGTACTTGTGCTACTTCTGTACTACTGCAGGTGCACTCACCTATCAATGCCAGTAGTAGACGGTCTGCGATAGTCCTGTGATACCCCCCCCCCCCCCCCCCCCGCTGCAGGATGATTGCCACAACTTGAAGGGACAACCAACAACTGTCAAGCTGAGACAGCCCGTCAAAGAGAGGCTGAAAAGCTATGAAGCATGGACCAAAAATCCTCCTCATCCGTCCTCAACCATGCTTCACCTTTTTTGAGGATCTCTGCCATGCGCCTGGTTCAGCTTGCGCTGCTTATCCGTCTGGAACTGCTGAATCTCCGCATCGGTCCGTCTCTGCTCCTGGCACAGGAAATGACCCCAAAGTCACTTGTGGGAGTTCCGCGAATTTGGAGGCTGACCGTGCTTGGGGTCTCAAAACATAGGCATGTTGCATCACATGGATCTGTACAGGCAGCCTATCGGGTGGTCACAAATAGGCCGAAGGCCACCTCCATTAGCAGAAAAAGCAATGACCGAGTGTCATCTCTTGGCCAACTGCCCGACAAATCCAGGACCCTGTGGCATTCCAGACACTGCCCCTGCTTGCAAAATGCAAAGAATCACAACTCCTGATGCCTTATGCACGGCAACACTAGGCTGCAAGAAGTGAACCCACCGCAATCCCCCACATCCCCGCGAACCCTGCATCACGCATCCACTGCATCCTACGCTCGTCCCGCTAGATCGTCCCGCCCGCTTCCTCGGGCTCAGGCAACCTATCCGGTCTCTGAACCCCCGAATCCGGGAGACACGTGCGGCCTTGTCAATGCGCTGCTCGTCTTCCCCAAGGCGCTTGTGCGTGTTCTTGAGGCCCTGGGACAAATCTTGGCTTGACCCAGGGGTTTGGGCCAGGGGAAGGTTTGGCTGTGAGCCTAAGGTTCCTTGACAGAGGACCACTGCAATGCTACGTCACCTTCAAGAAACAGCTGCAAGGATGTTGGGTCTAGCAAGTCGCCTCCTGAACCGCTTGAGCTGGCGGACTCATCAACGGGCCTCCACTGCTTTCTGAATCTCCTGGAGGGCGTCTTCCATCTCCAGGCCTATTAGAGTCAGTGGTTGATAAGGGGCTTTACGAAATAGGGGACCCCTAAAATAGACCTCCCAAATAGTAGGATCCCCTCATAATAAGGACAACTCCCATATGGTGAGAGAGAAGAGGGGGCGTGGATGCTTCTAAGCCCCCGCAAGGAGTCAACGGACAACACGTCCTTAAGAGCCGGGCGCTTGTCACGCAGATCGATGACGCTCTCATAGATCTGGTGGTCGCATCCCTAGGGTTGGTTCGAAGTGAAAGAGTCACTGGCATCTGCAAAAAAATGAGTCTGCGACAGAAACCCGGTCTGCTCAGAATGGCGGCGGCGGGTCACTACATGTGGGGACATCGATCTCCATGCCTGCGGCGGACCGACATCATCGTCATCCATGTCTTCATCCTCGTCGCTTTCAATGTCGCTTCCCTGCAAGGCTTGGACTTCAAACTACGGAGGAGCCGGCCACATCCACCCTAGACCCTGAACCCTAAACCCTAAACCACAACCCTTCAGCCCCCGAAGCCTTGAAGACCTGCCACAACATGCAATCCCCGCTGCCTCGTCATCCTCGTCCTCTTCGTCCTCATCCATCTCCTCTTCCTCCCCCCCTTTCTTCCGCTTGGACCTCTTCACCTGCCAAGAGGCAAAAAAGGCAAGGGGGGCATATACGCGGCCACATGCAGCCATGCAACACCCCCAATCACGAAATGCCTACAATATTCAAGAATCCCCCCTAAGAAGCGCCTGTTTGCAGAAAGAAAACACAACATCAGAAATGCTCTAACATGCTCTAACACAAATATCCAGAATCTCGTCATTCAGTCGCCTCAAAAAACATCTGACCCACCAGCCTTCTTCTTGTAAACCTTCAGGAGGGCACTCAGGAAGGGCGAGTTCTCGCCCACCAGATCCGTAAATTCGGCCTGCAAACGATGCATGTCGGATTGTGTCGGGGCGTACTGGGGGCGATTTTGGGAACAGGCCACCAGACATGACTCACCGCGCTGACGCTTTAACATGGACTGGCCTGAAGGTTCTGCTCCTGGGTGTGCCATTCTTCGATTTCGGCCTGCAAGGCAGTGCAGGCTGCTACCAATTCGAGCGTCGCAATCAGTTCTGCAACGACGGGTCGCTTTGCCGACCCCAAGCTACACAAAGGGAAAATGCATCTCAAATCTCATGGCGCTTCCCGATGTCTGGCACTAGCTATGACCCAACAGAGGAACACACAGCACAACACAACGTTGGACCTTCGACATGCACTGGTGGGCAGGGAATGTGTCGATTACAAAAGGCCCATCGACAGGATGGTAGGACATGACCAGACAAAACCTCATCTAGAAACGAATTGGCTGGAGCAACCTGGGACAAATTGAACAAGTGCCAAGCAGCAAAAACATGGCGAACGATGCCTTTTTCTCGCTCAGCTGGTCTTGGCACTCTTTGATCTGGTGCATGATGCTGGTCTTGTCTTGGCGGCACCTCTCATTGACTGTACGTGAAGAGACTATTCCAAGCTGATTCAATGATGTTTTCGACAAGGTCTGATACTCTCATGCAACTTGCAATACGAAGAAGCAGTACATGCCGTGCAGGACACTACAGTAGGACAGGGCATTGCTTCTGAGATGGCGGCTTCGTCGCTTTCTTAAGCAACGCCTGAGAGCACATGCCCTCAAAGCCGACCCAATACACCATCTTCAAAGATCGAATCACCAGTCGCACCAACAAACTCTCAAAATCAAATTGCAGCGGGCACTAAGCTTACGTGGTCGGCGTGTATTGCGATTGGGCGCCGGGACGAGCACGAACTTACTAAATGACTCAGGAGCTGTTCGTACATTCGCAATAGCAGGTGCGTTTCCTGGAAAGTCCAACGAACTCCGGAACACTAACATGTCTTCGGATGTTTTGGGCATGTCAAGATTGCAATACCAATATGAATAAGAAAAATAATGCTACTTTTACGAGTAAAAACCGGAAAGGTAATTGTAACAATAACGATGATTGTGATAATAGTAGCAGCAGCGAAAACAAGTATACGAATCATTCGAATAGAATCAATAATCCAAAGCGAAATTGTAAGAAGAACTGGAATGGCCAACAAGACTTCGTAGCAAGTGTCTTTAAACCCTAAACCCTAAACCCTAAACCCTAAACCCTAAACCTTCACTCTCATTCTTGTCTCGCTCCGGGCTCCGTATGACTGTCTCAGTGGCTGCACAAGTGGAACATGCCGAATTGCTAAGAGCAGATGCCTCGTCTTTCTCTTCCAAGTCGTTCAGCGTTAATAGCTCCTGACACACGGCTTCCAGCATTTGTGAAGCTGTGCAGTTCTTGCCAAACGGTCCATGTTGCCGCCATGGAGCTGAGAAACAACAGGCCCCTCGAGAATAAACAACTGTTTCGAAACTGCGCGGGAGCGCGGACATCCACAGAACCCCGCAAAGTATCCGTTGGGTGCCACCAACATAGAACTCCGCGACAGTGTCCCTGGAGCGCCCCTAGAGAACAAATGCAAGAGTGACCGCCACCAATATCCCACAGCTTATCCAAAAGAGCCGAATCTCCCTGGAGCGCCACAAAGCTTTTGAGTGGGGATAGTCGTAGAGATGTCTGAGTTCATTTAACTGATGGATTTCCTGCTAGGCCTGCAGTCTCATGGAGCCCTTAGAGCAAGGGACTCTTTTAAACACACTCTTGAGGCAGGGTTTAGGGTTTAGAGTTCAGGGTTCAGGGTTCAGGGTTCAGGGTTCAGGGTTTAGGGTTCAGGGTTCAGGGTTCAGGGTTTAGGGTTCAGGGTTTAGGGTTCAGGGTTCAGGGTGTAGGGTTTAGGGTTCAGGGTTCAGGGTTTAGGGTTTAGGGTTTCGTGTTTAGGGTTTAGGGTTTCGTGCTTAGGGTTTAGGGCTTAGGGCTTAGGGTAGAGGGTTTAGGGTTTAGGGGTCCTCATACAGCACCAGGAGCTTCATGTCGGCGTTCTTGAGATCACTTTCCAGCTTGGCCTTCTCCTTCTCAATGGAGGCGACGGCCATGTTGAAAGTGTCGATGACCTGACAGGTGATGGCCGTCAACTGGGGCCCTGGAAGTGTGGCCTGTGTGGCTTTGGAGCTTTGGTTTAGGGTCTAGGGTCTAGGGTTTAGGGTTTAGGGTTTAGGGTTTAGGGTTTAGGGTTTAGGGTTTAGGGTTTAGGGTTTAGGGTTTAGGGTTTAGGGTTTAGGGTTTAGGACGACCCAAAGGAGCCTGCCGCACGTGCTCCTCGAGCTGGCCCTTGTCGTGCCGGAGACGGGCCTGGGATTCGGTGGCGACGGCCTCCCAGCAAAGTCAGATGGGCCAAGAGACCCCAAAACCCTAGCCCTACACCCTACACCCTTAGCTTTTGGGATTCTAGACCCTGGTAGGGGCTTCTTTTTGCTTTTTTCGGCTTGCAGGGGAGCGCGTGGCAGAAGAAACCTCTGCATCCATCTTCAGGGATAGTTGCAGGGCAAACAGCGAGAAGAGCTTGCCTCAGACAAAACGTCCCGCTTGCCGGACTTATCCTGTCATCAAGGAAAAGCAGACTAGGCCTCTAGGTGATTTTCTTACTGGTGGTTAGCAGGGAATGAGGGAATTCGGGCCCTATATACACCCTTTGAGGATTATATAGCTTGCCTCATTCCCCCATTCCCTGCTAGCCAACAGTAAGTTTTGTCATGGCGTTGTGGGTTGGCTGTGCTCATGAGGACTCATGGGCGACCATTGGCAGGATCATTCCGAAATCCTACAGCAACCTCGCCATACCTCGCCTACACTTGGCTAGTCCTATCCATACATACCAGGCGATCATGCAGCCTTGCAAACCTTGCAAACACTGTTGACGCCCCTAGCCGGCCCCTAGCCTCTGGCACAGGCCGGGCAAGAACACTCCATGCCCATTCCGCTACTCCGCGGTTCCTCTAGCATCCCTGAGTTCCTGTTAGCCTCCCAGGTGGCTCTCTTCCCGATGTAGAAAGTTGTTTTGACAGGAGCTTTCACGAGGATCCTTGGGCCACAGGGTTTGTGAGACCCCAACGCTCTAAGACGGCAGCCTGCCTCCAGAAGCGTGGCGCGCCTCAGCAAGAGAAAGCACAAACACGCGCACGCCGTGGCTTTGTGAAGAGGATTTCTGGACTGCGTCCTGTTAATTCGGCATACTTCATCCTATTCACTTTATTCTGAGCCTGGGTCTTCTCAGCACGGGTCTCGCGTCACAGCACCCCCGGGAGAACCCCCCTTTGTGGCTGCGGCAGAGTGAGGCGACCAACGCGCCGGGCTGCGAGCCTGGAGGCAGGACAATTGCTGTCATTTGGGATGTCCCCCCTTTATACTAACAGTCCCTCATAGGGATTCTGGTACCCCCTAGAACTTCCCAACTGTCATCGTATTCAGCAAGAACGCAGAACAAGCTGGCGACAGGGCTCATGGGCTCACTGGCTCATGAGGGCCATCAGCAGCCAGACGTTGTCAACCCTTTCTCTACCTCGCAGCCTTGTCCCCCTGGTCCTGAGTAGGGGAACGAGGGAATGAGGGCCCTCAATATACCCTTCTGAGGGATTCTGTAGGTACCCCTCATTCCCCCTCCTTCCCTACTAAGCCTTGAGAACCAGCCAGCTGTGTCAACCGAAGTTCCTCGGATCCTGGGCCACCCGACGCAGCACGGCCAGAAAGGGGAGCACCCGGCCGGACCCCTACGGCCTGCAAGGCAGCAGGAAGTTGTCAAAGCTCAAAGTTTGGTGGGGGGGGCTTACTTACAGGGCCTTCTTGCGATGATGGGGGGGGGCATCGCGGAGGTTCAGAGGTTCAGACTCCCTGCTCACCCCTGCTGGCTCGGCCTTGCTCTTCTTGGCGCCGCTGGCCTTCCGGCCTGGCACCAAACTGCTCATACCCAGCCTGTGGTTCAACGGCGCGCTTGCGTGCGCACATTCCTCCAGCGCGCTAAGCAGGAGACTCTCAACATGGAAAGGCTGAGCCAAAAACACCTTCTCCAACACTCTGCTGAAACACCCCGGCCTCACTAAGTCCGGAGTCCTTCATCAACTCCAGTCAGTTCACCGAAATAGTAGATACTTATTAATGCTACCCCCCCCCCAGCGACCTACCCTTTTTAGGCCTTTTTAGGCCTTTTTAACAAAAAACAACAAAGAAGGCCCAAAAGTCGCGTAGTTAATCACCGGGTAACGAAGGACAGTTACTGGGACACCCACCTCACAGACCCCGATAAGCCAGCATTGGAAGAATCTACATTTTGAATCTGAAGCGGACAATGCTGTTTTTAGATGTTTAGATCAGTGCTTTTCTATGCAAATTGTGCGTTTCAAGGGCAATTCATGTTTTGTTGAGCAACTAATTTATTTATACAGTTGTGTTTGTACGAGGCAAAGTATTAATCAAATAGTGAAACATTTTTCTTGGTTCTATGCGAATTTAGCTACTAGAGTAATGATGAAGCAAAGAGCCCAATTTGACTCAAGTGAATACTATTTAAAGGAGCATACTCAACCAAGATACGAAATGAACACCATTCTCAACCAAAAAATGGCAAAGTGTGCGTTTAAAGTGCAAATACTGTATTTATACAATTGTGTTTGTACTAGGCAAAGTATGCTCTCTGAAAAGTCCACTGAAATACCTTATGTTTACATATTCATGAATCGTTTCTATTTTTGAAATAATCATTTTATGCGAATTTAGCTACTAGAGTAATTATTAAGCAAATAGCCCAATTTGACTCAAGTGAATACCATTTAAAGGACCATACTCAACCAAAATACGAAAGAAGCACCATATTCAACCAACATATGGCAAAGTGTGGTTTAAAGGGCAAATAGTGCTTTGTTGAGCAACTAATGCATTGAAACAGTTGTGTTTATACCAGGCAAAGTATTATTGAAGTACCATCTGCAAAGTCAAATGAAACACCATTATGTTTACATATTCATGAAAAAAATTTTTGAAGTATTCATTCTATGCGAATTTAACTACTAGAGGAATTCTTAAGCAAATAGCCCAATTTGACTCAAGTGAATACTATTTAAAGGACCATACTTAACCAAATACGAAATAAACACTTGCGGAAATGGAAACGGTTCTACCTACATAACAATGAGACAAAGATTGCTGAAGTATTCACTAAAGACCACTTATATACTATGTCTGAAAAGCACAATTTGCATGAGCAAGCTTAAAAATGCACAATCATGGAAATAGAAGCGGTTCTACTTACATAACGATGAAACAAAGATGTCTGAAGTATTCAATAAAGACCACATATATACTATGCCTGAAAAACGCAACTTGCACAATCAGGCTTAAAACATGCACAAGAATCCTAGAAAAGTACTTACGAAGGCCATACACAAGCAAATTCACAAATACATAAAAACATCCAAAAGCGCAAGCTTTTCAGGAGAATCTCTGGTAAAGTTTGGATTATAGGGTTTTGGGGTATTCCTGGACGAGTAGGAGTCACTTTTTAAGCAAACAATTCTAAGCAATAAATGCTTGTTCTCAAGACAAGTATTGCAGATGCTGCTTCTAGATAATTAATCGCATTTACAAGGCAAATCTTATCCATGCGAATTGAGCTACCAGAGCACCAAGTAATGGCTATAAGGTCTACTACACTTGAGTACAACCAAAAGATGCACTAAACACTAGCGGCTCTACTTACATAATAACGAAACAAATAGTTCTGAAGCACTAGAAAGACCACTTGTATACTATTTCTGAAAAGCACAATTAGCATAAGCACACTTAGAAATGCGTAGTTGTTGCCTCGTGACCGTGAAGGCGAACCAAAAAGCCAAAATACCAAAACCAAAAAACCAAAAATACCAAAACCAAAAAAACCAAAAATACCAAAAAAAACAATTTTCCGGGACTCTTGGAGAAGCCTCATAGGGATTTCCTGAGAGTCCCGGAAAATTGTTTTTTTTGGTTTTGGTTTTTTTTTGGTTTTTTTGGGTTTTGGTATTTTTGGTTTTCTTGGTTTTGGTGTTTTGGTTTTTTTGGTTTTGGTATTTTTGGTTCTTCTACTGTCCTGTGTATGCGATTTTAGTTGTATCTTAGTCTACGCCCTAGGAAATACACTATATTGCACACCGAGTTTGCTTGCAGTGCAGCTGGGTGACTTGAGAAAAGGCGAAAAAGGGTAGGTCACTGGGGGGGGGGGTACCTTATTAATGTATAAGATACGATAGCATAAACATTCCAAGCCACAATGCCCTGCTGTTCAAGTGCGACGGTTTGAATACGATCAAGCCTAGGTCATCAAACTGGGACCCAATGTGGGGGGGGTTTCCGAAATTAGGGGTACCATTGGGGTACCTTACTACATGAGGACCCTAAACCCTAAACCCTAAACGCTAAACCCTAAACCCTAAACCCGAAACCCTAAACCCTGAACCCCAAACCCTAAACCCCAAACCCCAAACCCCAAACCCTAAACCCCAAACCCTAAACCCTAAACCCCAAACCCTAAACCCCCTAAACCCTAAACCCTAAACCCTAAACCCTAAACCCTAAACCCTAAACCCTAAACCCTAAACCCTAAACCCTAAACCCTAAACCCTAAACCCTCCCTCATGTCCGTGCTGCCTTCCGCCTCGACCTCTTCGGTGGCCCCACCCTCCTCGTCCTCGCCTTCGGGCTTCCGAGGCGGAGGGACTTGGGAAGAAGGGTTTAGGGTTTAGGGTTTAGGGTTTAGGGTTTAGGGTTTAGGGTTTAGGGTTTAGGGTTTAGGGTTTAGGGTTTAGGGTTTAGGGTTTCACATAGTGGATCATTTCGAGGTGACGGGCGTAAAACGGCCTGGTTGCTGAGCGTGCCGCGTCTGCTTCTTTTTGTAAGGCTTGGGGAAGGTGTGCTGGGGGGCGGGTCTCTAATGTCATGTAACGTCCACGGCCTATTTCATCATGCTGAACGCGTGCACACACACACACACTCACTCTCTGAGGTGACATGTATTCCCAACGTGTCCGCTTTATGTGAGGCTGGTCAAAGAAGAAACCGCGTTGCACAATCCGATTGCCAGCGCGTCTTGGTCACATCGCAGGCCGACACTCGAGCTCGCAGGGCAGATGTAGAGAACATTGGGCTGAGGGCGCAGAGCTGGAGGCTGAGGCCAAGAACTGCCACGCACAGCGTGCCTATACCAGAAATATTTCGCTTCAACACCCAACTGCTGTGCTGCTTTTTGTTCACGGGAAGGTAGGAACCCAATCTGAAACATGGTCTTACAGTCACAGAGAAGAGCCGCCGTACAATGACGCACGTTTGACACAGGCAGCTAGATTGGCTTCCACTTGAGGCAGGGCCCAGAGTTGAAGTATAGGGTGGAGCGTTTGAGGGGGTGAAGGGCTTCGGGGCGTTTGGGCGCTGAGTAAGACTGTTGGGAATGGAAAGTAGCTGCTCTGGCAAAGAGCACGCAAGCCTTTGGCTTGGCCTCGTGGGCGTCAAAAGCGTACCTATGACAAACCCTGAGAAAAATGCCAAAAGCACTGCGAAAGGCGGTCGACACGTGTGAAGTGTGCACCGACGATATGTTGGAGCCTGTTCCCCATGTTGCTGAAAACGTGACGAGCACCGCGGCTCCGAGCAAAGCGATGTCGTAAGGGGGGTTTACGAAAATAGGGGACCAACAAAATGGACCCCCCCAAATAGGCGGATTCCCTTGCATTGAGGACACCAATAAGGTACCCGACCCTAATTTCGGAAACCCACCATAGCTTCTTCCAAACAGGAATCATCCCACTCATGAGCCCCCCCGGTTTGTTGTTTGGGCTGGGTTTGGGTTGCATTCGCGAACTTTATGGGCTCCTGAACCCTGCCTTCGTCCTCCTCGATCTCTGCATAGAGTTCCTCCTCTGCCTCCGGCAGTATGGACCAGGAACGAGGCTCGAATTCCTTGAGCCCGAAGTACCACAAGCTCAGCATTGGGAGGGGCGGGGGGGGAGGGGGGTGTGAGAACTGAGATTCGTAGTTCCTGTAGCCCGCAAAACCCACCAAAGCATCACTGAACCGAGCATGAATCTGCATACCCACCCAGCCCCCCATAAACAGCTCCAAACCCTACGATCATTCACCCTACCTCCTCAACGGCCCCCAGCCTCCTCCTCTTCCTGGAAGTCTTCGTGGTCCTCGGCGGCTGGCGGGTTGGCCTCCTGCAGCGCTCCACCAGTGGGGGTTGGCGGTGTCAGGGGCAGCATGCCGGTAGACCCTAAGCCTTGAAGTCGAAGCCAAAAGGTGGAGAACCCCTCAGGCCACTTACCCAGAACCCGAAACCCAGCCAGACCGGACTGCCCCCGGACCTTCGTGCCCTGGACCGTGAACCCTAATCCTGAACCCATAACCTTGGACCCTTAACCCCAAAACCGAACCCTGAAACCCGAACCCTAAAACCAAGGCTAGCAGGCTGAGCCTAAACCGGCCCCAGACTCAATTGCAGAAGTGTGAAGCTGACATCTTCCTGCCTTAGTGCGGTAGCACTGCCCGAAAAGCTTCAGTCTTATGTTCACCTTTTTCACTGGAGAAGAAGCCCAGGGCTGCCAAATGGCCCCCTGAAGGTCTCTGAACTTGCACCGAGCTCCTCGAGCTTCTCGCCTTTCAGGTGGCTGGCGAACGCCTGGCAGGGTTGAGGTGCTTGGGTGTGTTTCGGACTGAGAAGGCCACGGGGGTCCATGGACTGTGGTTTTGGCCAAGCTGAGTATGCAGATGGGCCGATGTGGGCCGATACGGGCCGGCGTCTTCGGGTCCTGGATGTCGGCGTCGTTGAACTCAAAACGCTTCTCCGGGAACTCCGGCGGCGCACCTCTCAAGAAGCCAACACTTAAGACGTGCAACAATGTGAATTACTGACTGTCTAAGTCCACTGACTGGCAATCCCACATGCATCATGCAAATTACTGTCTAAGTCCATTGGACCAGGGAAGATGAAAAACCCTCCATCTTAAACCCTCAATCCCTTTGATGCTGATGAGTTGCCAAGCGGGCTATCCACAATGCCCACGACCCAGTCCGTCTTCGTGCCTCTCACGCAGCATTTGGGGGTGCATCGGTTTAGGGTTTAGGGTTTAGGGTTTAGGGTTTCGGGTTTAGGGTTTAGGGGTTAGGGTTTAGGGCACATGGTGGAACGGCAGGGCTCCAGGAGGGTTCGAGAGGCGGTCCGCGTTTACGAAGACGGCCCCCCCCCCCCTCCCCAACCCCGTGAAATGTACCTGTTTGTTGTCCACGCATGGGCCGTTGAGCAGCTTGGGGGACTCGGTTCGTTCATCTCACTTCTCTTTTGTTGCATGATTCCTGGCTTCTGGTGCAAAAAGGACCGCGCGAATACCGCCAAGCGCCACCATTCCTGGTGTCTGGCGTCTGTTGGCACCAAATGTTCTTCACACCCGAATGGTGCTAACAGTTGGGGCCATTTCGATTTCAGTGATGCCACATGCATGTCTGGTCGAAGTTCGATGTGCGCGCGTGCGCAGGTGCGCGCGTGCGCGCGTGCACGTGCGAGTGAGTGAGCGAGCGAGTGAGCGAGCGAATGAGCGAGCGAGTGAATTCGCGAAAGCCCTGATTCTATACAAAGCGTTTCTGTAGCATGCGGCTTCGTGACATGTAGGAGAAACCAGCACCCATGATCACAAGTCCCCCGCTGAGTGTGACTCATCTCAGCAGGGGCGGGGATATCGGTGGACGACCTGGTTCGTCATTACCGTGCAAGCCGAGCCAGATCCCAATAATGGAAAGCGTATTGTCTGACACACTTCTCCGTATGAGTGAGTGAGCGGGTGGGTGGGTGGGTGAATGAGCGAGTGGGTCAGCGAGCGTGTGAGCGTGTGGGTGTGACATGGGAGATGAAGTGTGATGTTCTGGGCCTCAGAATCGGGGGGCGGAGTTGATTAGATGTCATCGTACAGCAACCAGCAACCATCAGAAATCCAGTCGGTCGCCCTCATTCAGATACTTGCTCGCTCATCACACGAAATCGAGACTAGCAGTGCCAGCTTGCCAGATGAACATTTCTTCATGCCCGCGCTCCCAAGATTCGAGACACGACCCACTTGCCCTCGCGCTCATGTTTGGTGGTTGTGGATTCTGAAAGATTTCAAGAGGCGTTGAGTTTCTGACGAAGTAAAGTCAAGCGAACAATATCGCGTTGAAGCCGGTCACTTGGAGCTCTGGGTCTGCCTGCTCCTCGACTTGACTTGTACATGTCACACGCATGCTGTACCCGGAAATGCAGCTATTTACACAGCTTGGTCCACGACTGGATGAGACACGTTCCACTGTTCTGAAGGGACCAGCACATGAAGTTGCGCGCAAGAAGTGAATGACGACGCGACACCGCAGCAAAAGTTGGGCTTAATGCATCCTGCCATGAGCAAGGTTACTTCCGCAGGTACGAGTTCTGGAAAGCACGTGTCACCAAAGGCCACTCCCGCGGCTTCAGTTGTGCACGCTTGCGTTTCAGAACATCGGCTTGCGAATCATGCGCTGCAATCGCTTGCTGGCAGCTGCCACCCACCAGGCGCACGAAGTCGGAATGGCAAAACCAACAGCCGCAGTCATCGTACTGGAAATACTGCGAAGCTAACTTTAAACATCTATCGCCTGCAACCGCATTACCGCATCTACTGGGAACAGGCCTAGCTGCTCGTCGATCTCTGCGAGTGCCATCAAATCCCTCTCCACCTGTTGCGCAGAGGCGGACACTTCAAGCTTGAGCACCTCGCGACTCGCCAAACCCTAAACCCTAAACCCTAAACCCTAAACCCTAAACCCTAAACCCTAAACCCTAAACCCTAAACCCTAAACCCTAAACCCTAAACCCTAAGCCTAAGTGCGACCAGTCTTGATACACCCGCCTCGGCACGGACCTGCTGGCGGAAATCGCGCAGGGCCAGTACCTTCCCAAAGCTTTGTAGCCACCCTTTCCAGCTGTCACTTTTTTGAATCAGGATGCGACTTGCGAGAAAACATGCAGCGGAGAGCGCCCGCTGGTTGAACTCGGTCTTGATGGCATGGATGGACTCCTGCAGGCTGCAGCAGGAGCTAGACCCACTTTTCGCATGCAACCGCCACGCCCTGAAGCCTGAGTTCCTTGACTACTCCGTCCTGCCCATGGTGCAACTGCAAGACTGCGAGACTACGAGGCAAGGGTGCTCAAGCCCGCAATGGCCAGAGCAACCCGTGAGGACCTTCAGCTGGTGATGTCGAAGGCACAGTAGGGCAAGAGCCCCTGAATGCCCCTACTCACATCCCCTTGGGGGCTACCCTGAAATCTTCCTCTCCTCCAGCAAGAACATCTGGCGCCGCTTCTTCTCGGCGTTCATGCGCTGGTTCTCGGGCACCTGCCGGGCATCGGGGCTGGGGCATGTTGGGGCTCACAGGTCTTCCAGAATGTCGACGTGGCGTTTAGACTAGACAGTGTCTTCGGGATTCCGGATGGGTTTTGAAAGGCGGACTGAGGTCGTCATTCGGGACGTTCCCCCCAAAATGCGAACAGCCCTTAGAAGGGACTATAGTACCCCCTACAGTATTCTAATCCCATAACGGACTAACCCCCAACCCTAAGCCCTAAACCCTAAACCCTAAACCTATGAATATAAGGGGGGGAACATATCATGGTGGCCGTGACGATGGAGCTTCGGCTGCCAGCCTGATAGTCCTCGCTGGTCTTGAGCATGTAGTTCCCGAGCGTTGCCTGAGGAGGTCACAGGTTAGGGTCTGGGGTTTAGGGTTGAGGGTTTCGGGTTTAGGGTTTAGGGCTTAGGGTTTAGGGTAGGGGGTTTAGGATTTCGCGTCACCAACATGAAGCCGCCACGAAGCGCAAAAAGGAAAGGACAAACACCCCTAAGGTCCGCCTCTGCATTGGCGATGGCTTCCACATCCTCGGGAGCCTGCACTGCACAACTAGCAGAGGATGCTGCTTATACTTCTGAAACTCTTGAGAACAAACCTGGCTGCAGCTGCGTGCGGACCTATCATTTCCGCACATCCAGCTTGGCGGGGAGAAGCGCAATCTGAGTTGGAGCCCGTGCCTCGTACTGCTCATTCGGCTTGGCACGTTCAAGCTCCTGAGAAATGGATAGCTACATGTCTAGCGCGAATCCGGTTCGGCAAGGCTTCGAAGTGTTCGTTCCCCATTAGTAACAGAAGCTACAGTGCTAAGGTCGAGAAGGGAGCCATCTCAGAATACTTACACTTAAAGGAAGGCCTCGAGCACCCTCTTCAAATCCAAGCACGGGGCAGAGCGCTCAACCCTCAACCCTCAACCCTCAACCCTCAACCCTCAACCCTCAACCCTCAACCCTCAACCCTACACCCTACACCCTACACCCTACACCCTAAACCCTAACCCTAAACCCTAAACCCTAAACCCTTGTTGCAGGCCCGCTCCTGGATCTGGGCCTTGCGCTGCAACCTTCACAACTGACAGTTGCGGCTCACTATGTGGGGGTTTACGAAAATAGGGTTTCGGGTTTAGGGTTTAGGGTTTAGGGTTTAGGGCTTAGGGTTTAGGGTTTAGGGTTTAGGGTTCAGGGTTCAGGGTTCAGGGTTTAGGGTTTAGGGTTTAGGGTTTAGGGTTTAGGGTTTAGGGTTTAGGCCCAAGTAGTAGGATCCCCCTATAATGGACCCAAACAAGGTACCCCCAATATCGGAAGCCCCCGTATGAGGAAGTTGCTAGGTCAGGCTCGACACCACAAGTGCCAGTGACGCACACCCCTGCTCTGGATTCCACTGTGGCAGCCCTTGTCTGCAAGTATCGCTTGAAGCCCTAGGGTTTAGGTTTAGGATGGGTTTAGGGTTTAGGGTTTAGGGTTTAGGGTTTAGGGTTTAGGGTTTAGGGTTTAGGGTTTAGGGTTTAGGGTTTAGGGTTTAGGGTTAGGGTTTAGGGTTTAGGGTTTAGGGTTTAGGGTTTAGGTATTAGGGTTTAGGGTTTAGGGTTTAGGGTTTAGGGTTTAGGGTTTAGGGTTTAGGGTTTAGGGTTTAGGGTTTAGGGTTTAGGGTTTAGGGTTTAGGGTTTAGGGTTTAGGGTTTAGGGTTTAGGGTTTAGGGTTTAGGGTTTAGGGTTTAGGGTTTAGGGTTTAGGGTTTAGGGTTTAGGGTTTAGGGTTTAGGGTTTAGGGTTTAGGGTTTAGGGTTTAGGGTTTAGGGTTTAGGGTTTAGGGTTTAGGTGTTGTTGCTTCCCATTCACATTTATATTCGCACCTCTGTTGGCGTCGGAGCTCTCGCATTTCGGCACCTGCCACGACACATCATTGTTGTAGAACAATGTGCAAAGTTACAGAGGCTTGTTCAGGTGAAAAATACGACAACACCGATGACGTGTCAAAAAGCCTTGAGAAATTCAGAAAGATGTCAGAAGCATTCCCGAAACTTGCCAACGCATAAGTTTTTGGAAATTCTAGAACAAAACATGTCCCCGATTATCAAACAACCATGACGTAGCACTGCCTGTAGTGCTGGGATAAATCAGCAAGCCGTGTGAGTCTGGAGGTTATTCGGCGCTTGCTCCAAGAGATGTACCCCACAGGCAGTGTAGCTCTGGCCTGACAGAGTGCGCTCGGCATTCTGCGAACCTGCATGCGATGGACCAGGGAAAGCTTGCGGGGGCGCGGATCCTGCCTCCACATACCTTGTAAGTGTTGTAAACCCAAAGACCGCAAGGCCTGACATGTCGGTGACGTCGAAGCCAAATTCGGTCTTGGCACCTGCGGGAGTCGGAGAATTTGGTTTGGTTTGCGGGGTATGCAATATTCATGCATCAGGCACATCATCAAAGGTTAGGGTGGTATCTCTCGGCTCACCTTCGTAGCCCATGCCCTCATTCTCATCGTCTTCTTCCTGGCCACAGCTTCGAGAGGCTTTGGGAACTCTGAACTCTCGAAGTTGCTTCACCTGCGGAATATGAGTGCGAGGGATACGAGGGCTTGCCTTGCAAACAGTGCTGCTTTTCAAACGCCTCCGAACCCACGAGTCGTGAGGCAGAAGACACATCACCAAGAACGGCATCCGAAGCAGCGCCGGTGAAGCGGGCGCAGGGGCGCAGGGACTTGACGCTACTGGGAGCATCTCTCAAACCTAAACTCGCCAGCCAACGTACTGCCACATCCTGCAACCCTTCACCGTCAGAGGCTCTCCTCGAGGTCCGCATCGCCCTCCGCTGCGAAAATCAGCTCGTGAAGCCTCGCAGCACATGGAGCACTTAGCCTCTGAATCCGTGTCTGGCGTCAGCCCCCCGAAGAATAGAGATACAACCAGAAGCAGCTCCTCAATTGACAGGAGCTACACGTCCCAAATCACACTACCGAGCAGAATGACTTTGGCCTTGCTCTGCCAGAACCGGGCCGCAAACTCGCTGTTCTGCACTCAAGTTTTTCGTAAGCCCCTAAACCCTAAACCCTAAACCCTGAACCTGCCCGAACCCAGCCTGGCGAGGTTGGCCTGGAGCTCGTCGGACATGGTCGCGCAGCGGAAGGTGGACACACGGTGGGGCGACTGGAAGCCCAGGACCTGCGCAACAGGTCATGGCCAGGGCCCCCAAGGAGGATGGCCCTAAACCCTAAACCCTAAACCCCAAGGAGGTACTAGGATGGCCCTTAGAACCCTCTGGAAAAAAACATTCCTGAGTAGGATCCTCTAAAACCCAAGAAGGGAAGATGTGACATGGTCCCAAGGGCCTACCGAGGGTAGTTTGGGTCCAGTTCGGCTCTTGCTTCACTTGATCACCTGCTTCAGACTTCTTCATCTTTCCTTCACGCGGACCATGATCCTCCAAGAAGCTGCCTCCACCCGCTCAAAGTCCACCCTCTTCAGGTAGTAGTCCTTGAGCTTCTGCAGCCCTCGCTCCTTTGCGTGCGTTTGCAGCGCAGCTTTCTTCTGACTGAAGGTCAGGGCTGCCAATGCTCATGCATGCAAAAATGCAACGGTCGCTCGCATGCCGTAGGTATCTTGAAGAGGCTCTTGCAAGGGAACAGCATCCTAAACTTGTCCTAAACCTTCAACACCAACATGCACAGCAACTGCGATGGATGTAAACACTCGCCGAGGCCGGGACATGGAACTCAACGGACCAGGCGAGCTCGAAACGCACCTGGAAAGAATTAAGACTCTTAGCCGGGCCCTTGGTGAAGCATGCTGACACGGTGACGCAAGGAAACTCGGCCTGCTCGATTTGATTCTCCATGTCCTCCTTGAGATGGTTGATGTACCTCAGCCGGCCCCCGGGCTTCAACAACCAGGGTCTCGGGTTTAGGGTTTAGGATTTAGGGCTTAGGGCTTCGGGTTTAGGGTTTAGGGTTTAGGGTTTAGGGTTTAGGGTTCTGCCCTGAATTGCGGCCGAGCCGAGGCACTCCTGGTCAACCACCATGTCGCCGCCAACCAGCTGGGCTTCTACGAGCTGGCTGTTCTTCACCTGCACATGCCGGGGCACCCCTTGTTTAGGGTTTAGGGTTTAGGGTTAAGGGTCAAGGGTCAAGGGTCAAGGGTCAAGGGTCAAGGGTCAAGGGTCAAGGGTCAAGGGTCAAGGGTCAAGGGTCAAGGGTCAAGGGTCAAGGGTCAAGGGTCAAGGGTCAAGGGTCAAGGGTTAAGGGTTTAGGGTTTAGGGTTTAGGGTTTAGGGTTTAGGGTTTAGGGTTTAGGGTTTCCTCAAAGAGCTTCACTAAGCAAGCCCATCCTGAAGCTCGACAAGCTCCTCGCGGATCTCGCTCACGCGTTCTCTGACGCCTGAGTGAACTGAGGAATACAAACATGTCGATCTGTCGATCCTCAATGACACCCAAGACATACGAGCAGGAGGAATCCATTCGGGGGTTTCCAAATGTAGGGGGGGGGGGGTACCCTTTTGTGGGGGGTCCCTTTTACGGGACTCCATTCCATTGGGGTACAAAAGGGGTACCCCTATTTGGGGAAATACCCAGCCACATCCAGGCTCCCGGCGCAGCTTCTTGAGCTCGGCAGCGGCCTTGGCGCTGTCCTCCTCGGCTTTGAGCTTGGCATCCTGGCGGGGACTCAGATGCCGCGGGTTTAGGGTTTAGGGTTTAGGGTTCAGGGTTCAGGGTTCAGGGTTCAGGGTTCAGGGCTTAGGACTCATATGCGAGAGCAAGGGTCGGAAGTCCTAGGAGTATTTCCCCTTGTATACCCCAGATAGAATAGAGTCCTCCTTCACAAAGGGTTCCCCCCCTATTTTCGGAAACCCCCCATATGAAGTCAAGGCTGGGTTCCGGCCAGCTGCAGGTGCACACAAGGCCTCTCCTGGATCGAGTACTGCTGTGGATCCGTGATGTCAGGGTTGATCGCCACCACCCCTGGTCCATGCACTGATGGAACCCGAAACCCTAAACCCGAAACTCTAAACCCTGAACCCTCACAAGCTGCACATGCCCTGGCGGCAACCAGAGCCTCTTGAATCGCCCAGGCAATGATGGCTCACACTTCGCAGCTGCAACATGGCTGAGCTGACTGTGATGATTTGAGGGGAATTCCCTCTACAAATAGACTACCGGATTCTGAGAAAAGGGTGGAAGGAGAGCACGATCTCCGCATAGGACCTCCTGAACTCTCAGCCTCTCCCCCTCACGCTCTCGCTCGCTGTCTCTCTTCGCTCCGAAACGGCGGGCACCTGGTGCCTCCTTCGGCGGTAGGCCCCAACCTTCATTCATACGGCTTCTTCGTTTTAACGGTCAGAGAGTTGAGAGGTGTGTTGAGAGAGGCTCCTAGTTGAAAGCCCGATTGAAAGTCAAAACCCAAACTCTCCGAAACGGTTTAGGGTTTAGGGTTTAGGGTTTAGGGTTTAGGGTTTAGGGTTTAGGGTTTAGGGTTTAGGGCATAGGGCATAGGGTTTAGGGTTTAGTGTTTAGGGTTTAGGGTTTAGGGTTTTCCCGTCTGAACGCCCCGTCCGAACACCCCAAGCGTGCGCCCCCCGAGGTGGCCTTCCATCGTCGTCTCCGGTAGCTCTGGAATGGAGCCCTGGAGCTGCTCCCCAACTTCCTCCATGTTGACCTGGCGAGGTAGGGCTTATATTTCTGGTACCCTCAAAAGGACACCCAATAAATACACTCACCAATGTAAAAAAAAGGAACCTCAAAAAACACACTCACCAATAGCAGTCACATAAAACCCTGCTTCATCCAGGACCTTGTGGAGGAAACCGGGCACTCTCTGCTCTACTCCACGCCCTTCTACTCCGCCCGTCACAAGGCTCATGGTCCCCCTGGGTTCCCACCTCGACGCCCTCTGCCTTGTCATGCGCCACTGCGAGCAGCCCCTCGCTGATCAGCAGCCTTGGCTACGTTGGCAGCAGCTGGCAACACTTCTTATCGGCATAGTAAACTATAAGGTTCTTATATAACCCCCCCTTGAAGCCCCCCTCCCTTAAGAGCCGCTTTTAACCAAATCACGACAGTGACGATCTTGACAGCTTCTCTTCGGCACACTGTCGCTCAATCACAGGTGTATTGCAATGGCGGCGGGCGTATTCTGGCCAGGAACCCGCTCGGGATCCACTAGGAATTTTGTAAATCTGTCAGGCTTTGGCAAAGCTGCTTGAAACACTTGCAGGAATGTCGGGACGATGAACAGAATCGTTTTGGGCTTTGTCAAACTTGAGAACGGAGATTGCGCCCCCTGGGACCTTTGGCTAGCTAGCCCCAAGCCTCTCGACAACCCTCACAACCTCCACAAAATTGTTTGGGGACTCCCAGGACACTCACTTTGTTACCTTCTGGTCCCTAGCATTCTACTTGGATTTCAGGGCTTAAGTGTTTTGGACTCTGTTGGGCTTTGGGGTTTCAGGGTCTTGGGCGTTTTTCCGGGGACGTTGAGGCGTTGAGGGCAGTACAGTCCCGAAAGTCGCCAGAGGCACGATTGCAGCTCTCTCTCTCTCTCTCTCTCTCTCACTCTCTCTTGGAGCCTCTCAGACTCTCAGCTGAGAAGGGCCACCACTACCACTAAACTCCGCTCCAAGGGCCCTAACAGCCCAAACCCTAACTCGAGAGCCCGTAGAGGATCCCAGATGCCATCCTCAGACTCAACCATCGCAACAGAAATCTGAACCCTCCTCAAATCCCGAAATCGAAGGGAGGGGAGGGATTCGCAAACTCGTCTGAGCTGGGCAGAGGGGCATCACGAGGGATCCATCCCCGGCTGCCACAACCATCCTGGGGGGGGGGGGGTTTAGGGGGGGTTAGGAGGGGTTAGGGGGGGCGGGGTTTGTGGGGGGGAGGGGGGTTGGGGGGGTTTGGGTGCTTTTGTCTGCATTACCAGGAAAGTGAAAGGAAGGCACAAACTCCAACAGTTTCAGGACTTCGACAAGGTCTGGATTCAAAGGATCCAGGACCTTCCGAGCGAATTCGGTAAAAGCCCTCCGAATTCTCCGAGGCGCATGGACTCGTCGTCCATCATTTGGACCGAGTTCACCTGGCAGAGCCGGGCCCCTAGTGGGCGATGCAACTGTGTCTTAGGCAAATTCTAAACCCCAAACCCCAAACCCTAAACCCTAAACCCTAAACCCTAAACCCTAAACCCCAAACCCCAAACCCCAAACCCCAAACCCCAAACCCTAAACCCGTACCCTAAACCCCAAACCCCAAACCCTAAACCCTAAAGAATCGTCTCCCCTCAGGGCAGCCGCAGCTTCTCCGAGCCCCGGCTTCTGCTTGCAAGGCAGCTGCCAGCTCGGATTGGCTGCATCTCCACATCTCCCTACAGCAAATCCCAAAACGTTGGAAACCTTTTTAAGGATAAATAGTGCTGGGATTCCCTATACTTTACTTTCAGGGATTGAGGCTATTGAGTTTCCAACTTTTTGGCTTCTACTATAAGGTATCCTGAGACTGCTGCGACTGGGAAAGACGTCTGCGCAAGGCTTGGGTAAGATGCTTTGGGATGTGCCCCCTTATACGAAAAGTCGTGAATAAGGAGCATGGTACCCCCCTAGTATCATCCCTGTTAAGGACTGTTAATATAAGGGGAACATCCCAAACTATGCTGGAGGATCGGGAGTAACATTCTTCCCAGTACTCGCCAGCAGCGCCGCACCACTGCTGCCGTCCGAGATGTTGGCGCAGAGGAAGCAGCCTCCAGCGATTCGAGGGATCAACCAGATGCGCCTCAGAAGCTGCTGGCTGTCTTAGGGTTTAGGGCTTAGGGCTTAGGGCTTAGGGCTCAGGGTTCAGGGTTTAGGGTTTAGGGTTTAGGATTTAGGGTTTAGGGTTTAGGGTTTAGGGTTTAGGGTTTAGGGTTTAGGGTTTAGGGTTTAGGGTTTGGGGTTTAAGGCTTAGGGTTTTGGTTTCGGGTTTTGGGTTTTGGGGTTCAGGGTTTCTGGTGGGACTGTTGATTCTGGTTCTTGAGGTTGATTCGCAATTGCGCAGATGGGTAGTCGGGTTTTGGTGCTTGGCTAATGAGGAAGTGACGGAGGCAGTGATACACCATGCCGGCAGGCTCGACATAAGACATCCGCGCAACAGTCATAAGTGCATGCTGGATGTATCTGGCCGTTACAGTACCATGTCGAACGTCTCTTTGCTTCTCACCAAGCACTCACTAAGGTGGAGCCTCTGCATTTGCTGAGGGCATCCCACACATGTGACTGAGGCCTGCACCCATCAGCAAAGCCAAGAATGATCCAGTTGCCGCCCGGAGAGAGGGATAAGTGAGTCACCTAAGTCAATTACAACCATGCACATGGGCTACTGCGTGCTGCTCTCACATAGTCCGCGCTCAGATGGTCTTCAGCCGAGTTTAGACCCACGCAAAACCCACGCAACCCACAGCACCAGCAAGCAATCCAAACTGTCTTCGCCAAACTGCGTTCCAATCAATCTGGTCCACTTTGATCAGGCACTGTTTGCTACCATTACTTCCAGACATGGTGCGTTGACGTTCTTGGGCAGCTTTGCTCGGAGCATGCAGGACAGCTGCGTGGAGATGCGCTCGGACAACGGCACCTGCTCAGGCGATCGTTCAAGGGACACACAGTGCCCACATACAATACTGCCGAGACGTGCTGCAAGGATGGGAACTCCGCCCCGGAGGTTCGAATTGGCTCGAATCCAGACATCGAAGCTGACAACGCAGAGACGCTCAAGTTGACAGCCTCGGAAGCGATGGTCTCCTGCACAAAGCGAGCATTCTAAGCACTTACAACAAGAGAGTCCAGAGACTGGTCAGATGAAGCGCATGTGCACCGTGCTGACATGGCACATTGCAACCACGACTGTAAGCCAAAGACGTAGAGGACGCAGACCCTCGCCTTAATATTATTAGTCCCGAAGCCTGAGCTCGAGGGGCCCTTCAGTAAGTAACATGGCCTATGCTATGGGAAGCTCGATGGCTCAAGCAGAAGCAGCAAGCAGCACGTAGAAACAAAACCCATGCAGCTGAAATAGCTTTGAGACAAGAGCTCTGGACAAGCCCAGTGTAAGTGTGCATTCGGGGCTACTGCTACTCACGGAAATCCACACAGCATTCCTCAACCCGCCCGCTCCTGGATGCCGAAGAGGGAACATTCCCAAAGACCACCGGTATACTTTCCCGTACCGGTGAAGATGATCCGGCGCTCAGACTCGTCGCCTTAGACTCTCAGACCCTTGCACCACTCGTGACAGGCCCAGGCTCCGGGATTTTTTTGGGACGTGTATCACGGCGCTGCTTCAGGTGCAGGGTGGGGAGAAGGGACCTCCGACATAGTCTACTCATGCTGGCCAAACTGTAAAAACCACCACTGGGGCTTGAGCCCTCGCCAGGGATGTAGATCGCCCGAGAGACTGACGTCACAATGACCTGGCAAGAAAAACCGTGAAAGCCCCGACTTCGCAACCTCTAAGCTGAGCATGCTGCTCTAAGACCATGGGTGGCAGCGTATGGATGCCCAGGCATATCGGATGTTTGGCACCGCGGCAGCCACCAATATGTGCGCACCTCCTTGTGCGCCTCTCCATCCTCATCATCATCTTTCGCCTTCTCTTCTTTCTCCTGTTGCGACATCTTCGGTGCCACGTGGCTTTGGGGTCATGCCAGAAATCAGCACCCAGGTCAGGCCAGAGATTATGGGCCCAGCCTTGCCAAGGCATCCTCTACTTCGTATACTGGAGCCCGACCCCACGACTCGTTCATCAGCATTCGTAGGCCTTCTTCTTTTTCTTCTTCTTTCTCTTGCCATCCTCGTCCTCAGCGCTGGAGCATTGGACAGTTCCCCCAGCTCCCGAAAGCGGGGCTCTCAACACAGCTTACGCTGGCAACCCCTGAAGACTGATGACGCTCGTGGACGCTTGGAGTCTTCAGCCCGACACCCTCAGTTCGTAGCAATGAACTCATCAGAAGCGCTTGGGCCCTTGAGCCCTTGAGCCCTTGAGCCCGAAAAGCGAAACCCTAAACCCTGCAACCTGAAACTCTTAAAGCCTGATCGGGCAGCCTCGGCTTCAGTCTCGGGTGGCTCCTTCGGGAACTGATTGCGAGGTTAGGGCTTAAGGCTTAGTTTCGTTTAGGGTTTCGGGGCGTAGTGGAATTCAGGGCAGTTTGTGAGTCATGTGAGCTTGATATCCTAAAGACTTCAAGGTCTCCGGCACCAAAGCACTGAAGAAAGAAGCCGCAGCACTGACCACACCAAACTGCGTTTCCCAACGAACGTTGGCAGCACTTTGCGAGCCCATTGCCCTTTTCCCATCTTTCAGCACGAGGACTTGGAGCTAGAGTTCGACAACAACAAGCTGGCAACTGGTTTAGGGGTTTAGGGGTTTAGGGGTTTAGGGTACCAAGATTCCCACTTACCCTCCGCGTCCGCACCTCGCCAGCTGTAGGCGAGGCTTCCCCCTCCTCGCCGCCCTCGCCGCCCTCGTCCTCCTCCTGGCATGGTTTGCGGCTGTTGCGACGTGTATTTGTGCGTTATTGTGAGTTTGGTATTCTGGGTATACGGCCTGGTGCGCTGCAGGCTGGAGGACTATGTAAGTTTGACGCCAAGTGTGAAGGCGGGCAGCTGTCTGGGGTGCTCCAGAACCAGAACCTTGGCCTCAACCGTACCTGCTTCAGGGTTCAGGGTTTAGGGTTTAGGGTTTAGGGATACGCAACGACGTCTATCAGAGGTCACGCCACGTCCCTGTAAGGTGCCTCTTCTTCCTCTTCCTCCTCGTCGTCCGAACTCAGCAGTAGCATGGTTCCTAAAACAATAAAACCCAGACTCTCAGGACTCTCAAGCTCAAACAGAAGACCAGTACGGACTTATAGATTGCACGTGATTGCACGTAGCAGCGTATCAAGCGCAGCATCCCAACTCCGAAGTTGCTGCTGCAGGCAGAAAACTCTGGAGGCGAGACGGGATCGGGCACAGACTGGGTGCCGCACTCTTCGATCTCAGGGACATCTGGCATCACGGAGATGTAGTTTACGGAGATGTCGTACCTGACGCACTGCTGCGAATCTGCTGCAAAACAAGGTGCTGCACAGAAATTCCCCCATGAAGCCAGCTATGGCGCCAGCACTCCGGCACACGAACAGCGACTCGGCGCTGCTCCACAGCTGAAGCTCCAAGAGGCAAGAGGTTTGGGTTTAGCGTTTAGGGTTTAGGGCTTAGGGTTTTAGGGTTTTAGGGTTTAGGGTTTAGTGTTTAGGTTTAGGCACATCTAGGGGCCCTTCTGAGGTGGGTTTTCGGTGCTGCGGTGTCGCACGACTCCGTGTTGTCGACCGACTCTGGTATCGGGCTCTTCAGGACCAGCAAAGAACCTGGCGCCCAAGCCACCCAAGCATCCACAGCCATTCGCAATTCGAAGCACTGATCCAATGACCCTAAACCCTAAACCCTAAACCCTAAACCCTAAACCCTTCAAGTACAGAGGGCTTTGGGGCCTGTTTCACTTAGGTGGCGGTGGCAGGGTGCGGCTTTTGCGTCTAAAGCTCAGCTTCAAGACCAAGGCCCCGCGCCATCGCCCAAGCTGAGCAAGACATTGCCTTTCCATGCAAAGCACGTTAAGCGGAAAATCTTCCTCTGCGAGAGCCTGAACTTGACAACTCGCAAACTCACACGGTTTAGTGTGCTGGGGTTTCTCGAGCTCGGGAGGGGGCCCCAAAATGACTGACAAATTTCCAAAGCGCTGACTGTCATTTGGTCAACCGCGGATTCGAAAACTGAAAGCGCACGGATCCAGAAACTGGAAAAGCATGAGTCGGGAAACTAGCAAATGCAGATTCGGGAAACCGCGGATTCGGAAAGTGCGGCTTCGAAAAGCTGGAAACCGCGGGCTCAGAACCGCGGATTCGGGAAACTGGAAAACGCGGATTCGAGCGATATCATACCCCCAAACCGGCGAGGGTTCCTGTTCCGCGCGGTTTCCTGCATCACGTGGTTTCCTTAATCGGTTGGTTTCCTGAATCGTGGAAACCCGTTTCCTGCATCGCGCGAAGCCAGTTCCTGAATCGGGTAGTTTCCTGAATCGCCCCCAGCTTCCTGAATCTTGGCTTCCTGAATCGCGGCTGGCTTCTGAACCGCACGGCTTTTTTGAAGCCCCCAGAAGCTTGGCGTGACACGGGTTGTCTCTTGCAGGCTCTATCGCTCTTGTGAGATTTCGTTCATATTATTTGTTTTTGATGTTTTTAGTCTCATAAGATCTTAATCTATTAGGGTTCCTTCCACAACTATTTTATGACAGGCAGCACATGGCAGCACCAAACCCTGAAGTGCCACATATTGCTGTTTCTTCCAAAATGCCTGAGATGTCGTCCCACGCGAAGAAGTTCACGGTGGCCGGGATCGACACAAAGCCCACTGGAATTGCCTTTCAGAGGGTTGAGCCACTTGGGGAAGGTTAACGTAACTATATAGCCCGGCCCAAGCCAAAGGATAGACTTGCAAACCCGAACCCGACGCCCCGCGATTTGACTGCAACAAGCTGTGACTGAGGTAGTGGCATGTTCAGAGAGCATCTGCACCTGGAAGAAGAACACCGAATTGTCCTGGCTGCACGAGCTCCAGACCATTCAGACCCACCCATCCGAAGTTGGCAACCAGGCACACAAAGACAACGTGCCACTACTCGCACATGCTTAGGGATTCTATCTCGTAAAAAAGGAACTGGCAAAGTTGCTAAGCAACTCACATGCCTACCATGAGTTCTCAGCGTGTCGGTGCTAGTAACGCGCCTCTCCAAGTGTTGCCATCAAGCCAGCATCCTCTCCACTGTACCTCGAGATGTTTTCTTCCAATGTTGGCTCGAAGCCCAGCTCTGAATCCCTCCATCCTCCGCTTGCACTCCGAGCGCTTGATCGCTCAGCACGCCGCTTGAGCTGCTTCACCATGCACTTGTGGGGCTTCAGAGCCTTCAGAAGCAGGAGGTGGAGAGAGTTGCATGGATGCTCACTCCTGGCCTCACACCCTCCTCAGCAGCACTGGCTGCTTCGTCATGCTTCAGGCTTCAGTGACAAGGTCTTACGGCGAAGTTCCTACTTCATCCTATTTGGGGGTTTCCGAACATTCGGGTACCCCTTTGGGGGGGGGGGGGGGGTCGAAGGGGGTTGAAGGGGGGCTTCAAGGGGATTATATGTATTTGGGGTATAAAAGGGGCACCCCCTAATTTTGGACATACCCATGTTGGCTCTTCCGCAAGTGCCCTAGGCCCATCCTGGAGCTGCAGGAAACCGTCGGCGCACGCAGTGAAGGCCCGGATGGTGCCGTCCTTTGGAAGGCTTTTGAGGTCAGGCAGGGGTGGAGGACCCGAAGAAAGCTTGCATGCCAGCTGCTGGCAGAATACAAAATGCCACATTCCGAGGTTGCCATGAAAAAATATTTTACTTCGAACGTCCCCACCTTGCTTCTCGTTGAAAGGAAAGAGCGCAAATAGGATGTTCAAGCAAAGACACATTGATTCAAATACGCTTGCAATTGGGGTTGGGCTCTGCTGGGCACTCCAGGAGTCTCTGGAATTGGGCACTCCAGGAGACTCTGGGTTGGGCGCTCCAGGAGTTTCTGGGGTTGGGCAATTCAGGGAGAATGTGGGGTTAGACTCTGGTCCAGGGAGACTCTGGGGTTGGGCACTCAGGGAGTCTCTAGGAGTAGACCGGCGAGGAGAAGAGTTCCGGGCGAGGAGAAGAGTTGAGTCTAAAATCTAACAACCCCACACCGAAGGTGGGGAAAAACGTCAGAGGGGTTCCGATGCCGATGTTTGGGACAGTCCGAGCTGGGAGATCTCCAGGTGCCCAGCCGTGTAGCCGACACAGAGGGTGCGCTTGGATGGGTCAACCTCTCACCAGTGGCGTCTGCAGCCAAGCTTCACTGTGAACATGGCTAGGAATGCTCGGACAAGAACATGACATCCACAAATTTTGCGAGTGCCGGACAAGCTCTGGAGTGGCATCCATGCCTCGGTGATTTTACTGTAGGTATCTCTCTAGCCCATGCGTCGCCCTTCAGGTAGAATCATCGGGGGCCAACTTCAGCCGAGATGCAGGTGGCACCAACTCCTGCATTTGCTAGAGGCCGAGGATCCCGGAACCTCAACGAGGCACCGGGAAGATTCTTCCGAGCTCGGCTTTGCTCTAACTTCTCATGATTTCTCGGCCCGACTTTCTGGAAAGGGGCTCTTGTCCTCAGGAGTCCTCAGGAGTCCTGGGCAGTCCTCCGAGGAGTGTTCTTGATTGTTGTCTCTCTGCGGCTGTGCACGTTAGGTAGATCTTGGTGCACATCAGACGCCTTCTTTTACCCCTTCGGGTGTTCGAACGGTTGGCTGAGAGTCCTGTCACCCCCCCTTTAGCAAGAACTCTTCCTCGCTCAGCTCTCTAAGATTCTCTGAGGTAGGCGCAGCTCGTTATCCCACGCCTGGGAAACGTTGAAGGCACGCACTGTCCCATCCATGCCTCACTCGAGACATGTCGAGGTACGAGCACAGCATGGTGCAGCTAAAGGGGGTTTCCGAAATTAGGGGTACCTTATTGGGGTTACAATTATAGGGGGATCCTACTTTACGGGGGTCTGTCTTAGGGGATCGTAAACCCCCAAGTAGGGTGGGTGCGAAAGCGCGAAGAAGCTTTGATTGGTCAAAAATCATCGGTGCTTGATGAGTGCCAAGCTAACACAATCAAGCAGATGGCTGGTGCGACTTTAACACAACATGCACAAGACATCACAAGACCTAAGATCTTGGCCGCATGACACGACCAGCCCGCTGTAGCTGGAGGAGACCACCGTCCCCGTCACCTAGTACAGAAAAACTGTCCTCGTTGCTGTTGCTTGCTGCTCCCAAAGTATCCCAGCAGCAACGAAACAGCAACAGGTCCACTGCCTGCTTGCTGTGGCAGCTGAAGACCATCTGGCAGTTCGCGCTGGTGATGTCGTACAGCCATACCATGCCATTGCGGGAATCCTGCAATCACTAGCATAAGGCATAATATTCTCATGGTGAGACTTTCTCCTTATAATCTGCTTTTTCTTCTGAGGACTCAAAGAAGAGGCCCTTGGAGCCGGCCTGCACCAGCCATGTCTCCCCGTCAGGGCCTCAAGGCTGCTGGGGGGCTTTGTCTATGTGCTTCTTTTTGTGCTTCTTTTTGTGCTTCTTTTTGTGCTTATTGTTTGTGCTTCTTTTTTGTGTGTGTGTGTGTGTGTTTTTTTTTGTGCTTCTTTTGCGCTTTGGCAAAACTGGGATCCGTGCACACCGTCACATGCTGGATGTGGGCAGGGTAGATGTGCTGATCGGTACTCCTCAAATTACAGGCGCTGGAACGACTCCAACTGTGAAGAACTGGCCGGGGCAGTCATGTGCGGCCGCATCTCAGCAGGCTGCCCTGCAGGCTGATTCCTTGTAGCTGAGCCCTGCACGCTGGGATGCAAACTTCCTTGTGCATGCGAATTCCATACCTTGGCCCCCACGGCAAAGGTTGCAGTCACTTGCAAAAATAGCACGAAGCTCCGCGCGGGAGTGCCTTGGACAATGTCCCGACGCCTCTCCATGAAAAAACACAGTCCGGGTTTCAAAGCTACCCTCATCCACTAGTCGGCTTGCTCTCGCCGAGGGTCGGATGCGGCCATGAGCTCTCAGGCATGATTCGTAGTTTTGCATGTTTTTGCACCGCCCTGAGAAGCTGCCGGTTCTGTCGCCTCCTTCCTAAAGAGAGCCTTGAGGAACCCAGGACTATCAGTCCTCTGCGAGCGAGATCCGAATATCTTAATGCGGTTCAACCTTTGTCCCTTGTTTCCCCTCCCGCCCTGCCGAAGCTGCGAGTGGTTCAACTCTTGACCCACAGATTCTTTTGAGCTCAGAGCTTCCTTGAAGCCACCCGAAGCCACCCTAAGCTACTATTTGCAAGAACCCCCCCCCCCAAAAAAAATTCCAATATTTCTCTTATAAGGAAGCATATGTTCATATCTTATGTGGGGTTCTTAAGCAAATAGTAGTGTACCATTATTATTCTTCTTATCATTTACCATTATTATGTGTTTATTACTATTATGATTATGATTATTATTCTTATGATTATGATGATTATTATGAGTATAATTGTCATAATTATTATTTCCTACTATCATTCTTATTGTTACTATTGTTGTTATGATTATTTTTCAATTATACTTAATCTTATTATCATTATTCTGGCTATTATGCTTATGATTATTATTCATACTATTAATATTACTGTTATCGTTATTATTAATTAATTATCTTTATTATTATGAATACTATTATTATTGTTGTTGTGTTATGCCGGTGGTCTGGGGCCCGCACTCCAGGATTCCATTGTCGTAGTCCGCTTCGGCACTGTCGATCTCTTCGATGGGCCACCAGCGGAGGTAGCCTTGGATTAGGGTTTAGGGTTTAGGGTTTAAGGTTTAGGGTTTAGGGTTTAGGGTTTAGGGTTTGGGGTTTAGGGTTAGGGTTTAGGGTGTAGGGCTCAGGGCTTAGGGCTTAGGACTTGGAACTGTTGGAGTCCAAGGCTCCGGGGCTTTCCGGCTCTACGAGTAGAATGCTCTGCAAACGTGTGGGAACCCCGTTGCAGCACAAGGACTCTTCGACACACTGCGACGCATTGCGACACCCGGCTCCAAGCACCCCACCATCATCGCCACCAGAGATCACCAAGCCATTGTCCTTGTCGATGAGGATGACATCGATGGCCCCCGCGTGTGGGCCTGAATCTGCACAAACTGACTTACAGACACCACCCAGAAGCCCAAAGCTTTTCAGAACCCCAAGCCCGACCAGCATGACCCTGTCTCAAGCATCCAGAAAGCCCTCCCAGACAAAACAAAAGACCCAACCAGGATTTGAGGCGCCGGCTCCCTGCCAGGTTCGTGGCCGCCTCCTGCGCGGTCAGGCCATCCTTGGCACGCATGAGCTCGACCTCGGGACAGTCGACGAGACGTGCTCTCCAAGCTGGTCTTGGGACAAAAAGCAGATCACTCTGCTGCCACGGGCCTTGACAAAGACTCCCTCCCACACCAAGAGCTTTCCGTACCTGCACAAAATGAGCATGCTGCCTATACACAGCCCCGTGCACAATCTGAACAATGGTTGCGGCTGGGATCTTAGGAAGGCGCTCTGTGCCCGAGACGACTTTGCCATCAGGCAGCTCGACGAAACCGCTGATGTCAGAGAGCTCGCTCGCACCAAACTGCAATGCGCATTGCGGACATCTTAGCACTCACTTAAGTGACCCAGAAGTCATGACTGCAAAACAGAAAGCCCCGGGATGCTCCAGCTGCCATGCGCAAGAGTTGCACTCGAGCGGATCGTCCGCTGCAAGTTGGGCCTTTCCCAATGCGCCCTGAAGCTTCAGCCCCGTGAAGGTCGTCGCCATCTTCCAGAACCTCGGCTTCAGGCGGGGGGACTTTCGAACATAGGGGGCACCCCTTCTATACCCCACAAACTACAATATGCTCAAGCTAGAGGAACCCCAAAGACATAGACCCCCAATTTCCGAAACCCACAGGTGGCTTCGGTGGCTCCCCCTTCATCCTTCGGACACGGAAGCGGCCACCGCCGCCAAACTCGGGCTCCAGCCGGATGTGCCCGACGCCCACGGACGTTAGCATGCCAGGGAACTGGCCCCAGCGGATGCTGAAGACATCCTGTCCGGGTTTAGGGTTTAGGGTTTGGGTTTGGGGCTTAGGGTTTAGGGTTTAGGGTTTAGGGTTTAGGGTTTAGGGTTTAGGGTTTAGGGTTTAGGGTTTAGGGTTTAGGGTTTAGGGTTTAGGGTTTAGGGTTAGGTTTAGGGTTTAGGGTTTAGGGTTTAGGGTTTAGGGTTTAGGGTTTAGGGTTTAGGGTTTAGGGTTTAGGGTTTAGGGTTTAGGGTTTAGGGTTTAGGTAGGGTTTAGGCTTAGGCAGCTCATGCCCCAAACGTAAGATTTGCCAAACTGTTGCAGCATCCGGTCCTGACCGTAGGCTTTGCACTTCAGCAGAAGCCGCTCGTTGCGCCAGTCCCACACAGAGAGCAAGTAGTCTGGGGCGCAGCCTTGGCCGGACTCTCTGACATCACGCCTAGGGTTTAGGGTTTAGGGTTTAGGGTTTAAGGTTTAGGGTTTAGGGTTTAGGGTTTCGGGTTTAGGGTTTAGGGTTTAGGGTTTAGGGTTTAGGGTTCAGGGTTCAGGGTTCAGGGTTCAGGGTTCAGGGTTTAGGGTTTAGGGTTTAGGGTTTAGGGGTTAGGGTTTAGGGTTTAGGGATTAGGGTTTAGGGTTTAGGGTTTAGGGTTTAGGGTTTAGGGTATGCCACGTTACTCAAACAGTCTGCGAAGGTACTCCTGCAAGAGCCCAGAAGAAGCCACCACCCCGGATATCAACAATGCTGAGGGCGCGACCTAGTGCTGCCAAGTGGTTCTGCGCAGAGGCAACACTTACTCGCTGCTTGACTACCGGCCGCTGTCTTCAGTTAAGTAGGGGCAAAGTGATCCTTCCCTCCAACCTCCAACCTCGAACCGAACCTCATGAGACCTGCGGAGATGAGGCATGGGAGGTATGAAAAAGCATTTAAAATACCTCCGCAAACCACTTGTCCCTGCGCTGGCAAGCCAGAGCCCTGCCTTGTTGTGAGGCGAGAACGCCACTGAGGCGTAGCCACGCATTGTGCCCTTTCGCAAAATGCGGTATAACCTGCTCAACAAGCATGAGCCAGCCAAACCATCTGCAAAACTACGCAAAACTGCGTGAACTCCTTTCAACATCCATATTCTCATATGCCCTGCTGCAAACTTGCCCACCCCTGCACGGCTTTTTCCCTCAGCCACTGTCCACCGAACCATCAACGCCGGCGCCGTCAGCGTCCTGAGCGTGCGTACCCTGCACACTGCCACTCCTTCCTGAAACCCTCTCCGCGCCTGCCTGGCGCCTAAACTGATCGCTCGCGTTCGCTCGATCATTAGTCACTGACTTTCCGGGGTGTTCACTTCGGTCGATTTTCGACTATGGACGTTTGGCGCACGGACTCTTTCGGACTGGCTTCCTCATATGAGTTTCTATGTTCAAGCAGATTGCACACCGACCGCTGAAACTGATGTTCGGCCTTGCAACATGGACCTCGCCATCACAGGAACACGGATGCTCTATGCGGTCGCGATGGTCGGTTCTGCTGTTCGGTCCCATACAAACCCTGCCTAAAACATCTCTGCCTGACATCATGGCCAAAATCCAGCTTCACGTGCGTGGTGTGTGGTATTCATAGTCGTGGCGGCATGTCGTCTGCAGCTGTTGTATATTCATGCTGCGTTAGTACGCTTCATCACAACTCACTGCAGCTGTTCCCGAGGAGCTTGCTGTTGACGGCAAGCTCACCGGGAAAAGAGAAACTTACATGTCAGTGTTTTGAAAGTAGCCTGCTTCGACCGCCAACACTGGAAGACACATCCAAACCATGTCATTAAAAATCATTGAAACCAGTAGCCATGCACTAGCAGAGCCGGCGACAAGGGTAGTCGCAGAGACTTCGTCCGACTAGCTCAAGTTGCTCAAGCGCGTGGTAAGCAGAAGCAGTACAAGTAGCGGCAGATAGAGGAGTACGTAGGAGTTGAAGGAGAAGCAGGAGGCGACAATGGCAATGGCTGTGGTGGTGGTGGTGTTGGTGGTGATCACGGTAGAAGCAGCAATACTAGTAGCTACTGTTACGGGTGTTTTGTTCATTATAATCTCTGCGCTCAGTTCTTTCGCTTACAATTTTATTATTTTTACAAGCGAGAGCGGAATGAATTTATAAACGAAATAAATTATACGCAAAGACCCCTATAAATCCAGTTAAAATATAATTTAGTGAGTGAAGATAGAAAGAAGAGAGTACGAAATAATCATTACAAAGTGAAGAGATAAAGGATGAACGAATATAATGATTTTAAAATTGGTACTAAGAAGAGAAATTAATCTGACAAAATATTAAAATCCAGAAAATGCTGTAGAAAAAGAAATAAAAGAGTAGAATATCAATACTAAAAGTCCTTATAATATTATTATTAGTTTTACAAGAGCTTTTTACTCTCATTTGAACGAAATATGCAAAGGAAAGAGTTGGATAGTTACAGCTACCCGTTGTAGCTTTGCGGCTATTGCTGTTGCTAAAAACTGCTGCTTTGGTAGTTCTGACAGGTTCACAGCAGCAGGAGAAGCAGCAACAAAAAGCAAAGAGTAGAGTGAAGGAGCAGCCGGCTTCGCATGGCTTCGCTGCTTTGCCGCCCGGCCACGGATCCCGCAGAGGCCACAGAGGCCCTCCGGGCGTCCGCATCCGGCCTGGCGATGCTTCGAATGCTGTGGGAGTGCTTTGGTCGCAGCTTCATTTGGGGGCTTCCGGAATTCGAGGGGTGCCTTGTTGGAGTCCTTATTGTAGGGGAATCCTACTATGTGGGGGGGTGTGTCTTCTTGCAGCTCCCCGATTCTCGTAAGCCCCCCCAAATTTGCCTGGGATCTGGTTTCTGATCAGCTGTCTTCCCCCGCGCCTGCTCGCATCCGACGCCATGGAGCCCCCTGAATTCAGCGAAAGCGAGGCTCTGCCCGTGGATGCCACAGCTCCTGAGAACCACAGGGAGAGTCTCCAGGCGTGGAACCTTCAAACTCAATCTTGGCTTCTGAGTTCAAGCTCTGCCCCCCATTGCACACACACACACACACACACACCGAAAAAAAAAAATTGACAGGGTGGACATGGCCGACTGGACTCCGAATCCCCAATCCGCACATCACTTTTCAGCGTCCTTCCGGCCCGGACAAGTCCTTGGCCGTCCCACTCCTGGGAATCCATATGGAATCAAGACTCGCCACTCGAGAGGATGGAAGGCAGCACAGAGACACACAGAGAGGCTGTAGCTGGGACCAGCCAATAGCTACAATAGTAGCAGTCATTAAGAGGGTGCCGTAGGCATGAGGCCCTCAAGGATAATGTTACATGTTTTGGGTTCGGTGCCCCACGTGAAGCTTTGCCTTTCCACCCGACCATCCTCGGAAATAAACTCACAACTGGATCGAAGTCTCCCAATTTCCCTGGTTCAGCTCAGAAGAACGGCTACACTTCAGCTAGGTTGATGCTTGCAACTGCCCCGACAGCTGCTTTTAGGATTCCCGAAGCCACTAGTTCCTTGTCTCTCCTTGTCTCTGTCATTCTTGATGTGGACTTTGCAGCACCTGGGACCAAGGACTACAATCCAAAGATGCATTCTGACTAAGCCAGATCAAGCTGAGGTGTTGCAAAATTCCGTGGCTGCACATTCAGACGAACTCGTCCGGCTGGATTCAACCGCTCGAGCCGTAGACAACGGAAGACCCCCCAATCCCACAGACACCTCCGGCAAACGACGGAAAAAACACCCGATGCCCAAACAACCCCCTAACCCCCCCTAACCCCCCCTAACCACTCCCCCCCTAACCCCCTAACCCCCTAACCCCAAACCTCTGGGCCCTCGAGCCGATCTTCCCCTGCTTGGCCCGGCTCTGCAACTCCTGCCGAGCGTTCGAGGAATCAGGGCAGTTGTCTTGGGCTTTCAGCTTAGCTGTCAAGGGTTAGGGTGCAGGAAGCTGATGTTGCAAAGGAAGCTGATGTTGCAAAGCACCCTGAAATCCCCTAAATGTCATTCGGAGCGCAGAAGTGCCACTGGGAAGCTGGGAAATGTTGACTTGGATGTCACAATGTGCTCCGGCTCTTTTTTCTCTCTTCCTTTCTTTATTCCTTCCTTGCTTCCTTCCTTCCTTCCTTCCTTCCTTCATTCATTTCTTTCTTTCGCTATTTCTGTATTCCTTTCTTTCTTGTTTCTTTGTTGTTGTTTCTTTCTTTATTTCTTTCTTTCTTTCTTTATTTCTTTCTTTTTTCTTTCTTTCGTTCTTTCTTTCTTTTTTCTTTCTTTCTTGGGGCCTGGGGCTCCAGCTCTTTCTTTCTTTCTGCGCACTCAACCCCTCCCCATCTGAAGGGGCCTGGCCGGGAGGTGGGGCTCCTAGGCGAACCCTAAACCCTAAACCCTAAACCCTTGAGTTGGGGCTCGATTGTTCCTGGCCCTTTTTTCTTGGGCTCCCGCACAACAATGCAGCGCAGTGTGCGTGCAATGTTTAAATGTGAGCTAAGTGCCATAAGTTGTAGAGTGGCATCGCGACGGTCAGCTTCACTAGGTCCCGCACCCCACAAATCCCCGTGGCTCGCAAGTGCAAACCATGCTTGAGCTTGGTGCCTTCAGCCTTTGCTGTTTCGCCTTCTCCCTCGCAGCCACAACGCCGCGGCAGAGCACCTGAGCGCGGCACTTTTCCGTGAATACTTCACGGAGCACTGCCACTTTACGGGCTCGCCAGCTTGCTCTTACAATAATAACCATATGAAGTGGCACGCAAGAGGCACTTCTAGCAGATTCTAGCAGCTACTGGTAGATGGGAAAAACAACAAAAGGCCCGCCTCCTCACTTTGGCGGCGGTCACAGTATGTCTGAGAATTGGGAACAGCTGCCAAGTTCGCGCCGAAGCGCCCGGCACGCGTAGAGGAGGACGCAGAAGCCCACTACACCGCCACCGATCATTAGGATCCTCAGCTCAGGTTTCAAAGGTTGATGTTCAGGTCGTGGGGATCCTGAACATAACAAACTCAACCCAACTGGCTTCGTCCAAAAACGAAGATAAAACCTGAGACCTGAAGCCAAGAGCACCCGTCGGCTCTAGCGAAATGTGCAAATCTGCTGTGGAAAGTGTTGATGCATCAGGACTTCGACGAATCTAAACGCATCTCGACAAACTAGCCCCGGGAGACTAGCGCCTCTTGGATGCATCTGAATGTGGTAATTCTATTTATTATTATTATGATTATTATTTTATGATTGGTATGATGATTATTATGATGATTATTATGATGATTATTATTCTTCTCCTTTTTAGTACTATTCTTATTGAAACAATACAACTAATAATAGTTTTTTTATAGCAGTAGTAAATGTTCAGGCAGTGGCCCACCTCAGCAACTGCGTCTGATCTGGCGGCGGCGGGGGGTCACGCACGGCGCAGAAGACGCCGCGGAAGCGGGAAAGGTTCCTTGCGGCAGCTTGCGGTCGCGAGGCGTTCTTCCGCGTTCAGACAGTCGCATGACTGAGGCGGTGAGGTTCAAGGTGTGCGACTCTTTGCGCCAGGTTAAAGATTTCAAAGGGTTGACGGCCTCCCCATTCATGAACCACGACCGCAGGTTTGTTGGGAGTCTGCGTCCAAACATGTGTCGTGGAGGTTGTTCCCTAAAGGAACCTCCCTGGACAAACCTAACCCTGCACTGCGACCTTTGGTTTTTGACGTATTTGCTGCCATTCCCCACAAAGAGGCCCTGTGATGAAAACCGGCTAAGCTGTAAGACGACCACTCGATCAAGACACTCCTCACATACTCGGCTACTCGGCAAGACAAGTTGAAGGAAAAACCATCTGCGAGTCCAAGGTTCGTCCAAATACAGAGATCTGAGCAGAGCCCCAGGCAAACCTGAGAGGTTCGTGACGTGGCGTCTGATCTCAGAGCAACGTGCCGTATTTCATTGCTATGAAGGCTGGGAGAGGGAGGACCGTGTATTAACTTCAGACATGTGCCTCTATGCAAGGTGCAGCCGGCTTTATACCTTCAAGGTACCCCTTCAAAAAGGTAATACAATTGTCACGGTGTCAGCACCTCTTGCAGGTAGATCTCTTCGCACGCGCTGCAGACTCCACCTGCCATGTCTGGGCCCAGTAAAACTGCTTCCTTGTAAGGGTTATAAGTTCATTATCATGTTTATTCCTTATTGGGGAATTTAAGATGACAAGAATGAAACATTATCACCAACAAGGACCCCGACGACAGGATGCAAGTGCGGACACGTCGGGACACATCCGGACGCATGTTGCCATGAGCTTCCAAAGACTGCTGGCCTTGCGACGGTGTTGGGCAGCCGCCGTCCGAGCGGAAGAATACACCATCCACGTTGCAGCCTCAGGCTCGTCTGTTCCTCCTCTCATAAGTATTATCTCCTTCTGGCTCCTTCTTCGTGTCTTTGTTTCACACTCTTCTTGGTCGTTTACCCGGTTTACCCTTTCTCGGCTTCATCCTTCAAGCCTCCACGAGGCCCCGTCCCCACAGGGCACTCATCAACAACAGGATGTACGGCTGTCTGAACAAAGAATTGAGCCTAAAGTGTCCGAAAGTTGCGACCTAAACTCCCCAACTTTGCGTGGCCTGAGTCGTTCAAGTACATCGGCGGCGGGACGCACCGCATGCACCTGCTCCGATTGCCCGAGCGGATCATCAGGACATTTGCAGCGACATCTGCTGCGAGGGCTGGTACTGGAGCTCACACGTCGAAATACACAGACAATCACAGACTACAGAAAGTTTGGGGATCCAACAGTTTGGCACTGAACTCAGGCTTGCCCTGCTGACATCAGGCACAGAATACTGTACTGCACTGTGCTGCTGCACTGCAATGAAACCATGGCTGTGGGTTCTGAAGGGGTGCCTGTCATTCCAACTACAGCGCGTCTGCCCGCCAGCCGGTGGAAGAAGTGCCTGACAGTGCAATCAAAGAAGGCTTATGGGGCGTTGAGCCATGTCTCCTGTATGCCTAGTTGCTGGCCGATATCTGCGTCTACGGTGAGCACCAACCCACAAACCCCCCCATACAAGCCCGCCTCTGCGCAAGTCCTTGCTGCACGCGGTGCCGAGCAGCGGTGCACGGCATAAATGCCGAGAGCAGAGCAAAGGTCTGCGGCATCGCACCAGGTTGCACAACATTGCACAAAGAATCGATTGTGGAGACTCGATTGTGGAGACGGACACCCTTTGTAGGCCCTGAATAGCCTTATAGGCTCTTGCAGGCTTGAAGGCTCCGAGCTTTTGTTGAAAGTTCCCAACCCAGGGATGGCCATCTCATGCGGCTTGGGCATGGGTCATTGGGTTGCCACCTGCTCCGGGCTTCCGGGACCTTACTGACTGGAGGGGTACCAACTTGGAAGGCGGTGTCAGGGGCGCAGCCATGGCGGTCTCCGGTGGCTCATCTCAGCAACAGTACAACAACAAGGCGACGGCAAAACTGCACAGCGAATCGACAAAGAGAACCTTAAGACGCACCAAGTACACTCTAAGAGCCTCCAGACCTGTAGAACTCAAAAGGATTCGGAGAAAAAACAGGTCCTGCACGACTCTTCAACCCTGGGCCAGAATGGCATAACGCCCCGAGGCCTTCGCTAACTATCTCCTGGATCTCCTCCGGGACTTCAAAGAAGCTCTCGTTGTCGATGGTGTTGTTATCCATATCCGCCACAACATGAACCGGCAGGTGCTGTCACCCACCCGGCCAGACGTCCATCCGGCTCGCTGGGCGCCGGGGATTCGCTCCATGGTGTCCGTTTGCTGCACTTAGCTGTGCCGATTCTGCGGATACAGTTCAAGAACACAGTAGTTATTCACGAGCTCAAGCATGGACGTTGTCACCTACTTCAGTCGAGACTCTTCATTCAGTGCAGTTGCCCGAGCAAGTGTGCTCGTTGCATCTAGCTACGTGTAGTTGCTAAGACTTGATGCGCACGACTGGGCGCACCTAATTTTGGCGGCTGGAGTGACCATGTGCATAGAAACACAGCTCACTCATTGCACACCGTCTCTTCACAAAACAAAAAACACGGCAGTGGCCTCATCGTTTTGAACGAGTAGATGTAAACCTGAACCATTTACTGATGGTAGCAGATGTCATCTTTCTTGCGCAACTTTCAAAGCTCGCAAGAGTACCTATCAGCATGACCTGACCTGCAAAAGACACCAGTACACAATAGTGAAAGCATGCAGAGACACAACGTCGGTCAGGTGCAGGGGCTTGGCAAATGAGCGAAAGCACAGCACAGATTTCCCACTGCTAAGCTTCTCGCATTCGGCTGTGAAGTGATACTTCTCTCAGCCACTGCGAAATACGTCATGTCCGGAGACATCTGGCAGCAAGTTTGCTTTCAGTGCCACACCCTCATGCATCCTGAGCAATGCAGCTTCTAGCCCCCTTCCGCTTCCCGGGGAAGCACCGCTACAGCGCCAATGCCACCGTTGTCGCGTCCGTGGAGGAAGCGTCTTTGGCGCGTATCTGCAGCAGCAGGGAAGCTATACAGGAACTAAGCAAATGCATGCAAATGCTCAGGTTCGTCTTGCAAAATCAACTCCCTTAGAGCACCGTCGGCCGGCGAATCATGCAGCCCAGCAGCGTATGTTCATGAAGCAGACCACGTGGCCGGTGATGTACGCAAACTCCTGGCTGCCAACTGCCCAGCTACAGAAGCGAGGCAATCAAACGACTCTCCGGTGCAAATCGCAAGCAAGTCCTCGTTTGAGGTCCAGACTGCGTTGTTAATGCGGCTGAAGTCGAAGCCTCGGTCAAACAGCTGCGCCTTCCTTGCAGAATAGCTTCTTTCAGGCACTTTCAGTTGCAGCTGGAGAGCACTAGTCACTACTTGCCTTAACTTTCAACCGACCCTGCTGAGATCTTGGCCCATGAAACGAGCTGCTCGCGCCCCTTGTCGCGGCAACTCGCGATCCTGGATGTTGAAAGTCCAAAGTTGACAGAAAAGCACAAGGAATTGCTGGCGACATGTCTTACAAAGGGGATTTCGACATCTTGGGACGTGCCTCCAGGGGCGGGTTGAGCTCCGGAGTGCTGGGATCGTAGAAGAAGCTGGCTGGAATCCGCCACCTGGCGACTTGGCTTCTAGCCACTTCGGTTCATGTCGGAAGATCAAGGACTCCTCGGAACCTAGCGGAGTTCATGGCCACACTGGTCCCCCAAAAAGAGCCAGTTGTGCCTCGCTTCTTCTGCATCGATCTTGTCCTGCGCGTCATCATCGTGGGATGACACAATCCTGGCAGCAAGAAGCCACGATCCTTTGCAGATGCATCAACAACCCACAATCAAAACTCAACCATTCTCAGTGCGGGACGACGTGCTCCGCTTCCTTCGGATGCCCTCAATGATTTCCTTGGAAGCTTGCCTCGCATGGCAGGACATGCCAGAGATGCCAGAACAACCCCCCCCCCAGCATCTTGTTGGCTTCTGGCTGTCATAAACCAGAAGCGTCCCCACAAAAAACAAAAAAAATTGGGGCACAGCGCCCTTCGACTGGGACATGAGATGAAGAAGCCAGGCCTTGCAACAACGGGCCTCCTCACCACCTGCATTGCAGGTTCGTCACCGCAAAAAATGAGAGAACGAGCCGGGCCAGCAGCGGAGAACACAGCAGCATCTCCTGCCTTGTCGGAAGGGCTGTCATCACCTGAGAGCATAAGCTGCGCTGTGCGCCACACGCTTGACAACCAAGCATTTTTTCGGTGCTCAATCCTGAACCCCTCGCGAGCGGCGCAACCCAACCCACCACCGGCCGCGAACTCACGTGTTCTTGGGGGTACTTGGGGAGGACTCATGGCTTGGGGCGTCAGACGATGTGACCTTGCCTCAGCTTTGTCCGCGTACACTTTGCACTTCGGCTTGCCACAGAACTTACAGAAGGGAAATTCAAACACAGGCGTCGCGTTCTTCTTTATTTTCATTTTTGATTTTTTGGGGGTACCCAAAGCTGACACACCTTCTCTCTTGGACTTTGCGAGCCGCACAGACCCAAGGTCCCGCCACTCATCGCCCTACACTTGCTTGAACCTAGACCTTCACACACCTGGTGTTCGCAGTGATGGTGTCGCTTCTTCAGTATCCACGTTTCCCACCAACACCACCACCAGCAGCACCACTAGCACCACCAGCACCCCCAGCACCAACACCACAACCAGCACCAACACCAGCGCCACTATGACCATGTCTGCTGCGGATGACTCTCTCCGGCCTTCAGTGTGGGTCTCGTCGCCACCCTCGGGAAAGGTGCTTTGAGAACCCTAAGCCCGGTTGGCGATGCATCTGAAAGAAAAGGATGGGCATGATACTGAACTCGAGTCCAGATTGGAGCGGGAGCTGCAAAGTTGACAAGCAAAACGCTCGAAGAAGAAATGACCAAAGTCACGACGAAACACTAAGAAAACAGTGCAAGACATCTCGCCGCAAGGATCCCCTTCACAAGCGCAGCCATTTCTAACACGGGGTCTTTCCCTAAACCCGAAACCCGAAACCCTAAACCCTGAACCTGGGACTCTGAGCCGAACCCATCAGGCTGCAAAAGCTGAGATACTCGAGCACCAAACCCTCGAGAGCCCTAAACTTGCGATGTGAATCCCACGCCGTTCGATTCAAGAATTGAGGGTTGTTTGCTTGCAGGGTCGGGTCGGCAAAAATTCGTGATTGGTATATAAGAGATTAGCACAAGATCTCGACCTTGAAAGCGCAACGCCCCACATCTTAGCTTCAGAACGCCCTGCCCTCTGCCTCTGTGGTTGCGCCCATGGCAATAGATGTCGGCGATGCCTAGCCATATTTGGAAAACCGGAATCTGACAGTGAGAATGCTCTTGTGGGGGCTGCATTTCACAATCGCCAACACAGCTTTGCTCTCTCGGTATCTGCTGCCAGATCCCTGCAACTGCCACTGCTTTCCAGACGCGCAGACGGGCTATGATGGGTGGCGTTCGAGACATATTTCTGCTGTAGAAGATCGCTAGTATCGGTTTCCTGGCAGTGCACGATTGCACATTACAATCAGGGATACGATTCGTTGTAGAAACTTATCCGCATGCTTGGAGGGAAGCTGCTGAAAATTTTTTTCAAGGCAGGCTATTTTTTCTAAACCCTGAACCCTCAACTCACCACGTTGTTTGAGCCGTCCCATTGATTGCACATCTTCGAAGATGTGCATTACGTAGCAATGTGACAGGAACAGCAGGGACCAGCACCAAACATAGTTGCACAAGTTCTACCGACACCTTCTTGTCAACACAAGCACGAAACTCATACCGAGAAAGGTAATCATTAACATGCTTCGGCTTGGCTTGAATACACCAAGGGGTGGGAGGGCTTGTGTAGCAGCATTCCGCCCGTTTGCCTTTGTTCAAAGTTTACCAGTTTTTGCCGTGATGAGTATTCCTCCCTTGTTTGCTTCAGTCCGGTCTTTTTTTCTTGTAGATTGCTCCGTAATGTCCTTGTTCCGTGCTTCCTTTCCCGTGTCTTTCCCGGTCCTCGCTTCCTTCTGTCCTGTCTTCCTCAGCCTCCCTTTCCATAACCACCAAAATACATGTTATCATCATCTTATTCCTCCTCGTCACCATCATCCGAATTCGAAGAAGACCGCTATTTTGCTTGCTTTTTGCTTTTTTGTTTGGGGGGGGGGGGGGGCCAAGTCCTTTGGACAATGGTCGCGTATGTGCATGCTGTGCAGAAGCTCACAGCATGCAGAACAGCAGTCCCAAAAAGACCGAACAGGTCCCCGATTCTGACGTTCCTTCCGTTAGAAGGTGGGAGCGTCGAGCCCGTGAGTTGTTGAGAAGGCTTCCAGGATCATCAACCCATCCCCCAAAGAAAAATCAGAACACCGCGTCAGATGCTGACTTGCCACTTGATTCCCTGAGAGGCCTCCCCCGCTTCGAGAGCACCTTCTTCGGGTGCCTGACGGGCGGGTTTAGGGGTGTAGGGCTTAGGGGTTTGGGGTCTGGGGTTTGGGGTTTAGGGTTTAGGGTTTAGGGTTTAGGGTTTAGGGTTTAGGGTTTAGGGTTTAGGGTTTAGGGTTTAGGGTTTAGGGTTTAGGGTTTAGGGTTTGACACGGCTGGGGTTCTGTGATGAGGGTTTGCCGGTGCTGGCGCGTTCTGGCTTGTTTGATCAGCGGGAAGGTGGTCTTGGCTCGAAGGTATGAACCTTCTACCTACCGACTACTTTAAGACCGGACCTCCAAAGCCTGCATCCTGCAAAGCACAGCCGACACAACTGCACAATCGGCACCCTAAGTCCTCAAACTTCAAGCCTGACACAAGCCTACAAACCTGAAACTGACCGGGCGAAGGCTGAATCCCTAAACCGCCCCAAAACAAAAAAGCTCAACACTCAACAAAAACACATCCCTAAGACAGGACAAAAATTGGAGCTTCGAAATCCTACAGCCTCACCACTCTACAAATTTCCCTTCTCGAAAGCCAAAAACCCCACAACCAACAAGCACCGCAAGCAGGAAACCGCCCCAAGCGTCTGCCAACGACACGAAATCCTGCCAAGTAGACACTTCGTGAGAAGACTCGACGATGCGTATTCACTAGTATCGGGCGCAAATCTAGCCCATGAAACCGCATCACGCCCCCGAGTTTTCCGGCACTGCACATGTACCCAGCGATGCCTCCAAGATACCTCCGCAATACCCAAGGATTTCGGACCCGCGGACATACTACCCAAACCTGCACCCACCTTCATTTCACCCGGCCTGCTCTCCATGTTCTCCAGCCTCTGCCGGTGCAGCATCTGGGACAGGCTCCTGCGCACCAGGCCAACGAGAATAAGCCCAGATTTGGAGCACAGGGTTTCGGATTCTCAATTTGGGATGATAAAACAAAGGGCTAGCCAAGTGCCACCCTGGCATTTACCCGCATCCGTAGCGCTTACCAGGGGACAGCAGCCTCAAAGCCCACGCAAGCCCAACACACTGAAAACACCACACACTGCAGGGACCACTTCCTGTTTCGAGGATGGGAGGTGCACGCAGCTGATAGCAGCCCCAAACTCTGCGAAGCCCTGCGCCCTGAGACCCCTCAAACCCCCGAAACTCCCCTCAAACCCCCCTCAAACCCCCCTGCAACCCCCTGAAACCCCACCTTCCCCCCCTGAAACACCCCTGAAACCCCCCCTAAAACCCCGTTGCAGGGCCCAAAGTTTGATCTAGACATGACCCTCTCCTCGGCGGGCGCTTCGGCCGATGCCTCTGCGATCGGCTCCTGCAAGTCATGGCGAAAAGCTCGAAGGCACGAAATTCCTAAACCCTAAACCCTAAACCCTAAACCCTAAATCCTGTAACCTATATAAACCCTAAACCCTAACATGTTCCCCCCGCCCCCTCCTCCCCTCCAAAGAGCTAGCCTTGACCCCCTTATACTAACAGTCCTTAGTAGGGATTGCAGCACCCGATTAAGGTCAGTTAGTATAAGGGGGAACATCCCAATGTATTCTTTTCTTTACCTTGGCAACATGTGAGGCAACCGTGCCTGCTACCCCCCCCCCCCCGCACTTGCCTGTTTCCTAGCTCACCTATCAACTTTCCCCCTCCTCCATCCCACTTGACCCATCCAGAGAGCTTGTCTTGACCCATCAACTCGTATTGCAAAGCCTGACTAGTCCCCTTCCAGCCCCACGTTTCCTGCCTCTTTCCCTATTTTCCCCCGACCCACCCCATCTGCTTCTCTTCGACTACCCAACCCTTTGCTACAAGACCTTCCTTACCCTAAAGATACTGGCCTTCAGTAAACTTTATATTGTCAAGGGCGCATGAGAAAGACATATTAGTGGGTTTTGACTTTTATAGTACCGGCGAAGACCCCAAACACGCATGGACATGAAGATGACGACCTGGGACGCGCCACCCATGCAAGCCCATAGGCGCCCAAGTCTGGACCGTCCAGCCAGGCAACAGACGAGACAAACATGGGGGCTGACGAAAATAGGGGACCCCCAATCTAGATCCCCTAATAGTAGGATCCCCTTATCATGAGGACCCCCCATAAGGAGCCCCGAAAGTACCGTAAACCCAACCCTCTCTGCCTCGGCCGCCTCAGCTGCAGGCGCCGCAGGCTCTGCGGGCGCTTCGGGCGCTGCGGGCTCTGCTTCGGTCTCGGCCGGCGGCTCCCCGTCCATGGCCTGCGGACACTCAAGGAAAGCCAGCAGCCACGTGGACTTGAGAAGAGTTGAGAGGTCTTGAGGTTGGAGAACCTCAGGGCTGCAGCTCTGGTAGCATTGAGTACAGCAAGGGTTCAAGTTTTGGGAAATCCGCTTATACAACCCGAACGATGTTTCGTGCTGCTGCAACACTTTGCAACTCCTGACGTCCGTGTCAACTTCGCTGTGATCACGTGATAAAGTTGCGACAAAGCCTTGCAAGCGCTGACGTCTACCTCATTGGCATGCACAACCACTGCACTATGCTTCGACACTGGTAAGTTGTCGGGGCTCTGAGGAGGCACGTTGGTCTAGAAGCCCCTTCCATGACTCTGTTGCAAGCTTGGTGCCCAGTCCAACGTTCCATGCTGAATGTTCTTCTGTTGTCTACACTACGCTGAGCTGAGACGGCCACACACCCCTCTTTCCTTTGGTTCAGCTGTCAAGTGCAGGTGGCAGGCCAAGAGCACAAATGCACGAATATGGCACAAGACTCTGCAGACCGGCTTATTTACTCTGAGCCATGTCGGCCATCATCATGGGGGTGAAACATGCCGGTAAGGTCGATCGAGCTACACCACGTGAACGGCCAATGTGTACTAGTACTGCCAAGGTATTTCGCGACTTTGCAGCTTACTCAGGAGGCTTTCGAGAGCTGCACATGCCGGGTTCTAGACACGCCTGTCCTTCAGCATGTGTTGGGAAGTCTCTGCTGGCCGAGCATGAATCTGTGAGCACCCCCATAATTTGAGAATATCTACCGCATACCATCAAGACAGCTGAAGTTTATGAGATCCTGACTTTCGGAAACCGGCTACTTCGGGGATCCTAAGCTAGCGGAATTTCTGCTGGAGCAGTCTCTCACAGCTGATGCTGGAGGAGCTGACCTGCCGGTGGAAAGAGATGGTGGGGCTCCACTGGGCATGGCCAGACGACATCAGACGACGAATAGACTTCAATGGCTGCACCGATGTGTTCTTGGCTTGGGGCGGCATAACATCACAGCAAAACTGGTCTGGTGGCATACCACGCCTAGTGGCCGTTGCACGTATTCTTCTTGCCACAAGTAGAGAATCCCCTAAGCCCTAAGCCCTAAACCCTAAACCCCTAACCCCTAAACCCTAAACCCTAAACCCTAAACCCTAAACCCTAAACCCTTGCAGACATGAGCTGAGGGGCACGGCATGACCACGGCAAGGAATTCAGAAAGACATCTCCCTCCAAGACCACCTACTGGCCTGATCCCTCATACCTTACTACCAGTTTCCTTAAGAACCCGTAAAAGAGGGTCTAATTTTTTTGAGGGTAATATAGTTGATTACTATTTTATATTTTGGGTTTAGGGTTCTTAAGCAAATAGTAGCTTGCACCAACTCTTGACGCAACGGCCTCCCCATTCGTCAGCAGGGTCATCTGCCTTCGGACGGGCTCCCTCCAAGAGTGCGCATTTGCCGGCTGATCGTGGGACAACCGATGGCATCTTCCACGCAAGCGAACTGCAAATCCCGGCAATTGCATCCCCAGAAGCACATCATAGCAGAAGTGGCCACTTCTCAAAATGATGATCCCTTTCCGGGGTACCCTAAATATTCGGGGGGCCGCCTTATCTTACTAACCCAAAAAAAGGGACCCCCAATGTAGAGAGAATCCCACCAACAAAAATCCCACGGCCCCCTTGCCAGGTCTTGCTTGCGGTCCCCGCCCCGTAGGTTCCGTAGACCGGCTTTGCGGCCAAATGCTCGTCATCAAACACCTCCCGCGTGTCACCTGCCCAGGTTGAGGATCAGGGCCCTGATGGGCAGCTGCGATCCCCTAAAGGCCTTCTAACTTCTAACAGGCCTGCTAAGTGAAGCTTTTCCAAAGATGCCCAGGAAGGTCCTCCAGGTTCTGGGTTCATGGGAGCTTTCGTGGGACTCTGCCCTCAAAGGTAGTCGCAGATGAAACCTGAACCGAGTGCTCAAAGCCCTTGAAAGGTCCAAGAATGTCCAAGACCCGAGCCGTTTGAAGTTGAGGATGTAGTGTTCAGTCAACGATTGCAGTTCCAAATAGGGTTTTAGGGTTTAGGGTTTAGGGTTTATAAGTTCTAAGCTTCAGAGGTGGGCTTGGCCTTGGGGTGGGCGAGAGGAAGAGACGAGGAAAGATGCGACAGGGCAGCCAAGAGTAAGGGGAGCATGAAGGACATGAAAAAACAGAAAAACAACCCTAAACCCTAAACCCTAAACCCCCAAAACACTCCCAAAAACCCTAAACCCATCAGCCCAAAGGCCCGCCTCGCGCTTTCTGTGGCTTCGGGCTGCTACTTCGACCACGTGGCGAGGCACTCGGCGAGCGGAGGCCTGCATTCAAAGCTGTGTCGGACCCTAAACCCTAAACCCTAAACCCTGGACCCTAAACCCTAAACCCTAAACCCTAAACCATCTCTATCATCTAGCCAACTCTTGGCTGCACTCAGGAGGGTGGCTATAAATTGAAACTTTTCGCTGCCTTGCTTAGAAACCCAATAAACCCAAAAAAGGTAAGGATCTAAAGTTACGGTAAAGAACCACAAAGAACTGAAGACCCCCTGCGTATGCAAGCTGCACCTCTGCGCAGATGCAGCACCACTAGGATGCCATTTAGGTGAGAACAAGGGCGGACATGCTGTCAAGAGCATCCAACATTGCCACAACATCTCCCCAAAAGCCCCCCTAAACCCACCCGCCCTCTGCATTTTCGTCAGCCGGCTGAGGTGTACAAGCGCCCACATGAATGGGCGTTGCTTCAGTAAAGGGACATTGCAGGGACCGCGCACCTCTCGAGGACTGTGGGCTTGCAGAAGCGAAGCCCTGGGCTCCAAGAGAACGGGACGCTGGTACCAAGAGGTTTCGGTGGCTCCGCCAACTGCTGAATGCTCCGCATCTGCTTATCTACTACTTGCTTAAGAACCCCAAAAGAATTTTAAGAAATAATCCCTAAATTACCCTTAGTAAGGAGAAATATTTTTCATTTTTTCGGGTTCTTAAGCAATTAGTAGTCATCTGCTCAGGGTGAGTGGTCATTGCTGTCGCTTCAGGGCTTCGGGCCGGGACGGCCGGTGGGCCGATGGATTCTTGAGGCACCCGGAACACTGAACCCACAACATGCCCGTGCCTACAGAAGTTCCCGTAAATCCCATGCACTCCGTAGCCCTACGTGCTTTGAACTGTGCGCCCGAGTCCCGGGCAAAGAGTGGTGCCAGCGCGGGGCTCACCCTGGGGACAGCCGACTGCCAACTGCTTCACAGAATATCCCAAGTGTGGTAGAGCTTGGCTCAGCTGCCGCTAGTCACTAGAAAAGGGCCGCGGTCGTTGCAACACGGCCCGTTGTCTGAGCACGAGTCCATTTCAGCGGACTGCTCACACCATCTTGCCACATTCCTGGCAGCGAAAGCGGCGCTGACGTGTTCATGACACCCTGCTCCCTGCCTATAGGACAGTGTAGCCCAAGGGACAATGAATGAGATGGGCGTTGTGCGCAGTACGAATGGGTGCAAAACCCTGTCGGCAGGCCTCTGCTGGCAGCGGGCCTGCAGCACTCGTAAGGTGGGCTTTCACAGCCCTCGAAATACAAAAAAAACCGTCCATAAACGGATCCACACTGGACCGAGGATTGAGACCCTCAGAATCCATCGCGGTGAGAGCCAAGGTCTCCTGGTGTCTCAGGTACCCACCATCACCGCCGAATCCTCCTAACCCTCCTCTCAGAGCAGGCTCAGAGATGCGCAGAGTTGCCAAACCCTGGAAGCTCCGGAAGGCTTCCAGTTCCCACGCGCCCTGATCTTGGGAAGCTCTGCTTGGAAAAACCCTGGGAGAGTTGGACACCGGCCCCAGAACCTCCGCTTCCTTCCAGGAAGATCATGCAAGGGGCCAGCAGGGCTCCCTACGGGCCTACGGGGAGGGATCCCCCTGCAACCCTCCGGGCCCCTTGAACCCTAAACCCTAAACCCTAAACCCTAAACGAACCAGCATGCGCTGCGGACGCCAAAAAGTTAAGGGCGTGGCAGCGGCGGCAGCTGGGGAGGTGAGTCTTGCCCACTCCTTGGTCAGACAACTGGGAAACTCACCTTCCTCTCCACCTCGCCCACCCTTTCTTGCCTCTGGCTCTTTGGCTGCAAGTGTCCTAAACGCTGGAACTACCCTCGCAAGTTGGCAAGCAGACATCGCTCTCTTCCATGGCTCCCCACCCATGCAGCGCTGCCCAGCTCGGAGGCTGCCCCGAAGCCTCGCGATCGCTGGGCTTCGGGTCTTCGAATGCTTTGGGGGGCTGGGATTGGAGGGTCCTTGGCTTTGGGGCCCATGGAGTTGGGAGGTCTCAAACTCGCCAGCAAATCTGGAGGCGAGCTTTCCATCGGATAGGGCATCCAAAAAGCCCCCTTTCCGAAGCAGGTCTTGGACCCTTTGCTCTAGTTGCTTAAGAACCCCCAAAAAAACTATAAATGAAAATTCCTATATTGCTCCAGAAAGAGGATTGTTTCCTTTTATCTTCTTGGCGGGTTCTTAAGCAATTAGTAGTTTGTAGCATCTGAGTCAGCCGCTTGCCACTGCCGCGGACTCCGAGGAATCCCAGGGCCTGCCGAGCAAGGATGCAGGAGGGGCTACGTACGATTTCGCCACAAGGTCATATGGTGAGTTCTCTAGAATTTGGTCTTTTTTTGGGTCCCTACATGAGAGGGGTCGCCCTGTACTAAGGACCCCAAAAGGGACCACAATTTAGAGAATACACCATATAAAGAGGCGCATACTCTTGATAGCAAAAACCAAGCCAGCAAAGTTCCAATATGCTACTGTGTACATTGGGGGGGGGGAGAATCTTATTCTCAACAAACAGATGTACCAACCATTGGTCGGTCAGTTGCTCCCACCTTTGTAGCCGAACCTTCGAGAAAAAGCAAGAACGAGCCTTCGGTTTAGCATGACCTGGCTGCAATCCGCTGTCAAGGCACTCAAATAGGCCCTCACAGCACGGGGCTGAAGCCCCGAAAGTGGCCCAGCCTGCGTTGCCCGCGCCGCCTCTAGAAGTGGCCTAGGCTGACAGGATGGTATTCAGGCTCTGTGACGAATGATGTTCATGGGCCTTTGGCCTTTACAACTAGGTTCAAAACCCCAACGTTCAAGATTCAGTCTCTAGGGATGCACGCTGTGGTACCCCTTCACGAACACAATGGTCTTACGTGCACATGCATGAAAGAAACATGCAGATCCAACATGCCCAAAGAACAGGATCTTGCAAAAGCAAACGCCTCGGCTTTCGGAGAGGTCTTGTGAGGTCTCGACGCTGCGCTGTCGGGGGCTCACTGGCCGAAGACCTCCCGATGTGACGGGCCGTAACGGAGCTTTGAAGTGTTGATTGGGATCTTCCCCCTGTATGCTGGCTCTGCTGGCAGTCCTTCATAGGAAATATAGCACCTCCTACTATAATCCCTACTAAGGATTGCTAGTATAAGGGGGAACATCCCAAAGTGTGAAATTGTGGCTGCGAGTAAGGGTCGGCGGGTGGGTCTTCGGCCCTGGGGACTTTGCACAAGGAGCCATAGGAAGTCAGATTCCGGCAACTGCAAAGAAAGGTTGCGATGTTGGAGTTCTTCGTGCCATGAGAGGCGGGGGCGTAGCATGGGCTTCCAAAAGGATGCGCAGTGCAGATGCTCCGACCACAAGACAAGCCTACGCGCGCACGCATGCACGTGCGCGCACACACTCAAACACTCACTGACTCACTCACTCACTCTCACTCACTCACTCACACACACTCACACTCACACTCACACTCACACTCACACTCACACTCACACTCACACTCACACTCACACTCACACACTCACACTCACACTCACACACACAAACCGCAGCGAAACTGGCGCGCACGCCACGTGCAAACCCAAATACCTGGGGTTCTGATAGGGCTGCGCACACGGCAGTCGAATTAGTTTCTTTGGCCTGCTACTTCGGCAGGTGCTCTTATACCCACCTCTGCCCCTTCCTGCTTTCATGTTTGCAAATGCTCTTTGGACTTGCTCGGCACAAGAGTCCAGTACGACCCCTTAGGACCCCCAAAGTCCTAACCCCTAACCCCTAAACCCTAAGCCCTCCGAAACCCTACTAAACCCTACTAAACCCTAAACCCTCCTAAACCCCAAACACCCCTAAACCCTCCTAAACCCTAAACCCTAAACCCTAAACCCTAAACCCTAAACCCTAAACCCTAAACCCTAAACTGCATAAAGCTTCGCATATCAGGCCTGGGTCCGGCCAGCGCCAGGTGCCGTCAAAGCTGGGGCTCTGCGTCATCGGGCCCCCGGCCCCTCAGTGGGTTTAGGGTTTAGGGTTTAGGGTTTAGGGTTTAGGGTGTAGGGTTCAGGGTTCAGGGTTCAGGGTTTAGGGTTTAGGGTTCGGGTTTAGGGTTGAGGGTTTAGGGTTTAGGGTTTAGGGTTGAGGGTTTAGGGTTTAGGGTCTAAGTCGAAGGGGCTCAGAGCTGGGATGGGACAGTGTGCTGGAAAAAGCATGAGGGCTCACAGTCTCAAGCCATGTCAGACCATACTAGCTGCATAGTCGCCACAACTGACTTGATTCGCTGACACGTCCGACTTCCCGGGCGCAATGTTTGGCCTTTCTGCCGATAGTTGCAACCTGAAATTATCTATGCCTGCCACCGCAAACACACACTGCCGGCGTTACTGCCACTGCTATAACAGCTGAATACCTTTAAACCCTTTTAACTTGTACCAGCCACTCCTAAGCAAGTACAAACGACTGCTAACTTTTTGCAGACTGTTGCACACTACAACGACATCGCACACTGGAGCATGGGATGACGGCTTCAGCCGCACAAAGTTTGGATAACAGAGCCCTCTATCGTCGGCATTCCTTGGACCGCAGGATGACCGTAGACATCTCGAGTCATCTCAAAGGATCTCAAAGGCTTATGCAGAATCATCTCGAAAGGCCTGTTTCAATCCAAACGTCCAGAACACAAGTCTAGCAGCTCATCCGAAAGACATGTGTCAATCGAGTCATCTCAAAACTACATGTCATAAGGGTCATGCCAAAACCGGTTCATCATGCCCGTACATCAATAAGTCAAGCAACTCGTGACTTGCCGATGCCGATTGCACGTCTTCTACTTCTTCTTTCACTACTAAAACAACTACAACTGCCACAACTCCATACTACAAACTATCAACTACCAATTACCCACTACATACCACTGCTGCATACTACCTACTAGGACGACCTGCTACCTACCACGGGACTACGACGACTGCTACCACCAGCATCACGTCCACTACCTCTTCTACGGCGGCCTGGAACAGTCAAAGTGGGTGCAGCAGTGCATGGCGTTTGAGGCAGCGACACTGCGGCAGGCACTCTTCCAAGCCTAACACGAGCTCAGCAAGGCAGTTTAGGCACCCTGTCAGTGTCCTACGGAAGGCAAGCTCAGGGGAACCTCCGCCAGCGAGCTGCCAAACAGGCAGTCCAGAAGTACACGGAAACAGAAACCGCACTTCAACGCGGCACTGCAGTGCTCAGAGACTCCGAGTCCCAGGCCGCAGAAAGGAGAATGGCTTCGAGAGCGGGAGCCTTGCCATCGGCTCATGCAGTTGGATCCCTTGTGCTTTTTGCCTGTACCCTAAACCCTAAACCCTAAACCCTAAGCCCAAACCCTAAACCCTAAACCCTCAGCTGCCAACCTCGAGGGACTCGTGCAACGTGGTCTGCCTGCGACATGATGGACTTACCCTGCATGCACTGCATTCACTGCATGGTTCCCCCTTATACAAACAGTTACTAACAGTCCTTAATTAGGGATTAGAATAGGGGCTACTATAATCCCTATAAAGGACTGCTAGTAGAAGGGGGAACATCCCAACTCACACATGTGAGATGGAGTTGGTCGGCATTAAGAGAGGTCAGGCCGGTCAGGCATGCTTGGAAGACATGATGCATTCGAGGTTCACATACCTGACAGCACAGAGGAAAACAAATCATGCTTCAAATGCTCCGAACGATCCCAAGCAGACCCGTCCGCTGGCCTCCTTTGAGACCGTTGCCCAGGCAGTTCGAACCTGGCATGAGCACAAAAATTCTACAGTCGTCAAGTGCTTGCATACTCACAAAATGGACAGACGCGGCATGTCGACTCCTCAATCTGGCCCAAGCTAGTCATCACTTGGAAGGTATCGGAAGTCTGTCGGCTGGGCTGCATTGTCCACCAGTCTGTGCCTCAGCTGCTTCAACCCCACGCAAAGGACACTGACACCCGGGATCCTGCATTTCCTTGATGTTGGAAGAACTGTCTCAAACCGAAAGGAAGAGCTGGTCTGAGCTGGTCTGTGCTGGTGTCTGGGCCCTCCGGCGCTTCCGGCCTCCGGAGCTCGTAGATCACCGGGCTGGTGGCTCGGGGGAGGTCGATGGTATCGACCACAATCCGCCCTGGCGCTGGCAGTCGGGCTCTACAAAGCTCTCCCACATTCTGATCATTCTGTCGGTCTGCAACGAATCAGGCGTCTCAGATGGGCTGCTTGGCTTCCCCTGTCAGTGGCCCGATGGATGCTGAGGGGCTCAAAAAGCAACCCTACTGTGACAACTGCCCCCCACCTTCCGGGACAGAACCAACGAGATCCCTGTGGTAGGAGCTGATCCACAGCGGAGCCGTACCTGTTTCTACAGCCCCCCTCTCGCAGTCCGACACTGTGGGCAGACCCCTGAAGCTGTGCTACGTTGCCTATGAGGCTGCTTCCGGCCGCTACACCCAAAGTGGATCAAGGCCAACGTGCAACTAGTACGCAGAACATGCCCCTTGAAACTCTTGCCATATGGCTTCGCGGAGACATCGGTTCCCGCATGCTCACGAGGCTTGAAAACGACCTCCTCTGCAAGGAGGACATTGTCCTGCAGCATACAATGGCATCCAAGCTTCAAAAACGCCATGCAACCTTAGGCGCACGCGAGGAAACAAACTTCCGTAAACTTGCTCCTTCTGGCTCCAGGCACCATTGCGGGGGGCGATGCCCAGCTTCAGCTCGCTCTTCCGCGTGAGCCGGATCTCAGGAGGCTTGGTCGCTGGGGTCTGCAAATGTCTGAAGCTCACGCCGCGCTCTCAGTGACTCCGGAGGGTGACCGGACCATGAGGTTACCACCAAAGCTCAGTTTTTTACGTACCGACCTCGACCGTTACTGTGAAAAGAATGCCGACCTCCTTGCAACGCGGAGATGCAGGGGACAGAACCATGTCCTTGGAGCTGGACAACGTTCGCGACCGCACGTCTCAATGATAATGCGTCTGGCTTCATGCTTAGCTGCTGAACACATCGGCTTAGGGCCAGCGTCCTGCTCCACCTCCACCGTCACTGGAGCGTGGAGCATCGCCCGCACCTGCGTTTCGAATCGAGGTTTGGATGCCCTGTTTTCGGCGACTAGACTCGGACCGCAGACCTCACAAACCTGAATGCTGAAAGCTCAAGGCTCCAATAACTGGACGCAAGACCGAAAACCTTCGAAACGCAAACACGAGCACGATGGGCCTGCCATGCAGGAAACGATCTGAAAGTGGTGCTGGCGTTGACGCTTCGGATCACAGCACCTGCTGGGGAAAGCTTTGCCCAGGGCAACATGTAGCAAAAGACGGTGTCCTTAATGCGATGATGAGCTGGGGTAAGCCAACCAGAACGACCTCCTAGCCGGAACCAGATGCCAAGACAGAGAAGCCGGTAGACAGAGACTGCCCAAGCATCGAGCACGCAGAATGGGGATGCGCACTGAGCCCCACTGCACAATTGCTCAAGGATGTAGTCTTGAAATTTCATGGCAAGTGCTCGCGAAAAAAGCCATCGCTACACGGACCCTCAAGGGCCTCAAGGGTTTGCGACAGTTCAGAACCATCCCTCGCAAAGCTCCTTGAAGAAATATCCTACCCTAGAGCCCAGAGACACACTTTGCCTGTTGGATTCACTGGCTTCGGGGGGCCTGGCTTGACGCCGTTCTGCTCTGCCCGTCCCCCGGGCGTCACCGCCTGGATGATCACGGGGCTGCCCTGCGGAGGCGAATCGGACTGGGGAAATGTAAGGGGCACTGAAGTGAAAGAAGAAGAAGAAGAAGAAGAAGAACATCAACCCCCGTTGCTCTCGCCGGCTCAGGAAATCCAATGACAGTTGATTTGGGCCAAATCCGGCCCCTTGGCGTCGAGGTTGACCTCTTGGGTGTTAGGATTTCGTCTGTCGCACATTTTGAGATCTCACAAAGAGGGTAGTCCGAGCAGCATGAAACACACACAAAGCTTGCTGATGCACATGTGTCTCCACGAAACCGCAAGTGCAGACATGTGCAGACCAAATCACATCATGAAATCCAGATGCTGTAGTTTGCATTCAATGAAAATGCTGTACAAGACACCGAACCGATAGGCTGAGACCGAATCTTTCGCGAAACCCACCCAGTGGCGAGCAACCCGGATCCTACACAAACGAGGTACCACCAACGTGATCCAACGTGGCCATGGGGACAAACATGCGAAACCGCTGTACGAGTGTGCGGTGGAATGCGTGCGCGGTGGTATGCAGAGTTCAGCCATGAAGCTGCGCCTGTTGAGAACGGGTTTCTCCACAACCCCGAGCCATTCGTGCCCCGTCTCTTTGGCGGTGTCCCTGTTTTCTTACTGCCATGGCGGCTTCTGCGTGGCGTTGTCCCCGCCTCCTACGGGTGCCAAGGAAGGTGCATGCTACTGTCGAAACATGTTGTTCGAGCATTCACCCTCCCTTGTGTGGGGTCCGTGCCAGGTCTAGATTGCTGCACATGAAGCCTTTCAGCTGGGATCGCAATAGTTTTGGGACAGGCCTGTCCACCATTCAGGTTCGCGAGGTCTATCTGTGGAGCATCTCCCTGAGCAGCACGCATGACAGATGGAAAGCTGAGGCACTTGGATCACTTTGACGCCTGCCTGCACATACCGCAGGAAAATCCGCCGCTTGTTCAGACTCGTAGCGCCCGCGGGCTGCGGCGCCTTGCAGCTGCAGCTTGGAAATCTGAAGAGATCTGAGGCAACTCTCGTGAGGCAACTCTCGTAACATCCTCGAACTAGTACTAGTATTAGTATTAGTATTAGTATTAGTATTAGTATTAGTATTAGTGTTAGTATTAGTATTAGTGTTAGTAATAATATATTAGTATCTAGTATTTAGTATTTATAATTTGGAAATTAGCATGAGTATTATTATTGATGTTATTATTGCTAGCATTATTACTGTTAGCATTGCTAGTGTAATAATTCTTCCTATTCTTCTTCTTATTACAGAGACCAAAACAACTCTCGGCCTTCCTTCGACAAGGGATTGAGGCCCCTGCTGGGAGCGGAGCGAGAGTCGTCCCGTTGGACACACCTTGGAGTTCACCCTGTGGCGTATGCAGACTTGTCCAGTCGCTGCTGTTGCATCTAATAAGAAATAGAATACACCTCTCTGTCGGTGGGCTTCTGATCTCCACATTTCTCCAGGCTTCTGATCTCCAGGCTCCTGGCCAGTTGACCAAAGTGGGACTTCAGGGACATGCGATCGGCCAGACCTCTTGGAGTGCACCGAAACACTTGGTGAAACTCCCTCTTTTGCTGCATTTTGGGGCATCCGTTTATCGTCGGAAAGCGTCATGATTGCCCTGCAACTCACTGAATTTCTTGTACCTTCTCACCTCAAAAAACATCCAGCTTCGATCCTAACACGGCTTCATGAACAGGAAGCCCTCTTATTATAGGCCAAGCCAGCTACTTCCGAGTGCGCGGCACCGAGCTGCTTGACGCCGAGGGTGCCGCTTGAGCAGCTTGCGCCCAGGTCGGAACCTACGCCCCCATTGGAGCATACTGAAAGCACGCTGATGCTTTCTGGTGCTTTCTGGGATTTTTTGGGTCCAGCACTTCGGTTTCCATGGCTCGCTCGGTTCGGGCGTACGGAATGTGCGTTCGGACTGGTTCGGTTCGGTCCAAGAAGGATGGGATGGAAAGCTCGGGGGGGGGGGTTCAACCGTTTCAGCTCGCGACCTTAAGACACACGAAGCCTCGGGTCTGAGAAATCGGCTACTGTTAGGGTTTAGGGTTTGGGGTTTAGGGTTTGGGGTTTGGGGTTTAGGGTTTAGGGATTAGGGTTTAGGGTTTAGGCTTTAGGCTTTAGGCTTTAGGGTTTAGGGTTTAGGGTTTATGGTTTACTCATGCTTGGGCTGGCACGGGGGGATCTGCCAGCTGCGACACCATGGCTGCGTGAGTTACCTCGGACGGCCCCACGCACACAAACCCAATCTAAAGATGAGGGCACTGAGGTGTACTGAGGTCACGGCCTGCTGACCACTAGCGGCATCGGCTTGGCGCCTGCACAAGCCACATTGTGCGAGAAAGAAGCAGGGTCCAGACTGCAAGGCACAGCAACATCTCCTAAGATCAAGATTCTTCAAGAACCTGACGAAGCAGGATGGAAGCAAGTTCAGGCTTGCTTTCACTTCTGCCAGCTTGGTGTCAGGAGTCAAGACTGCCCTTATCCCATGATGTCTGACATCTGACCTAGTCTTCCGTTGCTACTTTGAGTGCAAGGTCGGAGTGATGCTGTGTGCCTGTCGCAAGGCCCTGCGAGGGGGCTTTTCTCATCAAGGCGACAATCCTGTCCGGCTGATCGGCGGCTCAAGGACAAGTCACATCAGGCTGCATTCTGGACTGGAACCGCCGCACTTCGAAACATTGCAGGCTTTATCTCTTCGAGATCTTGGAATAACCTTTGCGCAGAACAGTAGAGCCCCGAATCCTGCGGGGGCGTAAACACAAAGCTGTTGACCCCGTACCTTGGCCGACAGCACGATCCCCATCATGAAGTGTCGTGAAGTGAGAGGCTACGAAATAGATCGAGGGGATTGAGGTTCACTAGCATGCGGTGTCATTTGTTGGGCTTGGGTTACGGGGTAGGACTGAGGCTCTGTGTTCCAGAACGCATGATGGGGACGAAAAGGAACTCGTGACTCGTTTCGGCTACCTTTGCGGTATGTGAACTTTCAGGGTAAACGTTTGCAACTCAAAGTCACTCCTGTCATGAGTTCAGTCAACGACTGTGCTCAGCAGCATGCTTGTCCCGATTACTGTTGTACTCTTGCGTAAAGCAGGTGCAGCCATGCTCACGAATCGTGCGCGCCCCGAAAGAATCACTACACTGTGGACATGTGCGTGGCGCACCAGATCATGCCCAGGAGTCATGCTAGGGTTTAGGGTTTAGGGTTTAGGGTTTAGGGTTTAGGGTTTAGGGTTTTGGGTTTTGGGTTTTGGGTTTTGGGTTTAGGGTTTAGGGTTTAGGGTTTAGGGTTTAGGGTGTAGACTTGGGTGCCCGGCTCATTCTCGCTGTGCTTCAGCGGCAGCGCCTGCCACGCGGGTTGGCTTCAGAGCTTGGGGTGCGGCTGAGAAGCCTTGTCAACGTGCGGCGCTGTGGATTAGCAATGTGGAAGTTCATTGTGTCCACTTTCTACTAACCCCGGGTCACAGGCCTCAGACCCGAACATGTCAAAAGCAGCCACCAAGCCCGACTTGTGTTGTATCATTTGCTTAAGCCGCACATATAGTTTGAAACTAACGCATGAACCAAGTAGATGTTAGGGCGTAGTCACCGCCGCTTCAGAGAAAGAATAGTCATCATAGCAGTTGACACAGAACCAGAAATAGCAACAACCTTGATAAGAAAAAACAACGAACATGCAATATTATTTCAATTACAACAACAAAAACACAAGTCATAACAACGACGATTTCAATAACCATAACAATAACAATTGCAAACAAGAACAATCACGATGACAATGAAGACAACACTACCAGCAACAGTAACAATATTCCAAACAATTTAACAACCAAACAACAGTAACAATGACAACAATACTACCAACACAACAGTGACAGTAACGGAATGCCGCCGCCCTAGCCTGGCGTACAAATCCTGTGGGCTTCTGGGTGCCGAATTCAACCTTGGCAAGTTCTCAAGCAAGCCGAGGTCGGTGAGGAACAGCTGGGCATGCGACGCCCAGGTCAGTATCTGTAGAGTTGACGGCCTGTCCAGCCGGATGTCGAGGGTTTGGACTGCATCTCAACATTCGTTGAGAAAGAACTGGGGGCTTATGACTACGAATCAGGTCGTGGCTACTGGGCGGGTAATACGAATGCTGGCTTGTTTTGCGGGAGGTGCTTCAGGAAATTTGCTGGCTTCAGAAAAGTTTCTCCCACCGGCCCCGATTTATGGAAATGGTGAACCCTTGCCGCACCCCACAACGTTTCAAGCAAAACCTTCAGATCAACGCTTGCTGCCCTTCGACTGCCTGGCGCGGAGACAGCGTCAAGGACATGGCTCATGCAATCTCAACATGGGAAGCTTTTATCCTTCAGCCTGAACTTGCTATAAGCTCCACGAACCTACCACCACACACCTGAACCAGCCTGATAATTCTAGGATGGATGCCAATAACTTCCCAAACACCTGCTACTTGGCCCAACAGTGCATCGCGCTTGTTTACTGCAGCGCGAGCCACTAGTGACGTTTGAAGCCTACTTTGAAATTTGTGTGTCAGTGTCCTTTTGCCGGTTCAACATCTGCAATCTACTGCACTAGCAAGCTAAGCATTTATGTGCAACCATTTCGAGCTTTACGTGCAATTGATGAACCAGTGCCAGCAGCAACCAGTGACTTTTGAATCGCCAAAATATCAAACATGGCCAACCGCCAGCAGCAATACTTTGTGGTTGTAGCCACTCCCGCAACACCGTGGCATACCACGAAGATCCATGGACCACGAAGGAGTAGTAGGATGCTCTACGCCTTCCTGCACTTTCAAGGTCACTTTGGAAAGGCAATGAGTGAAAGCGGTGTCTGTGCCCTTCTAGTTGCCCTCCCGTTTCTGGCCCCACAAGACCACGTCGTGAAAGAAGTGGAGCTGGAGGACACATGCAACACTCACGACCTGTGGCTTTCACACTTCAATTACTTTGTTTTGTGTTTGATTTTGAAGTTAATTGGATGCACAGGCTGTGCAACATTACGTGCCAGCTGGACTAGACAGCACCAAAACTCTCAAAACTGGATGCATTTTTCTCTCAATCAATCTTGAAAGCAGCAGCTTAAGTACAGCCCTCCGCGGATAATCCGCTTCAAGCAGTGTTTGGATGGAGATACGAGGATCCACAGTGTCCAAGATTCCGTAACCTTGACGGAAACTCGGCAAGACTCATTTATCTGAGCCCCAAACCCGAAACAGAGGTCATGTGCAACTGGAGTCTTTGGCAAGTCGTTGCGTGCCATCTGCCTGAAATCTGTGTTGAGGCGCAGACCAACCAAAACGCTTAACTCAAAACCCCAAGCACACAAGCAAAACTTTGCCTGGGCTTCTCGTGTTGACATAGAGGTTCTGCAACATTGCGCCCGGCAACGCAAACCGCGAGCGGCATGCCTGTCTTTTGTACCACAAGCTCCCCCTCCAGTTCAAACTTAGGAGGTTTGCCGTTGACAGCATCACGCTGTTGGAGCCTTTGGCCAACTCCAATACGAGCTACGGTCAGACCCCAACCCTAAAGCAAAGCATTCTGGAAAGTTTGCTGGGCGTTCAATGTTTCAAACTCGACCTGCCCTAAAACCCCAAAAGCCCTGAACCCTAAACCCTAAACCCTAAACCCTAAACCCTAAACCCTAAACCCTAAACCCTACCGGCGGTCCGTGGCACTAGTAGAGAATCATCCTGACCGTATCTCGTACCAAGCAGGATCTGCTTTCTTTGGCAGACCGCTTTCAAATCATGCCCCACAGTTGCAGAGCATTGTGTAGGGTTTAGGGTTTAGGGTTTAGGGTTTAGGGTTTTGGGTTTTGGGTTTAGGGTTTAGGGTTTAGGGTTTAGGGTTTTAGGGTTTAGGGTTTTAGGGTTTTAGGGTTTAGGGTTTAGGGTTTAGGGTTTAGGGTTTAGGGTTTAGGGTTTAGGGTTTAGGGTTTAGGGTTTAGGGTTTAAGGTTTAGGGTTTAGGGTTTAGGGTTTAGGGTTTAGGGTTTAGGGTTTACAAAGTAGGGTATTTTACCCGATTTTGGGGTGTACCTCTGTGAGCTGTGAACTTCAGTGTTGACATTGTAAGCCCTGTAAAACCCTTAACCCCGAACTCCAAACTTCAGGGGAAAAGCTGATATAGAGATACAGTTCACAATGACTTATATACTCAGTCCTTCTGCTTCGATAAGCCTTGTTTTCCTGGTTGTCATTCCTCACCGCCCTTGTTTGTCCTAAACCCTAAACCCGAAACCCGAAACCCTTAGGTCCCAAACTCGCCGAACTTCAATGTCGACATTCACTCGCAAAAGGCCGACGTGGATCTCAGCCTGGCTGCGGGTTCAGGGTGGGTTTATAGAGATGGTCTATTGAAGGAGTACTGCACCCCCTCGAAATTGAAACGAATCACATGCAACTTCGATGTGTCCTGGCCTTGAGGGGTTAGGTTTAGTGTTAGGGCTTAGGGTTCTCTTGGGTTGGCCTTCGGGATTGTCAACCCTGAGCCCCTAAACCCTCAACGACCCCTGCACGGGGTGAAAGGTTCCCGACTCACCTAAGTTTGCTTGGTCAAGACCTGCATCGTTGAGGGTGTAGGGTTTGGGGTCTCAGGGTCTCAGGGTGCGTCGGGCTTGGGTTTCTGGGCCCAGGAATAGCCTAGGAACAAAGTGGGTACCTGTTTGTTGTTTGAAGGGGAAGGCCGAACCAGGAAGGGAACAAAGGCCCATTCAGGGTCCTCGTTGCTGGTGCCCTCATCCCCAAACCTAAGCCCTAAGGCCCTAAATCCTAAACCCCCAATGCCCTGAACCCGAAAAGTTGGGTCCAGGCTAAGGGTTAACCCTGACCCCCTCGATCCTCAAACCTCGCCGTTGGACCAAGCTGATCGTTTCAAATCCTCGAAAGACAACCCCATAACCAAGAACACGCCAACCCTCAAGGACCCTATGGACAAAATAACCCGAATCCCTAAACCCCAACGTGAAACCGCAAACCTAAATCACGTCAAGGGCGCCCTTTTGGCTTGGCTGCAAAGTGGGGCGGCGCACAAACGGTGTCACGTTCCTGCGCAGAGGGCCTAGACCCTAAACCCTAAACCCTAAAACCAAACCTCGACCCGGACCATGGAGCTTCAGGGCACCGAATTTTCCATGAGCTCCGTTTGTTTTTTCTTTTTTTTTTTTTTTTTTGGGGGGGGGGGTTAGGGTTTACGGGAATTTGGGTTTAGGGCTTGCGGTTTAGGATTCTCACCTGGGCGGAACTTCAGCTGGGGAGAGTTCGGCTGGGGGTAGAATAGCATCGCAGAACAGATCTAACAGCGCAGCAGCTTGAAAACACCCGCCACTCCGGGTAGGCATGAGAAGAATTCCACACCCATGTTGGGCTTGTCCAAAGCACTTCCTAAACCCAAAACAAAACCCTAAACACTAAACCCCGAAGGAATACTTAGATCCTTAGAAGCCCTAGAAGGCCCTTTGTGCAAACCTTATGTTGTGCATGTTTCCCCCATTTGCGTGAAGTTTCTTATAACTAGAGGCGCCGCCATCGTCTGGATAAATACTTTGGGATATCCCAGAACTTTAAAGCACTCAATAAAGGCATCATAAACAGTCACTCCGTCTCTGCTCTCCATAAGCACGATGCGCATCTTCTTGCTAAAATTGTCAATACATAACGAAACGTCTCTTTTATGCTCCTCTTAAAGGTATCTGTGTCTTTCATCAAGCTCATCATATCCATTATATCAAATGAAAAACAACCCGAGCATAAGGTGGGGAATGACTGTTGTAGTTCTTGAAATTTCTTCTCTGGTTCATGCTCTGTTTCTTCACCCAATCCTTAACATGCTGCAACGTGACACCTGCCCCATCCTTGTTTTCTTCCTCATACAAACTTCTGACAGATCCATACCCACTCTCAAGATCAATTTATAGCAGAATCTAGCGACAATGTGATCAATTCTCCAGTTCGGACTTCCAGAATCGGCGGCTTACATAATAATTGACTGAAAGCAAGTGCACCTCCCCAGTGTCTCGGGAAATATCTTCTCAAGTAGTAACGAGAATAAAAACATGTAAAATTTGAACAAGTATATTGACTGATCCAATGTTTGTCTTTTCTTTGATGTTGTTAACACTTCAACAACGGCAGGGGAATATTTACGACCTTGAGGTGGGAGTCACGCCTTCTTTACTAGATAGATGCAACGCGGCATGATAACAAATACACGACATGGACAATTCCAATCAAGTCTGCGAAGAAAGCCATCAAAAGCAAAGAAGTGAGAAATATACATGACATTCAAGAAGGTTGTTTAACCCGCTGCGACTGTAGAACTAACTGTTAGTTCGCTTATACTATAGAAGCACACGACGCAGCAGCAACGGCAGGAGCATATCAAAGAGGCGTCGTTCTACCTAAACTGACAAGAATCATACTACAGGAATTGAACAAGGAAAGTTGGTAAGAACGGGACACAAGCCAGTATGCGGATTCGTTCAATCTGGGTATTACACCCCGATTCGTTATTGTCCGTTTGAGTTTGTTTTTGAAATCGTTTCCGACGCGGGTCAGCCGCTTGTACGACCATCAGCACTGGTAGCAGGAACTCAAGCGAAAGATGACGAAAACGGACTATTCTTCACCACACGCAATACTACAACAAGTTGGGCTAGTCAAAATGCTCTTTTTAAGATGCGAACTGATACAGGCAGACAACGCAGTTAACAACAATATAGCTTCACATCTATTGAAAGGGGGTCGGCTTCGTATGGTTTATCCAGCATGTCATTCATTCTGACAAACCTTCACGGCAGGAAACACAGAGATTAGTATGAACATCGTCAAATCTGCAACTCGTTTATCTCAGACTTTTTTCACTTTCAGCAACAGTAAAATCAACGATGACACAAAGGCAGGTGATTATGACCAAAAGATGGAACTACTTTTTCCTTGAAGGCGAGATCGATTCGGTTAAGCAAACTTCTTACCAAGTTGCGGAGTCTTTGGCAGAAGTGACGTGATGTATTTCCTCTGTCGCGCGGTTAATGTTATGTCTCCATACTATGATGGATTCTCAATTGACATATATCGCTATGCCAATGATAAATGTATTCTGGGTATAACTCGGGACAAACAGCCAGGGACAAACACTTACATGGGAAGTTTCATGACATTTAAAGTTCGTGCTTCGAATGAGAATCTTGCCCTCGGTATTGAAAGAGTTTGCGTAACTGCCGTGTCAGAACAGACACTCGAGCTGGTTTCGGGTTTAAGGTCTACGGTTTGGTCGATGCCCTGCGCAAAAGCGTCCTGACTTTTGGCTTACGGAGATAGCTTTATCCCAAATGATTCTCTGCGCACGTTTTGCGATATTGCTGTGATTGTTTTTGCGGTCGTAGTTTATGCTTAGAATCTTGTGCTCTGTATCGTGCCTGGCTGGCACTGCCCGATATTAACGGCTATTGAATAAGGCGCCTTTGAATGCTTCTGGATTCTGTTGCGGTGCGTAGTTTGCTCCGTCGTGATCCGCAGTTTGTGTTCCGACTTTGTGCTGTTGCTGGCGTGTTTTTGCGGTCGCGTGATCTTGCGCTTGCGCTCGCGCGCGGAGAGTTGTTCTGCCGGTAGCAACACAACTAGCCCAAACGGGAAAATTGTCTTGCGCTCGTTTTGGCTAGGGCACTTTGAAACAACACTAAAGCCCCTCACCCCACCCCCCCTTAATTAACGACCTCCCTGAATAATCTCCCACACCACAAAGTGCTTTAAACCCGTTCTGCAACTTCCTAGCAGCCCCAAGACCCACTAAACTGCTTCGAAAAGGTGGTTCCTAAACCCCCCAAACTTCGAACTTCATCGCCCTTTCCACTTCTGACAACAACACATTCCTCTCAGGTTTCTTTTGGAGCTCCTTACTAAGACTACCAAGAACCTCTGAGACGTAGCCCCAAAACTCCTGAAAACCTAAGACCCTAGAGCCGAAACCCTAAACCCTCAACCCAAGGGCCTCACCAATTTCTATGGAGCCATGGGTGCTCCCCAATCGCGACCAAGAAGTACTGGAGTCCATCTTGAGCCTAAGATGCTTGGGGGGGCTTAGGGCTGAGGATGGTTTAGGGTTTAGGGCTTATAGGCCTGATAAAGGGTTTGAGAATTTTGGGGGTTGAGGGATCTGCATTTGGAGAGCTGTGTCATTTAGGGCTCTCGTCTTCACGCTACAGGTTTTCGGGCTTGGGGCTGAGGCTTCTGGGACTTAAGGAGTCAGATGTCTTTGGTGGTTTGAGGTCTTTGTCAAGCTGTGTGCCTGCTCAGTGACAGCAGCATTGAGAATCAACGTCTCTCTGGAACTTGGGAGCAGTGACGGCGAAGCGGAGCTCCCAGGTAGGGCCTCGGCTTTCACAGCTTGGCACTTGAACTTATCCCAAACTTTTTCTTTCCAAGGCCCGGACGTCTGCTCCTCGTCGAATCAGAGGACCAGTTTGGCCCTGGGTATATAGGGGGAAACTGCTCACCTGAAATGGGCCCAAAATGCAAACCCCAGCCGCCCTCACGCTCATTGCTGCGCCCGTTCAAGCGGAGGTCGGGGCCGGGGTGGGACGCTAACCTAAGACCTGAACCCTCAAAGCTCTAATTACATTCCATGCTGCGACTCCGCCTCCGGCGATTTTCTCCTTGAGCAAGCGCTGGGCAGTGTCAAGCTCCACCTTCGGCTGGCGCTTTGCTTAGAAAGCCTGAGGTTCAGGTTCAGGTCGCGCTAGGCGTTTATAGGGCTTTGTTGGCTAGATGCCGAAAAACAGCCGCTTTTTCAGACACTTTAAGTCCAGTCTGTTTTGATGGCCTCTGAGCTTCCACCTGGTAGGAGCGACGAGAGTAGGCGAAAGTGCTCGTCCAAAGGTGGGGGCTAGAGCTAGGAAACCCCCAAGGGTCATAGTTAAGGTCTAGGGGTTGTTTGTTGCAAGCAAGGCCATCGTGAAGTTGCCACAGAAGTCATGCATTGCTTGTTCAGCGCATTCGCGCGAGCCCAAGTGACGTGATTGCCCAAGCGCCGATTCCTTGAGCTACGAAGTTCAGAGAAGCGAAGTTTTGTGTCTTGCTTCGTCTGCAGTTTGGGGGGAGCGGGGGGCCTCTACCTTATCCATGCACAACCACCTTAATGGAGTGGTGGGGGGTGGGGGGGTGGATGGTGGGTGGTTCGGGGCGGGGGGCGCCACCACCTACTCCCGCAAGCTCCACAGAGCCAGCAGTAGCTTTCGTGATAATGAACACGGCCGTCTCTTTTGGAACTCTCGGTTTGATCCGTCCTGGACCCATGTTCAGCAGGGCGCTCCAGACTCCAGAACCCAAAGGGCCCCCCAAAACCCCTCCAGGCCCAAGGTAGCACGGAGCGGGCCTCAAGGTTCTTTTTGCTGGTGACGATGGCCTCGGATGCTCAGCTTTATATTTCAAACCATACATGAACCTGAAACCCTGAAGCACCAAAGGTTGTCGTCCTAATCAAAGCTCCAACGCAGCAAAGTACGAGTAGCTGCGAGGAGGCCTATGTGAATTGTATCGCGGTGGATGGGCGCAGCGTCAAGGGTGTTCGGGCCATGGCCTTTTTATGCTTGCCATGCGCTGCTAACTGTGCTTGGGAACAACGGGAAAAGGTCTGGGGCGTGCGTTGGCGCAGTCGTCGGGCAATGGCTTAGGGGCTTACGGTTCATATGAACAGCCCTAAGGCCCCAAGGCCCTACAAAGGACATGGCTTCACTGAGAACCCACGCATAGCTGTAGCCAGCTTCCTTTGTGTCCTGCCACATAGTCTAGGATGGTGGGGCTTCTCAAGACTGTGATGGTTGAGAATTCGGAGCTGACTTTCTTGGGAAGTTTGCGGGCTTGTGGACAGGCATTTCCATTTTCCGCCTGGCTAGTATGATGTCGGAGCTTTCGGGATTAAGGAGGCGAACGAGGCTTCGCTGACATATACGGGCCATACGGGCCCGTCTCGAATCCGAACGCGTTGTCTCGAACTCATACATAAATCGCGTAAACCATGATCACCAGTCCCAAGGCTTGCGGCAGGAGGGAGGGTCGAGGGGCGGCAGGGGATGGGAGGTGACTGCACGGTGTTGACACGCTGCGACACTGGCTCTGGATTTTGATTGCTGGGAAGGGCAGAAGCATCACCGAGGACGGAGCTTTTGAGGGTTCTGGGGACTGAGGCTTTGGGGCTTTGCAGTGGGGGATTGGGGGCTGCTTAACAAGGTTCGCTTCCGTTCTTTCCTGGGCGTTGCTATAAGAAGCCAAACACAACTTATCGCTGACAGCGACACAGTCGTCTACCGATAGGGTCTAAAACTGGAAGTTAAATGCCCATTGCAGTCCCGCCTTCAACTTCCAGCTGAAAAACGAACCCCTCGGGCATGGACCTTTGTTGAGTTGAAACTTCTGAGTAAGTACAGAATCCGTGTTCCACCCAGAAACTGCACAACCTCCGACAACCTCCGACCATGGTCCTGATTCACCTTGATGTAGGTGTTGGAGGCTTCCTGGATCTTTTTGATCGTCGCGCCCATCTTGCCCAGAATCCTTGCGAGGTGAAGGACTAGAAAGTACAAGTGGGTCTCACAGGCTACAGCGCTTTGTCCCCCCCCAACGGTCCACAATTTCCAACCCCCCCCCCCTCTCTGTTTTGGCAAACATTGGCGCTTGCTTTCCTGATGTTGGACGATGCTTAACTTTGGTCACTTCTTTTATCACTTGCATTCTGAAATCTCACGTGGCCCCTCGGAAAACTGAAGCAGATCGCAACTTGTCCGCATCGTCAGTTCTCTACTTAATCTCGTTGCTTACCGTCTTTCGGCAGCTGCAAACGAAAGTGCCCATGATGCTTTTCAGCATTTCGGCAGCTGCAAGTGCTGTGAATTGTTGCGAGTTGCCTTGCGAACATCACCAACCCACCGAAATCTTAAGCCGCCCAAGACCACGAATTACACAGACCTCTCTGAGTCATCACAGGTTTTATCTCAACCCACACCAGCTTAGGGCAACTTTGCGTGTAGAGCCGCTGCCTGCCCACGCAGTGCTGGGGCACCTCCCCAAGGCTTCAAGGGAATAGGCATGGGAGTGCAGAGAGTGTCTGGGCTGAAATCTATAGGATTTGGGGCTTAGGGTTTCTTTTGCACATCGTGAGATCCAGGCTGAAGGGCTGGTGCTTAGCACTCAGATTCAATGCAAATGTCTAAGGAAGCTTTGGAATGCTGGGTTTGGTTACCGTCTTCGACTCTCGAATGCTCATGGACTACTTTCATTCGACGATGTCCCTGTGGTCCGGTTGTACGAGAACCCAAAAACCAAACTACAAGCACTTACGTTGCTCTCAAACCATCAGCTTCTACAGAATGCATCAGAAACGAGCTTCGGAAATCCTGAAACCCAGAAATCCGAAACAATAGGCCACAGGCCACAGGCCTCAAAACCCCGGCGCGTCCCAACCCGGCCTTCACTTTTCGCTGTCCAGCACGCACCAAGGGCTCGAGCGGCGGCTTCTGCACCTCTTCATGCCGCCCCTAAACCCCAAACCCTAAACCCTAAACCCCAAACCCTAAACCCTAAACTCTAAACTGAGACTCGGGCCGAGCCCCAAATGCGACTTCAACATCCAACCACTATCTCAGGCCTGTTTCACCTGAAGAAAAATTGGAGAGGAGCCCCGCCACGAGACTACACACCTTGAATAAACCTGCTCTACACCTTCTTCGAGAACAGCCCTTCAGCCTAAAGTGAATAGAGTGGAGGAGTTTGAAGGTTTAGTGTTTAGGTTCAGGGTTTCGGGTAAGGGTGAAGCGCTGGGAACGTATGTCAAACTCTCCCCAACCCTGCCAGTCTTAGGGCCTTAGATCGCGACATATGGACCAAGGACTACGACTGGAAACGCAAAAGTAGCGCGACGTGCAACAAGAACAGCTACCACCATGCGCAGATTCATTCCTGCGATCGCATTCAGTCAAGTCTTGTGCCTCTATCACAAGAACCATCATTCCCCTGACCACTACCACGCCACCAAAACCATCATCGTCTTCTTCACTTCCCACAGCGGCAGCAAATGCAGCGCATTTCTGTTTCTACCAGCTACCAGCAAAAGTTTGTGAAGTTCTCAGCAGAAACTGAAAAAACTCTCACAGCTCTGTGTGCTGAGCACTTGCCTCAAACCTGAACCCAATCAATCGTGGACCTCGGACACAAAAGCGCAAACCCCTTGGGTTGACATTGGCATGATGAAATCTGACTGTCAGGGAACACCTCGAACATATGCTTACGTATGTATTGTTCTCGCTCCGTGCGGGTTCCTGGCCTGGCCGGGCCGCGAGGGAGGGCTCGGGCCTAGGCAGCCGAGAGCACGTGGCCATGGCGGGGAACTCATGGGAACCCAGGGCTGCGTTGGGAGCCTATTGGGGCGGTTGCCTTGAACGGTTCCTTTTCACGTGTTCTCAGGGTTTAAGGGGTAAGGTTTCCGTTTAGGGGTAGAAGGCCAGGGACCTTTAGGTGTTGCTTTTCAAGGGTTCCTTGGAGGGGTCCTTTTCAGGCTCTTTCTGAGGAGTTTTGGCAGTGGGCTCAAGATAGGGGATCGGAATGATTTGTAATGGCACCCAGTTAGTAGTTAGTATACACCAGAACCTATCATCATTAAGCCCGCTACTGCATATAACAATGGGTCCAGGGCTCACAACGCCGACATGAACGAGTGCCCAACGGAAGAGCGCTTCGAGATCGCTCGCCTGGCAAAGGCCGCACGTGACCCGAGGAGGCTCTGAAAACAAGCAGCGAGGCGAGGCGGCGAGGATCCCAACGACGATGATCCCAACGACGGCAGGCCTCAAACAACTCGCCCTCCTCGTCCTGAATATCGGCCCCTGAGTCCCACGAAGTACCCAGAACGCCAATGGAACGCCCGGCTTCTCATGCAATGCTTCAGTGTATCCTGGGGACCTTGCACCGCCTTCTGTCCTGCGCCCACGCTTTTGTGCAAAGCGGACCTTCGAAGCCAAAGACTTTTACATCACACAAGCTCAACGGTTCAAAGACTCAGGCATGTGCCCCCTTCGGCCCACTCCAACTGCACTGTGCCGATGGCCTGCAAACATGAAGGGGCATTAGTCGCTTCTACTGGAGCTTCGTAGCCCATTGGCCCAGCGCCTATACAAATACCGCAAGTATGTCTTTGGCTGCCTAGAGTGAACAAGCTGCCACTGCAGCGCCACAAGCATGAAAGCCATCCGGAGTTGTAAAGATTGATTCTGCTGCACAAAAACAAGATAGAGAAGCCTTCGCAGAACAGGAAAGTCAGGGAGCACTTGAACGTGGCCGCCGATTGACTGGTCACACAAATAGGTAGAAACGAAGTCGCACGCAGACACCTGCACCGAAGTGACCTCGTTACAGGGCACACAAGCACCAGCACCACTTCCACCACCATAGCTGCAGCACCGCTGCAGCTGCTGCCCGATCACAACCTTTGCCACCAACAACCAACAATGCCAACAGCACTATCAGAAAAACAACAACTTCAACAACATAATCTCACTGCGAACATCGAGGACGGGTTTGGGGCTGGGCACTCCTGGTGCCGGGCGAAGAGTAATAGCTGACTTTGAAATCAAACCCACAGCGACAACGGCGGCGGCCACCATCACCACAACCATCCGCACCATACCCACCACCACCGAAGCATTACACAACACCACGCAAGCTTAAACAACGTCGCACATGGCGTAGTCTAGGTCGATTGCCCTCAAAAGGACAACCGCGCTAGACCACGGCCTCCAACAGTACCAGCTGCAGCACAGAACCTGTTGGCAGCATATTGGAAAGCTGTTAATGAAACAGACACTAAGAACAGGATCCGGCATCTTGAATGTGTCACCTCAAAGCAAAATCGCAACTTTGCAGACTCATGCAGCTGTAGCACCTGTTTTGGCAGGTCTCCCGCATTTGCACACTCACTGCATTGTCGATCCTTCGAGCAACCTTGGCGCTCGTCAAGCACGGATCCCACATCTTGTGGTGACATCCGCCCTCACTTAGTCGGTCGACGGGGTCGTCTTGTAGCGCTTGATCCTCCTCCCTCAAGTAACTTTCCTTTTGTGAAGCTACGCTGTTTGGCTTGCTTGCGCGTTTCTGCGCGGCGCAACTCTTCGATCTTGCTTTGCGCGGACGGATCCTCAAGGAGCTTCATGGCCGCGGAACGATCAGCTAGCTTCTTCGAGGTGGCCGCATCTCCCTCGTAAGCGATGGCCCAGCAGGAGATTGTCAAAAGGCATACGACCATGTCGGACTCGCGGCGATACTCCCGCTTGATGGCTGCACCGCGGCTGGGGCACCCAGATAATCGCCTCGGCGAAAAAATCTCGGTGTATATATATATATATGTAAAGAGTATGATGTAATGTATATATATATATAGCATAACATCTAAAATATCTCAGAATGCATGTTTAAACACTATATACAAATATATATATATATATATATATACATATATATGTATATATATATATATATATATGTATATATATATATGTATGTATATGTATTACGTATTCATATTTATATATGGCACCCCCCCCCCCCATTGACCTATGTGTTTTCTCTTCTTTCTCTCCTTCTCAGGTGGGAGCTTCATCGTGCACTTGGTTGGGTCCACAGCGTTCTGGGTTTCGGGTTTAGGGTTTCGGGTCGAGATTTTGAGGGTTTCGGGTCAAGGAAGAAACTTCAGAAAAAGCTGGGTTTTACCAACATTTTCTGACGCAGTCCGACTCGACATGTCCGAAAATGTTGGTAAAACCCATCTTGCTCAACAACTTCAACTTTTTTCAGCAAACAGGCTGAGAGCTCCAGCTTTCTTGGAAAGATGTTGAACTTGTTGAAAAAGTTGGTTCTATCAACTTCTTCTGAATGATGGAGTCGGAAATGTTGGCAAAACCAACTTGTTCAACAAATTCAACTTTTTGCAGGAAACAGGTTTTTCGCCAAGATAGAATCGAAAATGTTGGTAAGACCAATTTGTTCTGAAAACTATCTTAGGCCTCAGGCCGGCCCTCAGGACCTCAGGCCCTTCCCCCAACCTCAGGACCTCAGGCCCTCCCGCCAAAATTTTAGGATCTCAGGCCCACCGGGTAGTACCTTTCTTTTGTACTCTCTCACAAGGGCGTCTGTTTTTGTTTTTAACAAGGACTATGGTTTTGAACATGCATTTTATCATGTAACAGATTTTCCTAATCACCCTACAGCATGCCATTGAATGCTTGCTGTTACCATCCTTTCGTCCCACGTTCTCTGCCATTAGGCATCCAGTACATACACGCTATACATATATATATATATACATACATACATACATGATATGGGTAGTTCTGATTTTTGAAATTACCGTCGGAGGCACCCCTACGGCCCTGCAACCAAAGCCAATTCGTTCTCGTCACGCTTTCCCTTGGAAATGCCAGTGTTTGTAGGGTTTGCCTCCCACAGGAACGCAAAGAATTAATAGAATGTGATTATGTACTTATGAGTCTTGATGGGTTGTTGCATTGACCCTATGCACTCGAATACTGGATAGTTTTATGGCTCAAGGATTACCACCCGCTTCTACTCCATGATCTGTCTTTGCTATGCAGTACATGTACCCTATAGACGTGCATGATGCAGATAGTTCTTCTACACTTTCTTTGCCTTCCCCTAGGAGACAAGCCCTACAAACATAGGCATTTCTTAGGGCAAACTTGACGAGGATTATTATGAAAGTCAGTTATGTACTTGAAAAGTCTTCCGGATACTTTGAAAATGAGCCTTATCCTTGAGAAGTAATATCCATGTTGGCGGAGACCTTTGGGAAACACTGAGAGAGAACCGAGATACTTGCGAAACTACCAGCAGGTTGCGGAAATAATGAAAGGGTATTTGCTCCGCGTCCCCGGGCCGTGGGCTTACATGTAATGATCTTTTCGCATCACCCTGTGCCCTCAAACGCTTCCTGCTACCATCCATTCTTTTCCATTCTCTGTATTCGATACGTTTGATGTACAGTACATATACCCTTTATACATACATGATGTGGGCAGATATTCCACCTACTCTTTGCATTTCCATGGGAGGAAAGCGCTTATAGGAGATATAAGTTATAAGATGTCAGATATAAGACATCTGAGATATCTGAGGTGGGATATAAAATGTAAGAAGTAAGATATAATATAAAACACATACAACACAATATAGAAAAATTCGAAAGTGCTTATACATACACAGACTCACAATAGCGTCAAGACTCACAATGGCCGATGTCCTGAGGCCGGCACTGTCCAAGCCAGATAGCTTGCTTGATCGGGCCCATGGCAATGGGAGTAAAGCAGGGTCACACTTTGCACAGCTCTGGGCCTGAACGTGGCCACAGCGCGCACCCCTGAGAGCCTTTGTGCAACCTAAGCGACAGCTTTGCCAAACTGAGGTTCGACAGCTGTGTCGTTATTTCAGGGTTGCAGGAAAGGGCGACCCTTCAAAAAATGTGACTCCTAGCCCAAGCCGAAGTTCCGAAGACTTTGGGCTTGTTTGGCCCTGCACTTGATCAGGCAAGAGCTTCGGGTCTGGGTCGCAAAAACCTAATCCCTATAACGCTAAAGATTAATTATGCCAGGGAGACCTCCATCTGCTGAAGAATGGCCTCACGCTTTGTGCACCCCAAATTGTGCACTTTGTAGGAAAGCTCTTATGAGAGCTACCGCAAGAATCAACATTTTCCCCACCAGAGCCTGTGAAGTAGAAACTTGAGCGGCTTCAGACTGCGATCTTTAGAAGAGGTCGTTTTCAGCCATCTCATTCCCCGTGCATGTGGAGAAGAAATGCGAAACAATTGAGAAGGATCTTCGTGTAGAGCACTGCACCATACTGCACCACTTGGCTTGTGGGAATGACGCATACATGGATGGTGGAACCTTTTTCGCAGGAACCAAAAAACGTGTCTAAAGGCTATGGCCATGAAAGAACTCAATTGTTTGACAGCAATTGCCCTATCCGTCCCTATCCAGCAAGTTCATTGACTGCCGGTGCTGCTTGCGGATCTTTTTTAAACCAAATGCCGAACCTATGTTGGGTGCCCAAAGCTTGGATCACTTTGGAAACCTTCCGAGGCGCACCATACCACACCGGCAGCAAGCTTGAAGACTCCACATTAAGACTCCACCTTAAATGCCCAACCACTACGTGCCTCGCTCCCGCACTCCTGCGCCAGCATGAAAGCTCCTCACGCAGCTACCAATTCCAGTCATGTTGCCTTGCTGACACCAACCGACGCTACAAAGCAAAATGCTTGGAACTTGTTGCAGGTAGCCACTCAGGGATCATCTAGTGGTTGCAGCTACTGCATGTCTCTATTGGCAGATGGACGCTTCAGGGAGGGGGCGGACAGTGCTGGATTGATGTGAGGAGTTGGGGGGACAAATCGTTGTAGCCTGTTGAGGCAGCAACGGTTGTGATGGGAAGCGGGATTCAGGGTTCAGGGTGCTTTCCACAGTCAAGAACTGGTATTTATTCCGCGCATTCCGTGTCTCCCCAAAAGCTCTTCTAAGACTACGCGCAGATGTTCATGGATTTCCAACCGAAAACGAAACCCCGCTCAGGAAATGCTCTCCGTTCATTCGCATGTTCTTGTTGTTAGAATCTGTCCCAAAAGGTATCTTGGTGAGACCCACTTGTACTTTCCATTCCTTCTGCTCGCAAGGGTTCTCGGCAAGATGGGCGCGACGATCAAAAAGATCCAGGAAACCTCCAATACCTACGTTAAGATGAATCAGGACCATGATCGCAGGTTGTCGGAGGTTGTCCAATTTTTGGGTGTATCACGGATTCTGTACTTATTCAAAAGTTTCAACTCAACACCCCCTGCCATCCCAAAAGGTACATCCGCGAGGGGTTCGCTTTTCAGTTGGACTTTGAAGGCGGGACTGCAATGGGCATTCAACTGCCAGTCCTGTTTATGCAGTTCCTCTAGCACCCACTTTTGGAAGATGCAGCGGCTGTGTGCGTCACGTCCTCGGGTCTCAGAACCTATCGGTAGACGACTGTGTCGCTGTCAGCGATAAATTGTGTTTTGGCTTCTTTTAGCAACACCCAGGAAAGAACGGAAGCGAACCTTGTTAAGCAGCCCCCAATCCCGTACTGCAAAGCCCCAAAGCCTCAGTCCCCAGAACCCTCAAAAGCTCGTCCTCGGTGATGCTTCTGCCCTTCCGAGCAAGTGAGGGGCTTTTGATTCAAAATCCAGAGCCAGTGTCGCAGCGTGTCAACACCGTGCAGTCACCTCCCATCCCTGCCACCCCCCGACCCTTCGTTTGGTTCAACGTCTGCAATCTACTGCACTAGCAAGCTCAGCATTTATGTGCAACCATTTCGAGCTTTACGTGCAATTGATGAACCAGTGCCAGCGGCAACCAATGACTTTGGAATCGACAAAATATCAAACATGGTCAACCACCAGCAGCAATACTTTGTGGATGTAGCCACTCTTGCAACAACGTGGCATACCACGAAGATCCATGGACCACGAAGGAGTAATAGGATGCTCTCCTCCTTCCTGCACTTCCAAGGTCACTTTGGAAAGGCAATGAGTGAAAGCGGTGTCTGTGCCCTTCTATTTGCCCTCCCGTTTCTGGCCGCACAAGACCACGTCGTGAAAGAAGTGGAGCTGGAGGACACATGCAACACTCACGACCTGTGGCTTTCACGCTTCAATTACTTTGTTTTGTGTTTGATTTTGAAGTTGATTGGATACACAGGCTGTGCAACATTACGTGCCAGCTGGACTAGACAGTAACAAAAACTCAAAATTGGATGCATTTTTTTCTCAATCAATCTTGATTGAAGCAGCAGCTCAAGCACAGCCCGCGGATAATCCGCTTCAAGCAGTGTTTGGATGGAGATAGGAGGATCCAAAGTGTCAAAGATTCCGATTGCATCCCCAAGTCTTGCCGGAATGGCCTTGTGGCTTTCCTTGACAGAACTCGGCAAGACTCAGGAAATCCAGCCCCAAACCCGTGCAACTGGAGTCTTTGGCAAGTATATGCAAAGGGGCACTTGTGGTAACTTATTCCAAAAGCCACTACAATGTCACCACAGCCCGTTTTGCAGCATGGTCACCACAACGCGGTCACAACGCAGTCACAACACGGTCACAACGCTGTCACAACGCGGTCACAACGCAGTCACAAGGCGGTTGCAACCGCGGTCATATTGATTTTCGCGGGAGCGTCAAGTGAAGAGGCCCTCGTGCTGTAAGGGACTGACGCTTTTTGGAACTGCACACCACAGACCTAGCTGCTTTGCGAGAAGTGGACGTCAGCATTCCTTT